GAATGCGAGTATCGCGACGATCTCGGAGAAGTTCACGACGTGGAGCGGCGTCGAGGTCCTGATCTTCCTCTATTATTTTCTGAAGCTCAGCATCTGCCCAATCTTCAATTCTGTCTGGGTTTTTGACGAGAGGCAAATGATCGGCTGCGACCAGTGCAAGCAGGTCGAATGAACTTTCACTACCATTTCTCTCTGCTTTTCAGATCAGAGAAAAAATGTGAAAAAATTTGATAGATCTGCAAAAAGCTTTGTATATATAAAGCTTCGAATTTTTTTTTTTAATCGGATCTGTAAAGTCTCTGCCTTTGGAGCACTTGTCGCAGACCCACTGCTTGTGGTTGCTGTGTTTTCTTCTGAAGTGTTTTTTTTTTTTTTTTTTTTTGATCCCGACGAGATCGCCTAGGGCGTGGCGGGGGTCGTGGTAGAGGCAGCTGGGCTCCGGGCACACAAACACCTTCTTCTTGATCACCTGATCTTCCGCTATCTCTCGCTTCAGTAGTTTCCACGGCACCTTATGACGACGCCTGTGCATCTGCAGATTCTGGTCTCTCTGAAATCCCTGGTTGCAGATCTCGCACACGTACCGGTCCGATTCGAGTAGGGTCTTGGGAGACCGAGACACCACTTCTGCATCCGGATCTGGTGTGCCTGCAGGTCTTCTTTTTCGTTTGTGGGTGGCTCCGCCATTTTCATGAGAGGAAGAAGACGGAGGAAGAAGAAGAGGAGCTGGCGCTGCTGCTGTCGCTTGGTGCTGCTCCCGAACCACCGACGCTTCGAGGTCCGAATGGTCTGAATCGGCACCACCGCTGGATTTCGCCACACCGCTGGACGGCAAAACCACTCCCGAACTAAAGGACAATATCCCCTCCTCGTTGCTACCCAGCGACGGCGTCTTCTTCTTTTTGCTGTTGTTATCCTCAGCGGCAGCGATTTGGGAATGCCCCGAGAACAATTTCCCGTTGGCGCTGTAAGAGCTTCTCTTGCTCTGCTGCTCTTGTTTGCTCAAGCTCCACGGTTGTGTACAAAAGGGACTGCCTCAACTCTTCCATGCTCTTTCCTTGGCAGTAGTAAGCCCAGCTGCTAAGAAGAGGGCTGCTGCTGTGGTGGTTGTTCACGCTGGTGTGAAGAAATGGAACCAAAAGTGAAGTGTGTGCGAGAGAGAGAGAGAGGAGAGGTGGGCTTGGAGCTGAGTGAGGATGGGCTTTGAGAGTTGGGCCCGGATTTGTCGCTGGGCTCGCTGGCTTTGGAAAGTGGAGTAGAAAATTTTGGAGTCGGCCTCTTTTTTTTATTTTTTATATTTTATTTTTATTTATTTTTTTATTTTATTTATTTTTATTTTTTATTTTTTTTATTTTTTATTTATTTTTTATTTTTTATTTTGGATAGAGAATATATATTTTTTTTTCTAATACATAGTAACATATGTATTTTTTTTTTCTTTTCTTTTGTAATAAAATTGACTTTCTTTAATGAAACATTTATTTATTTATTTTTTATGTGACTGTACTTGAAGTTTTGAAGTTTCAAGTTGCCTACGTACTCTTCCAACGAAGAGATCAAGTCATAACGTAGTTCAAATGAGTGATGGTTTTGATGATGATTTTGACGATGATTTTGATGGTGATTTTGCCGTACACAGTTTATGCTCTTGCGGGCCAGGAGCGTCTTGGTGCCGTTTGCATTTTCAGCTCATGCAGGCAAGGAGCGTTTTGTTGTCGCCTTTTATGCTCGTGCGGACAAGGAGCTTTGGTTGTCGCCTTTTAGGCTCGTGCGAACGAGGAGCTCTGGTTGTTGTTGAGGATTTGTCAAGCGATCTGGGAGAGGCGTTCCTCGCAATCTTCATAGGAAGGAGCCTTGACCGAGTAATTGAAGAAGTCTTCTGGGAAGAGGTCGCACATTGTGATGGGGATGGACGATCTTTGTGTTGAAATTTCATTATCTCCAACACTTTCACATTGTTCTGGAGGTTGACAAGAGCTGTTTTGCCCCCTTTTCGACTGATAAACTTGTGGACAAGATGGTTGCTGCTTGTCCAATTTCTTCGCAGCGATCTTCGAAAGACATTCCTCACAATCTTCATAGCAAGGAGTCTTGATCGAGAAATTGAATAAGTCTTCGAGGAAGAAAAGATCCCGCATGAACGATCTTTGTGTTGAAATTTTCTTATCTTCAACATTTTCACATTGCTTTGGAGGTTGGCGAAAGCTGCTTTCCCCCCTTTCTGATTAGTGCACTTGTGGAGAAGACATATGTTTCTCGTGCAGTTTCTTCGAAGCGACATGAGTCCATCCTTCAATTTCACTTGACTTTGAGCATGCCCCCAACAGTCGAGGTGAAGACTTTGAGTCGAAAGAGCCAGAAGTGACATCTTTCTTAGGGATTTCATCTTCAGTGCCGTCCTCTTGGGTTTGTTGGCATGAAGATTTGCCAGTGTGGACGACGATGCGCCTCCTTACCTTCAGTGGTCCTTTTGTGTCGACCTCTAGGATTGCTTGGCGCTTCATCCTTGAAGGAATCAAGCTTTGAACGTCGCCTTTTTCTGCTAACCCATCGAACTTTTCTTCCTTTGGTGTTGTCTTCCTCTTTCCAAAAGGCTTCTCATTATCTTCAAATCTTTCCGAAGCTGATGGTCGCAGAGGAGAGATAGCTGTGTTGCTTTGTTTCTTAGGCTTTAACAACCTTTCAAAAACAGAGCTTTGGGATGTTGGCACGCTAAGCCTCTTGAAGACAGAGGTTCGGCCTTGACTACCAATGCGATTAAGCGCTGAAATTCTGGAGCTTGAATGGCTCATCCTATCGAAGACCGACGGCCGAGGGGCGGGTTTAGGCTCTTTTTGGTCTTGTTCAATGCTCACGCTGATGTGTTGAGCGCTAGCTTTCTTCACTTTGCTTGAAATCTTCACGGGTGCATTTGGTGTGAAGCCAAGTCCGGCTTTGTTGTTGTCAACTCCGTAACCATGCTCCTTTAACTTCTTTTGAGTTTTGGTGAGGTTACGTTCTTTGTCATTGACGGTGTTTGAAACCTTCTTTCCAAGATTTGAAGAGGAAGCAAAGTCATGCCTAGCCTTTGACATGGGTTCGTAGGCATTTGGGTTAAAGCCTTCTTCGGTCTTCTTAGTTGGAAGAGAGCTTGGTTTCATTTTGACGCCATGCTGTGCCTCCAGACGGTTGATGAGTCCGGCGGTTTGCAAGTTTTTCTCCTCTGCAGTCCGTGTGAGCTTTGTGATTGCTTCATTCATCTGAGCTAGTTGCTCCTCGATTGAAGTTGCTCCAGTGGTCATGACTTGCATGGTTGTACTGCCGCTCGAATCAGCGTCGGAGGGTAGGGACTCTGAGTATTTCCTCAGGCTTTCCCCTCTTGATGCCCTTAGCGAGGCTAGGGTGATCACAGGCTCGTGCCTCAGGTGCTCCTGTTCCTTTGACAGAGTTAATGCAGGGGCGGAAGCCGCGGCAAAAAGAGCTCTTGCTCCACTTCGGGTTGTGATGCCCGAAATATCACCAGTTGCGGCGATAATGTTCTTGTTCTTCGCTTTGACTGCAGGAACAGCTTGATCCTTTCTTGATGCCATTTGCGTTTTTTGATGATTTGAGGATAGAGATGAGAGGTAGAGATTGTCCCACTGGGCGTGCCAAATTTGTAAACACGAGAAATTCCTGAAACACAAGCGACAAGAATACGCGTACAAAATATATATTTTGTATTAATGATTTTGGGGTTACAATCTCTTTGTAATTTGATCCTCTGATTCTATCTTCGTACGATGTGTGTTTGTGGATGAGTTGTTGATCCAAAGGGCCGTCGGGGCTTGATCTAAGGATGCACAGTTGATGAATGGATCTTCAAGGGGCGTTGGGCTTGATCTTGAAGAATGGGTGTATGAGTTTGTTGAGGTTGTTGATCCAAAGGGCCGTTGGGGCTTAATCTTAGGATGAACGGATGATGAATGATGAACACTTTCTTCAAGGGGCCGTCGGGGCTTGATCTTGAGTTAGTGGGAGTTCTTCAAGGGCCGTTGAGGCTTGATCTTGAAGGTTGATGGATGAGCGGATCTTCAAGGGCTTTTGGGCTTAATCTTGAAGAACGATTGGATGTGTGGATTTGTTGAGGTTGTTGATCCAAAGGGCCGTTGGGGCTTGATCTTAGGATGAACGGATGATGAACGATGAACACTTTCTTCAAGGGCCGTCGGGGCTTGATCTTGAGTTGGTGGAAGTTCTTCAAGGGCGTTGGGGCTTGATCTTGAAGGATGAACGGATGATGAATGAATCTTCAAGGGCCGTTGGGGCTTGATCTTGAAGGTTGATGGATGATGAACGATGAACGGATGTGTGGATTTGTTGATCCAAAGGGGCCGTTGGGGCTTGATCTTAGGATGAACGGATCTTCAAGGGCTTCTGGGCTTAATCTTGAAGGATGAACGGATGTGTGGATGATGAACACTTTCCTCAAGGGCCGTCGGGGCTTGATCTTGAGTTGGTGGAAGTTCTTCAAGGGCCGTCGGGGCTTGATCTTGAAGGTGGATTTGACGAAGAACGAAGATTGCTTTCTTGATCCTTCGGGATTTGCTTGAGAGCTTTAGAGTTTCAAGGCTTCTTTCTTTCTTCCTTCCTTCTTTTCTTCTTTTCCTTTCTCCTTCTCCTTCTTTTCTTCCCCTTCCTTCTTTCTCTTCTTCCTCCTTCAAAATGAATGCCTTGGCCTCCTATTTATAGAATTCCAAAACTTGATTTTTGGATTTAAATAATCAGATGAAATAAATCATTTCTGCCAGGTATTGACACGTGTCACACTTGATGACTTTTCCAATTTATTTCGATTTTTCGTTGAATCACACGCTACATGTAAAATTTATTTGACACGTGAACGTTGAAATTTTAATTATTGGTCAACATTTATTTCACCGAAATTTTGATGTCTACAGTCGGTTCTCATGGTTTCATGTTTCCTTTCTTTTTGTTGCATTTCCGCATGGCTGAGTTTATCTGCGATTCTATACATACAGGGTGGTGACAATCCATGGAACCACCGACGAAATCAACCCTGTTGAAGATGCACTAGAGTTTGCCAAGATAATACCTAACCACAAATTACATCTAATAGAAGGCGCTAATCATTTGTACACCTCGCATCAAGCCAAGTTAGCATCGGTCGTCGTGGACTTCATCAAGGCAGCTCTGCAGCAGGACAAGGCTACTTCAAACTAGATACTGTGCCAATCAGCGTATAAATTTCTCTTCAGAGATGACTCTCCCAGTTGTCACAAATTGCATTTCAACTCCACCTCATTGCAAATTTTATTTAGGGAAGTTTAACGAAAAACTTCCGGTACTATTCATTTTAACGAAAAACCATATTTTTATATTAAAAAATCAATTCTGGTACTATTTACTTTACCTTTTATTTTATCTTTATCGTTAAAACTTAAAGTTTTCAAGTTTTTTTCATTAGTTTTTCTTTTTATTTAACCCTTATCCCATGTATGCACTATTTTTTAAAGAAATCACAGCCGTATCAACCCACACGGCATCGCCAAATTCTATCAAATCAATATGGCTATTTTTCATCATCATCTAAGGAAGGGGATTCCCTCCAGATCTTTTTGTGGGGATCCTCAGATTCGGTGCATCTATCGTTTATCGTACGGTTAGTTTTCTTCAAGTATTGTTCATGTCTAATTTTAAATACAATTATTTAAAATAATTTATAACCGCACGATGAACGATAGATGTACCAGATTTGAGGATTCCCGGGATCCCCACAAAGAGGATCCGAAGGGTATCATCTTCCATCATCCAAACCAACTGGAATCTAGATATTAAGTCTAAATAACTTAAAATATTAATAATAGATAATCATTATGATTAAAACCACACAGTTATCCCCTAATAGTACTTGAAAATTTTCTCAACCAATATGTTATCCAATGGTTTGAAATTTTGTTCATTCAACGATCTTGATTGGTTAAGCCGACAACACAAATTCGGGTGCAAACAAATTGTTTATAAGTAATTGGATTACTTCTCATATTATCAATTAATTTTACAATGAAATCTAAACTTTCTTTATAGTATCAGATCATCATGGCCCCGCCACCATTAGGCGAGGAAAGATAAATTTATAATTTTACCTCTTAGACCATCTCCAATGGTGGCTTATAACCTAAATTTTCCTTTTTTTGACCCCCCAAATCCACTCCAACCCAAATCCTAAATCAAACCTAAAACCTAAAACTTAAAATGAAGGCAAATACCAGTCACAAATTTAGCTCACATATTGAAGTGGGACCCACGGATGAGAGTGAAAAGTGGATTGTGAAGCCCACACCCCAAAACCCAATTTCCCTCACGCGCCACAAGCAGTGCAGTTGAAGGCCTACCCACGTGGGTTGTGCATCTGTGCTGTCAGTTTTACTGTAGCCCAACGGCTACTTTTCTTCATCCAACGGTTCAGGTTCAAATTATTTTTTTTTAAGTTTTATATTTATATATTTATTGAATCTAATGGCTTAGATCGAATATAATGAAATCTAACGGTAAAAAAAAAAAAGATCTAACTGTCCAAATTTAAATCCAACGGCTAAAATAATTTAAAAAAATTATTTAACTTAAAATTCAACCAAAAACTCTATAAATACCTATGTATTTGTTCAAACATCCACACAAAACTCACTTTTCTTCTACAATTCTTCCAATTTTTCTTTCTACCATTTCTTCTCATTTCCAAAATTTTTGAGATGGCAAAAGAGCATGTTAGAGGTCGTAATTAGACCTTTGACGAAGATATTGCTTTATGTTTGGCATGAATTTCTGTTAGCGAAGATGGTGCCGTTGGCACCAATCAAAATAGAAAGGTTTTGTGGGGTAAAATCGTTGATAAGTTCTATGAAACTCCAACGCCGGTCAAAGGGAAGTTGGTGGTGTTTATGATCGGTGGAAGATTATCAACAAAGCGTGCACTTTGTGGAAGGGAAGCTTGGAGAGAGCCATGGTTGACATGCCTAGTGGAAGGGGCGCCTCAGAAATTGTGAGTTTCTTTGTTGATATTTTAATTGTTATGTACATAATAGTATTTTGCAACTAATTGTTTTATGTATTTGTTGCATAGGGTGACAAAACAATGACAATTTACAAGACAAGAACTACACCAAAAAATCAAGCTTTTAAGTTGCTTCATGCTTGGAACATCCTCAAGGATTGTCCAAGGTGGAGAACCAATGCGAATCAACAATATGGAAGATTATTTCATAATGAAGCCCCACCCCCAAATGATGTCAATGAAGGTGTGAATTTTGCAAACAATGAAGGTGTTGACTAAATGAGCCAAACTTCTTCATTTCCAAGACCCCCAGGTAGAGATAAGTAAAAGGAAGCAAAGAGAAAAGGGAAGTCCCAAGATCCGATACGTGCACAATTTGCTAGCGAAATGGCAAGAATGAACGAAAACCAGTGCCGTCGGCAAGAAGTATCGGCCCAAATGTTTTTGGCCATGAAGGAAGAAGGGGATAGGGAGCAAGAAAGGTACGAAACTAATTTGATAATGGAGGACCTCGACAAATACACTCCAGAGAGGAAGAAATACTTACGTGGTAAGCAAAAGGAAATTTTACGAAGGAATGCCACAAGGAGTATATTTTAAGATGATGATTCATCTCAAAACTATCACCCAAGTCCATCACCAAGTCAAGATGGTGGATATCATTATGAAGTTTATGTAGTCTATGAGTTTTCGATTGTATTAAGTTTATGTGGTTTATTAATTGTCTTTTTTGTTTGTTTTTTTTTATTTTAAGTTTTTGTGGTTTATCATGATTTTCATGTATTGATTTAGTGATTTTTCAAAATTTATGAGAATTTAAATATTTTTAGGTTAAAATGTTCTTAAAATTAATTTAGGATAATTTACGTAATTTTTTTTAAAAAAAAAAAGTTAATTTAAAAAAAATTAGCCTTAGTTCATTCTTTGATAATCTGGGATTAAAATTTTAGGCCAAAAGGGTTGGAGTAAAAAAACTGTTTCTGGGCTAAAACCTAAATTTTCTGAGCTAAATATTTTTAGATTTTAGGTCACCATTGGAGATGATCTTAATCATAGATAATTTGATTGCATTATTATACTCCTAAGACAGCTTGATTAATTAAAATGAATGAAGTTATTAAAATATAACCACAACTATTATTCATGGCAGATGGTAGGGATGTGAAGTGTGAACCATAAAAAGCAAATGGCCCACTAAATTGGCCATAACTCATAGGGATGTGAAGTGTGAACCATAAAAAGCAAATGGCCCACAACTCATAGGGATGTGAAGTGTGAATCATAGAAAGCAAATGGCCCACTAAATTTGGCCATAACTCATCTGCTACTGCTATTTAAGGGGTCAAGTATATTTTTTCATAAGAGTATATTTAGGCAGTTTCAGCGTGTGAAACTTTCCACCAGGCAATACACTATGCTATCCATTCAGTGAACAGTAACTGCCCTTCGTCTTTTGCATCTCCACTGTTGCACTTTAATAGCCCTAGCAATAGACAATAAAATATTAGTATTTTTTTCAGATTTTTTACAATTTGTTTAAATATTTATTCAACTAATTAATCTCTTATGTTGGATACAAAAAAATTTGAATTCCAACACTCCAGATTGTGCCATGTGTCACAATGGTAACTTTTCTTAATTTTAAAACTATTTTTCTTTTATTTATTTATTTATTTATAAAGCCTATTAATATCGACCATTGATCTCAGATCGAACGATTAATATTAAATAAGATTTTTATTTTATTTTTTTTACCGTTGAGATCGAACGGACCGTGGGAAGCCACGTGACTTCCCAACAGTAACATTTCAGTCTGAAAAGTGGGCTGATTTTTCTGAAAATATGTTGGCGACGCGCCCCCATGCACGAGTGGGGTGCAAGCGCTTGATAGAAAAAAAAAATAAAAAAAGGGCATGACACCGGGCTGACGTCAACCCTGGCGTCACATCCACTCGAGCTCTCGGGCTGGCAATTCTTCACAGGCCTGGAGCTCGGGCCTCCACCTCCACTCAGGCTCCTTCACGCTGGAGCAAATCCACAGGGCCTCAGGCCCTTTTCTCTGGCCTGTCCCCCGAGCAATCCACCACGGTGGAGTTGCTCTTACTGGGGTCAAGGATTCCCCAATGCATGAGATAGAATCATCATCAGAGATACGATCATCACCGGATCCTCACAATGAGGATCTTAAAATCCTTTGATTTTGTTCGTTCATCGTATATTGTGTGGTCAGTTTTCATTATGTATTATTTGTAGTTAATTTTAAATAATTTCTAACCGTCCAATTTATGATGAAAGAACATAATTAAAGGATTCCTAAAACTCCTCAAAAAAGAGGAACCGTCTAATCCTATCTCCCCAATGCACCACCTAGGCTCCGTTACTGTCAAAGAATAGGACATAATTAAAATATTGTTAAATTATTGAAAAATAAAAAGAAATTTGGAAAAGAAATTATATAAAAGAAGTGTGGAGCGGATGACACTCGCCATCAAAGCCCAAATGCTGATTTAATTAATAAATTCAATATAATTTTGGGAGGCAATAATTAAATTTATTCGATGGGGAAATTTCTTTGGTGGTTCTTTTTAAAGTTGTGGCAGAAGAAACTTGTTCTTCGCCCTGTTTTCATTTTCATCATTTCACTGCCAACCAACTTGGTTATAAAACTTGCTTCGCCCAGATTTACTCTTTTACTAAAATCGAGAAAAATCTTGAAAATGTCACAAGCTGCAAAAAACCGGCCAGCTGGTAAGAAACTTCATCTCCCTTAATATATGTATTTGTGTGTGTATGTTGTATGCGCTGTAGTTGCAAGAAATCAATCTCAGAGCAATATGTTTAGTAATTTGTATTTTGATGCAAGAAATTATTCTTATATTCTCAAACTCGATAAGAATTTTGATGGCTGTTTGCTTAATGTCCAAAGATTGCTAGACTGCAGAGGAGAAACTGCATCAAATTCGATCAACCTCGTAAGTTCTAGTAATTGTCAACAAATTTATTCTTTATTTTACTAAGCATATATAGTAGACGTAGAAGTTTTCAGGTTCCGATCTACATTCAAATACCTATGTTTACTTCTCACACATTTCTCTCAATTTTTGGCATCCGATCGAATAGATTGAAGAATATCAATGGAAAAAAAAATGAACAAGAGTGTGAATATCCCTTTACTTATTGACATTAATTTGGTTGCAGCTTGTAACAGTAGTTTCAATTTTTCCTGTATTAAAAAGCAGATTTAAACTGAGTAGGCAATTAGAAAGGCGTTCGTGATGGTAGACAACAATGTTAATGATCACTCCGTCGTGGAGATTACGGATGAGGACAGAGATGTGATTGCACGAATCAATGTGGATTCGGAAGCATCGCGTGACCGTAAAAATCAAGTGGAATTGACAGTATCATCTCTTCGAGGAAAGCTTCACCGGCAGCCTCCATTCCCAGCTTGTAGCTGCATATTTCGAGTCCCTAAAGTACTACGCAGGCATAACGAAAAAGCTTTTGTTCCAAATTTGGTTTCAATAGGGCCTTTTCACCACGGAGAAGAGAACTTGCGAGTGATGGAAGAAATCAAACGGTGGTACTTACATTCCCTACTTGACCAAAACCAACTCCGGAGACCAGCTTGGAGTGCATTGTCGAGGCCATAGGACGCATAGAACAACAATGTCGCGATTGCTATGGTGAAAAATTGGACATTTATAGTGGAAAATTTGTGGAAATGATGGTGCTTGATGGTTGCTTTATTATTGAACTCCTCCGCAGGTATAACGGACTCGTACTCTGGGACGATAATGATCCCTTGGAGTATACCTCTTGGATGCTCAAGGTACTTCAAAACGACTTGTTTCTACTCGAAAACCAGCTTCCTTGGAATGTTCTTGAACTGTCTATTCGACCTCACCAAAGTAAATGATGACCATTCTCTACTTAAGCTTGCTCTTAAATTCTTTGAGTCGTCCGTATTCAACCAGACTCCACAGATCAAAGAAGGAGTGCAAACTAAACATTTACTTGATGCCGTAAGAGAGTCTTTAATTTCCTTGCACAAGCCGCAATCGACAGGGACGAGTTATTGGGAAACTATACCAACTGTCACGGAACTTCTACAAGCTGGTGTCAAATTCAAGAGTAAAAGCAGGAAGTGGAACAACATGCTTGACATAACCTTCAAAAACGGAGTTATGGAAATTCCACCAATAGACATTGAATCCAATGCAGAGTCTCTATTCAGAAACCTCATCGCATATGAACAGTGTGAGCCAGACATCGCGATTTGTAATATTACTTCTTACGCCGTGATCTTGGATAACCTTATTAAGTCTAGCAAAGACGCGGAGTTTCTTATTCAGAAACGAATTATAACTACCATATTGAGCAAAGAGGACCTCGCCTGCTTCTTCAACGGCCTCTACAAGGACACCATTCCCAGCCATTTCTCTTATGTGGAGCTCACCAAGAATGTCAAGCAGTATTATAACCATCGCTGGAACAGATGGCGAACAATTCTCAGCCGCGATTATTTCAGCAATCCATGGACAATCATGTCAGTTGTTGCTGCACTCGCGATCCTAGTTTTAACCTTCTTACAAACCTTATATTCCATGCTGTCTTACTATTAGCTAAGCCTCCGGTTTAAACCATGCAATTGCGTGCTTTTTTTTTCCATGTCTTTTATGAAGTTACTAAATAAATGATCATGTCTTGTATCATTGTATGTATGAATCGGGATTGTTATAAAATCGAACCTTTCCTTGATAGATGATCAGGTGATTTGGTTGCATTATTATACTCCTAACTACTTGGCTGCTGAAGAATTCAGCAGCTGGTCCCGTTTACATCCAATCACGGATGAACACGTGTTCAAGTTTTGATTTTTTTAATCAAAATTTGGATACGTGTCCATTATTAATTGAGTGTAAGCAAAATCGATTGTTGAATTTTCAGCAGCCAAATTCTGTCCTTATTTTTATGTAAGGAGGCATGTGATTCCCAATTTCATAACAATTAACCATTGAAACTTGCGTACCTCCTGAAATAAAATCAGAGGAGAAAATAAATATAGAAAAATAAATTTAAACTATGCATAAGTTATGTTTCAACTAGAGTTAACCATGAAAACATTTAACTAAACCTTCAGAAACGTGAAACGTGTAAAATGGGCGGCTATTGCTTAGCTTTCAAAAAGTCAAAAAGTCAAAAAGCCAAAAGTCAATAGTGAGGATGTCCTACGAAAGTACGAAGTAGGAACCTAAAAACGTGCAAGTATTTAATTTAAATGTATAAAATAATAAAATATTGAAATCTAATCATTTCTTCTAAGACCATTTCTAATTTTTTATTTTTTAAATCGAAGATGTATTATTCAGGACAAAAGAAGCCAAAGAGAATGACGAAAGCCAAACAATAGAATAGAATTAGTGTGAAACCAGCAATTGCACATCACCCGCGCAAACTGGACGCGCCAACTCCCCAACGCGCACCAGCTTGCAAGTTTGTGACCCCACCCACGTGGGTTATGTCAGCCTCCTGTTGGCTATTTTAGTTGGCTATTTTAGTTGGCTAATTAAGTTGAGCCCAAAGGTTGCTTTTGTGACCATCTTCTCCTTCTGTGATTCAACTGTTCATATTTAATTTAGTTAATGTTTTTGTTTTATATTTATAAAATTTAACGATTTACATGGATAAAATAAAATCAAATTTGAAGTTACCTTCAAATTTAATTTTTGCTATTTTTAAAGACATTCCGCTTGTCTTACCTTAAATGCTAACATACTTAAGTACTATTTTATTATTTTTATACCAACAACACACAACTTTTATTATTTTTGTTTAAAAAAAATATAAAAGAAGCAATAAATTTTGGTATACCGGGTGGAAGGAAAATATTGACAATATCTCAAATTGCCAAGTCAGCCATCAAATTTAAATTCGATGTTTTGAATTTGACGTAAAAAAAATTTATTTAACTCAAAATTCACCCAAAACTCTATAAATACATATGTATTTGTTCAAACATCAGCACAAATTTCACTTTTTCCTACAATTCTTCCAATTTTTCTTTGTACCATCTTCCAAAATCATTTCTTCCCATTTCCAAAGTGTCGGTTTAGTGATTCATGAGTTTCATGTGTTGGTATAGTGATTTTTCAATATTTATTGAAATATAAATATTTTAAGGTTAAAATGTTAATAGAATTAATTTAGGATAGTCTACGTAATTTTTTTTTATAAAAAGTTATTTAAAAATAATTAGCCTAAATTTCTTTTTTAATAATTTAAAATCAGAAAAACTGTTTTTGGGTTAAAACTTAAATTTTTTAGGCTAAAAATTTTAGGTTTTAAATTAATCCAAAGCTTGGAAATGGTTGTAGGTTCTAAAATAATGAATGTTGAAAGTTAATAATGATTTTTTATTTGGCCAAATAGGATAAATGATCTCTGTGGTCATAAGGTATTCGAAAAATAATTCCTAGCTAAAAAAACTCAGATTTAAACCCTTATAGTGTACTCCGTTAGCAAATTTAGTCCAAAAGAGATTCTTCTGTTATCAAAGTATGAATTTGGGGTCACTGGATTCATCCACCACCCGAGAGTTGATAGCACCAAAAGCTCCATTCCGAAAACATACTTTGTTTCCTCCACCTAATCACAATCACGAGAAATTCAACAAACACAACAGTCCAGCAATTTCACATACACTCAAATTACAAATGGAAATTTACACATGCTTGCAAAACTAAGAGAAGGGGCACATGGGTCTCCTCCACTTTGGCAGCCAACGAGGCGCAAGCGGCGGCAACAAGCTGACTCATCCACGGCTTATCCCTCTGAAACGGCCAACTGGCAATGAACCTATCAAAGTAGTTCACAGCCAGAATGGCGGTCAAAGAGGAGAAGCCATAGTGTGCCTTTACACTCAGAATCCATTCAACCACCTCTTTCCGAGCCGCCATCAAAGACCCATTTGAGATTTCTCCACTGAAACACACATAGGTTTGTTCCTCTTTGGAGATTAGAGAGGAAAGTTCACCATTTTCCCAGAACATATCACTTTCCAGGAAAATCAAAGGGAAAGTTGATTGTTTTTTTGAAAACCCATCACAGTTCTTGCTCTCTTCCTTGCTACCATTGTCTCCCAAATCTTCCACAAATCCTTCTTCGCAGAATAATAAAGGATCGAACGCCATTGCAGGGTTTTGGAGCTCTTGGGGTTCTTGTAGAGCCCTCTTCTTCGGAGAAGAAGAGAAGAAAAGCTTTGGTCGTTACACAAAAAGAACAAGGGAGAGAGAAAGGGTTGAGCTCATGCCCATGTCCATCTTTAAGTCTATTCCTTTCTCTCTTTTACTTTTTTAGGAGAGAGAGCCTAAAAAATCACTTTTAACATATAATTAACGGAAAAATCATTTTTAGATTAAATTTGCTAATGAAGTACATCACAGGGGTTTAAATTCGAATTTTTTTAGTACAGAAACTATCTTTCGAATACTTTATGATTACAGGCATCATTTATCTGATTTGACCTTTTTATTTTCTAAGAGACGCGTATGTATAAAACTATGAATTAATACTATTTAATTTCAGTATCGGTTAAGTAATTAATTTATTAAAATTTATTAACTCTTACATTTCTTAAAAGTAGTCCTAGAGTTAAACTTTTCATTTGCTAGGTATGCTATAATAATTAAAAATTATAAAATAACTCAAATTATTAGTATTTTTAAGCTTGAAAAAATTAAAACTCTCATATGCTACAACCCACTTGAGCCTTGTTAGGCCATCTCCAACCGATGGTTGGCCAGATGGCTCGTTTTAGCCATCTGATCCTTCAAGATTATTCAAGATATTAATATTTTAATGAACAGTACATGGTCATATTTGCCTCCGTCTCCAACCGAGGGCCATAGGGCTCATTTTAGCCTTATCACAAAAAACCGTCTCCAACCGAGGGTCATAGGGTCAAACATAATTTATTATTTAAATTTAAAAACTACAACAACTTAAATTTAAAAACTACAATGATAACTGGCCCAAAAAACCAAAAAAATTAGAACTTAAATTTAATGAATGGTTTAGGTATTTATAGGAAAAAAATTAGAATTTTTAAGAATTTAAAATAAAAAAAAATTGGCCCAAAAAACCAAAAAAAATTAAAAAAATTTGAATAAAACGGCTAGCTGACTAGCCGTTGTATTAAAAAAAAATTTTAAGCAATCCTGTTGGTTATAACCGACAGGATTATATTTAATTTTAATATAAATATATTCCTGTCGGTTATAATCGACATGATTGCTCTATTTTCTGGCCAGCCCCGGGCTAGCTGGCTGCATATAGCCAACCCTCCAGCCCTCTAGCCCTCTCCGATTTCATGGGGCCTTTTCAGATTCCACAGCCCTCTGGCCTAAGGCCATCTCCAACCAAAGGGTCCAGAGGGTTAGAGAGCTAGGCCAGAGGGTTGTGGAATCAGAGAGGGCTAGAGGGCTGGTTGCAGCCAACCAGCCAGCCAACCTGGGGCTAGCCAGAATTCAAATCAATCCTGTCGGTTAAAACCGACAGGAATACATTTATATTATTTAGTATAAATGTATTCCTATCGGTTTTAACCGACATGATTGATTTGAATTTTTTTGTTTTTTACAGTTTTATTATTATTTTTTATTTACGAAAATTTTCCTATAACTTATATTTTTCATTTTTTTTAAATTCTATTTTTTTCCTATAACTTTTATTTTACAAAATTTGTAGTTTTTAACAACATTTAACAAATTATTAAAAACATTTCTAGTTTTTCATATTTGTTAAAAAAAACATTTAACAACATGAAACTTAAACAACATTTAAGTTGTAGTTTTTAAATAATAAATTATGTTTGGCTCTATGGCCCTCGGTTGGAGACAGTTTTTTGTGATAGGGCTAAAACGAGCCCTTTGGCCCTTTGGTCCTCGGTTGGAGACGGAAGTAAATATGGCCTTGTATTGTTCATTAAAATATTAATATCTTGGAGAATATTGGAGGGTCAGAAGGCTAAAACGAGCCATCTAACCAGCCATCGGTTGGAGATGGTCTTAGTTGCTCCGTCAGTGATTAGTAATTGACCATATTTTAGGCTTAATCATATCAACGATTCAAGTTGCAGGGTAGTTTCTAAAATTTTAAGTTATTTCCAAATATTATTTTATTTATTATTTATTTATCTTTGGATCATTGCATTGTAAACACCTTTCGCACGAGGTGGGGGGTTGGCCAAAAGATCGCCTAAGTCAGTTTCTCTAAATAAGAGATAGTTTAGGACTTAAATGCATAGTAAAAGTTCACTAGAAATTGGAGAAGATGCGGTATTTAGAACAGTTCCATCCCTAAAAATATGCACCAGCACCCAGCGCATTAATCCACTCAGTGAATAGTGATAGACCTCAATAAACAGTAATAGGTTAAATGCATCTCCACCCCTAAAACTAAATAGCCTAGTCAATTTTATTAGAATATTATTAATTTTTATTGTAAAATAATTTTGACTTTTATTTTCTAACTCGGTTTCTCTCTTTCTCTCTCTTTCTGTTTCTTTCTCTTTCTCGCTCTACTCAGTCTCTCGGTCTCTTTCTCCCTTGTTCAACTGCTGCATCTGCATTGTACATGCCTCTACCTCAAGGTCAAGGTAAGAAACTGCACCTTCTTGTTCGAATTGGGATTAGGGGTTGGGATTTCGAATTCAAAATCAAAGGTAAAGTTAAGGATTGTGATTTTGAAAGCTCATAAATTGTGGGCAAATGAGATTGTTCAGATTTGATTGAGGACGATCATAGACCAATTGTCTGGAACCCAGAATAAAATTTAAAGAATTAAACTTTGATTTGATTTATTTCTTTGCCAGCGGAGTTTAAAGGTTGTGGGAAGAGCTCCGACCAGGTTTAAAATCAGGTGCTTCATGGTGAACGCCCCCATGGCCAACATCGTTGCGGCCGCCGTGCACAGGATTTTTCACGTCAGATGGCCCCGCTTTTGGGTCTGTCGGTTCTAGGCCGGTCTCTTGCCTGGTGTGGGCTGGGTGCCAGCCTATTAGGTTGGAGTGGAGCAAATTGAAGAGAAGCCGGTCTGTTGTTTTAGCCTAGATGACAGCCTAAGAGCAGCGGTGGAACTTAGAGCTAGGACCGGCTACTTGTGTAGAAGGTGAGTCATCCCAAAATATTAAATAATATCTTGAAATTATTTTTGATTGGATATAATTATAATTACCTACTTGATTGAGTTAATCTTCAATCGAATAGGAAAGTGTTACTGGCATTCCAAAAATCTCATTCTACACTCTTCACAAATGTATTTTTCTTTCCTAAAATAGAAAGTTTAGAGTGTAGAATGAGATTTTTGGAATGCTAATAACAACTCCCTCGAAATATTATATCTTTAATGCTTTTGATTTTTTTCTTATCATTGGTAGGAAAGCTTTAATAATATTGCAGTAAGCTGCTCTGTACTCCAAGGATGTTGTATTGCAGGTGAAAATCTTTGTGGGCCTGACCAATTTAATAAAGGGAGGTTTAATAAAATATTTTCGGTACTGTTTATATTTAATGAAAAATCACATTTATATATTTTTCTAATAATATTTATTACACCTTTAAAAATAACTTTTCATTAAAAGAAATTTTTTTTTTTAAACTTTTGGTTAATTTCCTTTTTAATAAAAACTATATTGTCTTCTTAAATAACAACTGCACGGGTTGAGAATTTTCGGATTGTTATTAATTTTTTTTTTTGTGGGAAAACTGTAGATGTATTAGCCAGGGCAAAAGAAGCAAGGAGAACAGCGAAAGCCGAACAAGAGGCTAACAAGCAAAAAAACAAACCGGAAGTGCAATGGAGATAGCTAAAAGTAAACGCCAATGGATTGAACTCAGAAATTATTAGCCTCCCACTGAAGCAGAATCGGATTCTTCCTTTTGTCAAGAGAGCATTTTTATGTGCGTTTTTTCATACGGTTCTGTTCTTCTCGTCTCTAAGTTTGGATTGAAATGACTGCAAGTTAGTTTTCGGATTTTTCGGTGTCGGTTTTGCTTGAGAGAAGCTGGGATGGAACAAGGCTTGAAGATTCAAGTTGAGGAGCTTTTTGCAGAGGCTGATCTAGTAAAATGGTTTACTATGCTACATAAGGCTGTTAAGGATGTCAAGGACAAGAATCCGATGTTTAGAGAGCCCCTCGAAAATCTCGATTCAAAGCTAGAAGAGTTAAATCCGCTGATCAAAAGCATAGAGAACAAGTATTCGACCAAAAAGAAGAAAAAAGAAAAAGGCGTAGCAAAGTTGAAGGACGTGTTGGATCAACCAGAATGGGAAGTGGGAAAAATGGTGAAACAAATAGAGAATGGAAACGAGCTCGTTCGCAAGTGCTCCAAGCTTAGCCCGTGGAACGTCTTCCACGCCTTGCAACTTGTTGATTTGAAAAAGTGTCTAAACGGGTTGTTGAGGATACTGACTGAGGAGGGATCAAGGAATGCGTTGGGGAAAATGGTTGTTTCGAGGGAGAACTTGCGATCAGTTACTACACTTGCAGATGTCACGGTTGGATTGGATGAGCCTTTGAGGAATTTGAAGAACATGCTTCTTAAGGACAATGTCTCAATGTTGGTGCTGAATGGTCTCGGAGGATGCGGGAAGACCACATTGGCAATTAAATTCTGTGAAGATAAGGATGTCAAAGGTATGATAATACTTTCTAACTGCTAATTGATATATAAAATCAAAGATAATCCACAAATGGAATATTTCAATTGCTCGAATATCTGGTTTCGAAATTCAAGCTTTCTCTTAGCCATGAGTAGTATCTGGTATTATCTTGGATTAGGTTCCATAGAGAAAATTGCCTTACTCGGTTCATACTCGTTGCCTATACCAGGGCTGCACTTGAGATCAAGATTTAATTTTTTCTACCTTAACGTTCCCATCGTCTATCGTTCTGTGTTTTCACATTTATCTAATACATTCATGTATTGTATTTGATAGCTATATTCAAGGAAAATATGTTCTTTGTCCGCGTTTCGAAAGAGCCCAACTTAGATCGTTATACAAGTGGCTACGTCAACGCATGGCAGGACCAGATCCTCTACTGTTGGTCCTGGATGATGTTTGGTCCAATTCCGAATCTCTTCTTCAGGAGTTTTACGATTTGAAATTGAAAAATTGCAAGATCTTGGTGACATCGAGAATTCAATTTCGAGGATTTGGCACTCCGTATAATCTCAAAGCTTTGAATGATGAAGATTCAATGACTCTTTTGCGTCATTCAGCATCCCGGGGAGATATCTCGTCTGTTCAAGATCTTCTGAGAGAGGTTTATTTCTCACTATGCAATCCACAACATATATACTTATCAAGGCCTCACAAATTATAGGCGCAACAAAGTGGGGAAAAGAAAATGTTTTGATCTTTTACGATAAGTCTACACATACAGAAGTGAGCACCCATTTTACAATATGAACCTGCAAATGATCATTCACAATCATGATTTTACCAAGGGAAGTGTTATTGGCACTCCAAAAATCTCATTCTACACTCCTCATAAGTGTATTTTTCTTTCCTAATATAGAAAGTTTGGACTGTAGAATGAGATTATTAGAGTACTAATAACAATTCCCTTTACCTAAGAACTAAAACTAAAATCAGAATGAAGATAAGTAGTTAGTCATTAACCATTTTCATGAAACCATTGAGATGTTATAAGAAACTTGAACTTTCGGTCTGCAACTCAGATAGTAATTGACATCATTTGGTACAACTAACCTGCAGGTACTAAAGCGCTGTAAGGGAGTTCCGCTTTCCATTTCAGTGATTGGGAAATCACTTTGCGGAAAAGATACAGAATTCTGGCGTTCAAGTCTAGCAGACTGGTTTGAAGGTTCTATTCCTGATTTTGACACTGAGTTGCTTCTTAACCTTCAAAGTAGCATAGATGCCTTAGGTGACAACGAGGCTTTCATCAAGGAATGTTTCATGGACCTTGCTTCATTTCCTGAAGGTCAAAGAATCTCTGCTGCTGCTTTCATTGATATGTGGGCAGAGTTATATAACTATGTGGACTCTCTGTCCATTACGATCCTCCATGATCTCGCCAGCAGAGGTCTGGCAAATCTTGTGATCACTAGGTACGCAAGCTTTTATGTCTCTCCTGTATAATATTCTCATTGAAAATGTCTATTCATGAGTATCTCCTACCATAATATACAACTGCAAGTTGCAACTGACTGAGTTTGGATTGCTACCAGGAATATAGAGATTCTGGATGGCTACTACATCGAACACTTTGTTAGACAGCATGATCGGCTTAAAGACCTGGCTATCTACAATGCGAAACTAGACCCAATAGAATATAGAAAAAGACTGATTGTCGTAAGTGGAGACAATCAACCCATCAACGCTAGCCGATTATGTATCTCCTCTGGTGGTCTCATCTCTCTCTTTAGAAAATGCAAATACGTGCAGAAGTCTCAACCCATCAATGCTCGCCTATTATCTATCTCCTCTGGTTGTCCCATATCTCTCTTTAGGAAATGCAAATACGTGCACACACACACACACACACTCAGATTTGAATAGCATTATCATTTATTTTCTCATGACACAAGAAAACATACACAAGCACATGTATATGTACACACGCAAATGCACATGCTCACACGGACACACATGCTAAGATTTGCACATAAGTTTCATTTAATTTCTCTCGTACTCATATCTTGTAGCATATTGTTTGCAGATGGAAAGTCCTCAACACAATGGAAGAGTGTCCGTCTACCACAACTTGAGGTTCTAGTTTTGAATTTTACGACAGAGAACAATGCCGTACCTGAATTTGTGCAGAAATTTGACAAACTGAAGGCTCTAATAGTCACAAAATATGGTTCATTACCTACTGAATTGAATAATTTTCATCTTCTGAAATTATTATCAAATCTGAAGAGAATCAGATTAGAGCGCATTTCAATTCATTCCATAACCAAGAACTTCGTACCATTGAAGAGTCTAAAGAAGATATCTCTATACATGTGTAACATTGGTCAAGCTTTCTGCAATTGTTCCATCACAATTTCTAATGCCTGGCCAGGTCTAAAGGAAATGAATATCGATTATTGCGATGATTTGAGGGAACTGCCTGCCGAGCTCTGTGATCTTGTTCATATGGAGATTCTTAGTATCACCAACTGCCATAAGCTATCTGCCTTGCCTGAAGAGATTGGAAAGCTGGAGAATTTGGAAGTATTGAGACTACGGTCCTGTGCAGACTTGGAAAGGCTTCCGGTCTCGATTAAGAGACTCACTAAGTTGAACCTTCTTGACATGTATAATTGTTTCAGTATTAAGGAGTTGCCTGAAGGCATTGATAAGATGAGCAGTTTAAGAGAGATCAATGTAGGACAATGCTTAAGATTGGACGAGTTGCCTGAATCAGTGCGGGTTCTTGACGTGCAGTTAGAGAAAGTGATTTGTGATGAAGAGAAGAAACATTTGTGGGAACACTTCATAGCCAGAGACAAAATCAAGGTGGCAAAAGAACAACCCAATCTGAATTGGCTTGAAATGCCTCCGTTGTGAGACCTATCTTTCCTAAATAAATGTTGGAGCAGCGTCTTTCTGATTTCTGTTGCATTGTTTTCTTTATTTTTTTATCTTCTTGATGAACTTCTCTTGTTTGATTTCGTTCTTGGTTCTGTCCAAGTTCCAACTTTCATCACATCAATTTGTGCTTACTTTTGGTATAGATGATCATATATTGAGATATTCTAAGTTGCAGTTTACCGTTTTTAAGCTAATGTAGGCATGCAACATATGTTCCATTTATAGGTCGTTGCTATTGTTGATATCATCGCTATTGGAAAATTAAAATTGTCTAAATATGATCTGTGATTGCAAATGTTAATCACCATTCACTACTCCATGATGGTAGACAAAGTTAATCACCGCTCCATGATTGGAAATTAGGGATGAGGACCGAGATGTGACTGCAGGAAACAATGTGAATTCGGAAACCTTGCGTGAAAATAAAAATCAAGTGGAATTGATAGTATCATCAATTCGGGGTAAGCTTCATCAGCAGCCTCCATTCCCAGCTTGTAGTTGCATTTAGAGTCCCCAAAGTACAACACAGGCATAACGAAATAATCTTTTGTTTCAAGTTTGGTTTCGATAGGACCATTTCACTGCGAAGAAGAGAACTTGCAAGTGATGGAGGAAATCAAACGGTGGTGCTTACATTGCCTACTTGAAAAACCTAATTCAGAGACCAGCTTGGAGTGCTTTGTCGAGGCCATTAGAGGCATAGAACAATATTGTCGTGATTGCTATGGTGAAAAATTCGACATTTGTAGTGGAAAATTTGTGGAAATGTTGGTAGTTGATGGTTGCATATTGAACTCCTCCGCATGAGTGAAGGACTGGTACCCTGCGATGATGTTGATCCCTTGGAGTATACCTCTTGGATGCTCAAGGTACTTAAAAAACGACTTGTTTCTACTCAAAAACCAGCAAGTTCTTGAATGTCTATTCTGCCACACGGTAGGAAATGACAAGTATTCTCTACTTAAGCTTGCTCTTGAATTCTTTGAGTTGTCTGTATTCGACCAGACTCCACAGATCAAAGAAGGAGGGGAAACTAGACATTTACTTGATGCCATAAGAGCCTCTTTAATTTCCTCGCACCAGCCGCAATCAACACTGAAAAGGTTTTGGGAACTTATACCAACTGTCATGGAACTTCTTCAAGCTGGTGTCAAATTCAAGAGTAAAAACAGTAATTGGAGCAACATGCTTGACATAACCTTCGAAAAGGGAGTTACGGAAATTCCACCAATAGACATTGAATCCAATGCAGAGTCTCTTTTCAGAAACCTCATCGCCTACAAACAGTGTGATCCAAACTCCGGATTTGTCACATTAACTCTTATGCCGTGATCTTGGAAATTCCACCAAGTTCCTTTGCAAGTTTTTCAGCTTGTCGTTTCTTCAAGGGATTCCAGAACATGTTTATCCAGGCTTGCCTTTCATATCAGTTAGCAAGGGTTTAGAGGTCAATACGCTGAGGACAATGTCTGAGATCATTCTTCAAGCATTGAAGAATCCTCGGCAACCTTTCATTGCACTATCACGGTCTTCTTCTGCGCTGGAGCTGATGAATAAATTACCAACAGGGTACGTGCAAAAAAGAAACAACATTGTTGAATCAACGTTCCACTAAATCATGTTTTAAAGGTACTAATCGTGTTTTGCTTCTTTTAAAATTTGTAGCAATCGTTGTAGGGTCAAAAGACAAAAAATTGGCAACTGCAGATCAGCAGCTCCTGGCTTATGACTATCTGAGAATCAACACTTCAAGGTTGTGGATTTTTAGTAAATAGCTATATCAAATGCAAGTAATCCTCATCCTATTCAAATATTTATAGATTTAAGTGGACGGCAGTAGCTTGGATTATTGACAACGAACTGACCCGAAGAAAGCTGTTCTTGAAGGTGTTTGGGCAAAGATTTCTCCGGAGAAGGACCTTTGGACCTCATCACAGCTCCCCAAAGGATTGGCACTTTGGATGTATGTTTGGTAATTGGGCTCTTGCTTGCTGGTGTGCTACAAGAAAAGTATAACGTTAGTTTTGAAAGGTGCCTTTGTAGGGCCTTAGGTGTAAGCCTTGAGGCTCACAATCAAAACAAAGTGCTAGGCGTGCCATTGCCAGATGTAAAACAAGTGTGTTTTAAGTTGATTATTTGCGCCCTAAGTTACTAAAACTTCTTGTTATCAAAGGATTGTCACAGATGGGTTAAGTTTGTATTAAGTTCTTCTTATTGCCTTGTAAACAAGGACTTTTAGTTCATAATCTTGTATGTTCGGACAGAGGGAGTTCATAACCCTTTAAGTCATTTGCTTGGTTCCAAATTGGTTTTAAATGAAAGCATATCTATTAAGGTAACCGGATCCAAATAAAATGAAACTCTTAAAGTAGGAAACAAGTGGAAATGAGTTGAATACATGCTGGAAAGTGTATTAAGTAATAGATCTACTATTTTTAGAAGACAAACAAAGAGACTCCGGCAAGATTTCACCTTATCTGGCAAGGTTGAACCTCTTGTGGCCACTTCTCTTTGAGTTCACAGTGATTGTATGCTAAAAAATGATGGATAGTTAACAAGTTTACATAAGGGAATCGATACTACAATACTAGAGAGTAGTAGAGCTTTTAAACTAGATAAAGATAGCTTTCCTAAAGAAATTATTGCTAAAAGAACTGAATCTAGGCTGATTTCAGCTTTTGGATGCAAATCTAGCTTGAGAGCAGAGTTTGTATGCTTGTTTGTTTGATTGGTTGAGTGTCCTTGTCTCTGTTTTCTCTTCGTTCTTTTATAAACGTCTTGGCCCAAGGGTCAGGGCTTTGCTCTTGCACGAAAGGTTTTGAAGTGTTGTGAGTCATCAACTTTTTTACTTGTAATGCCATTGGAAAGTGCTTTTTGGCTGATAGTAGGTTAGTCTCCATCACTTGTCACTTTAGTTATGAACACATGACTTGTATCTTGGCTGAGAAGGTTTCAATTTGTTCTTAGGCTTCCTCTAAGTGCTTCGGGCAAGTCATCTTTAATTTAGCACCTTTAGGCATTCCTTCATGCCAACCCAATATTCAAATATTAACCCAAACAGTGCCCCCTTTAATCATTGTTGAGTTTGCACATCGAGGCGTTAATGATGATTAAACAACCGCCGCATGCCTTTACTCGGGACTTGTGCCATTTAAAATAGCTGTTTGTTAACTAAACCCTTACACTAACCCATAACCTTAAACACTAACTAACTGCATACTATATAATCCTCACTTAAATCCCTCGGCCAAGTACCTTAGCAATTCGAGCTTCCAAAATCCCAAATTTCTTAGAACCCTCATAATTTCCAAAATTTCTCTTGCTTTCTCAATTCTTGCTTTTAGTCTTACTTTTCCTCCCATCTTCTTCTCAAAATCTTTCAATGGCACCCAAAGCTACCCAACTTTCCCATGAAATTGGTGAGGGCATCGCCACTATGCGTCGTTTGCTCAACGACCTTCATTGCCCTCGGGCTGGCCTGCAAAATCACTTTTCTTTGAGGAGGGAGGAGTGCACTTCATGGGACCTGCATGGACCTTTCAGGTCCCAATTTCAGTGGATAACAACATGGCCAAGTCTAATTGGTTCACTCCTAACCCGTATTTGGCCAAAGCGGGCATTTCGGCCTCCAAGTGGTCGAACAATCGAAGAGGTTTTCCTATGATGAAAGATGAAGGTTGGACACAGTGGATAAATGAGCTCGAGCCTACTTTCAAGCCGAAATGGATGAATAATGGTATATACGAGCTGATAATGCTCTCTAAGACCACCGTAATTGCCAAGCCTGAGCTACTGACCACAGCTCTTCTTTTCTGAAATTCGGGGACAAAGACTTTTGATTTTAGGATGGGCCCCATGTCCCCAACCATTCTTGACATGCCTAAAGTCTTCGGCTAAAGCCCTCAGGCAAAGTTATGGATGTCACCCATGACTGGTCTCCTTTTACTCGCCCGACTGCAGAGAGCTCAAGCTGTTCTGACTCTATCATTCAATTGGAGTATAACTCTTCAACCTTCAAGAGCTACGAGACCTCATTCACGGGCTTTATCCCGTTTGCTAAGAAGAATTTTAGCCCGACCTCTTCTACTGCTAACAGAGATCAGAAGCACATGTATTTTCTCCTGTAGTTGCAGTGGTACTTCCTCGAGCTCCGGGCACTAAACCTAGAATTCCCAGAAGACGTTGCTCTTGCCCGCATTCTGGATGAAGCTTCTCCAACCAACCATTCTACCTTTTCTTACCTCTATTTTTTCAGAGTCTACCGGACTTGGGCAGACTTGGAATGGGGAGCTTCAGTGCTAAGAAGATATCCTTGGTTCTTTGTCCAAGCCTTCCAAGATGCCTTCGGGGAGGACATCAGTGCCTTATGCAAAGAGAAATTTATCAGTTACATCCAACCAAGAGATTTGACATGGGAAGTCCACAGCGATTGTTATAAGCGCGAGCTGAAAATTTACCACCCTAACTTCTGTAGCAGGTAGCTGGGTTTTAGACAAGCCATCTATGTGCCATTTTTTTTATTTTTTGCACTGCAGCACCTCATTCCGTCTTCGTTCTCCTCAAGAAGCCATTTTCCGAACTGCCTGACGCAGTCTTTGAAGTTATGAGCAAAATTGCCCTAAAGCCCGTTGTGCTGAACTTTGAGTGCACTTCAAACTTCTCCACTTGGTGGGAGACCAAATGGGCTAAGAAGTATGCAGGGGATATCAGGGAGTTTCACGACTGCATCTTCAGACACCTCATAATCAAGTCATATCTCAAGTTGAGTGAGCTTGAAGGTTGGAAAAAGATGATTCATCAGAAGAACCAACTACTTCTTATAGGTATCTTTTGTTCCCCTAACTTGTATTTTATGTTTATTTTATAACCTGCCCTCCATTGACCTTTCTCTGGCTTCTTTTGAACTTTGCAGCCCAAGGCAACACTGAAGAAGTGGATGTCGGGCAAAATGAAAAAGCTGGGCACGCCTTTGTCCTCCAAGAAGTTGCGACCGAGGCTGTAAGGCAAGGTGATGGATCTAGCCATGCTAAAGACCTCTTAGAACTGTTTTGGAGACTCTGATGGGGAGGCTGAGCCTATAGCAGAAACTCGGGCAACTCGGAAGACGAGGGCAACTGTGGTGGAATCCTTCACCAAACTTTAATCTTTCCCGCAATCGCAGCCCAAAACGAATCTTGAAAATGGCAGAAGCTGCAAAAAACCTTGGAGAATTGTGAACTCTATTATGTCCTTTTGTCTCACTTTTGTGACTTTTCAGTTTCATGATATCCAATTCTAGAGGATAAAAGTTTGTAACTTTGCACCATTAGTATGTTTGTCCTCACAGAAAAATGTCCCATTTTTGGCGCAGTTGATCCCGTGACCAACCAAACAACCAACTTCCCTCTTCTCCCAACCTTTTTTTGCCTATAAATTTCATTGTCCACCTCAACACATTTCAAACCCACCACCCTGTCTTTTACTAGGCCTCCGCTGTTATTGCTGCAATCACTAGCAATCATATAATAGCTTCTGCTGTCACATTTTCTTTAGGGACAAAAATTGTATGCTTAACTCTGTCTGCTGAGCTTATGCTGTACTGCCTTCACTCCTCAAGACCACTGAAATGCTCTCGAGAACTTGATCCTCTTCTTTGAGGGTCAGAGGTCTGGGAAACTGCCCGCCAACCAGCGGCTCAATTGGAGGGATAATTCTGGCTTGTCCGATGGCTCAATTGAAGGTGAACTGTATTTCAGGTGGCCACAGTAGGGGGATACTAGGATGCTGGAGACAATGTCAAGTTTGGCCTGCCAATGGCCTTCAGCACTACATTGCTGGCATGGAGTGTGATTGAATTTGGTGACTCTATGCGTAGCCAGATTGACAATGCAAAGCACTGATTATCTTTTAAAAGCAGCCACTGCAACCCCCGGAACCTTATATGTTCAAGTAAGAGAAATAAGCAAATATGCACAAATAAAATCTGTTATAAACCCTTAATAAAAAATAGAACTGGGAATACTAAATAGACAATAAAATATGGCACTAAACCATGGTACTGAAGGCTATAAGAATTGACTTTTGATTAACGATGATAGTTTGGAGCTGAAGAGATGTCCTAAAGACAGTCACATGTTTTGGTGGTTGCAGGTCACAGATCCTAACATTGACCAACGGTGGTCTGGTGCTGGGAAAGGTCGAAGGACATAGATACGCCGCACAACGTATACAAGGTATCAACCCAAAATCCGGGATCAGATTTTGCAGCTGAGACTGCTGCTGCATTGGCTGCAGCTTCCATGGTGTTCAAAGACTCTGACTCTTCTTACTCTGCAAAAATGCTCCGCACAGCAACGAAAGTAGACATCTATATAACAAAATTTGACTTCATTTTAACAATCTTTTCGCCTTCACCGCGTGTTAACAAGAACGCTAATTTTAAAATTTTGATCGCCATGCATGTTTTTGATTTTGCAAACAAGTACAGAGGTTCTTACAATGACTCAATTGGTTCAGTGGTCTGCCCTTTTTACTGCTAATACTCAGGATACCCATGTAACCCAAATGCATATGCATAATTTGCTTCTAATTGCTTTCATTTACGGAAAATACGTACAAACAGAACACATCACTAACTTCTAATAAAAAATAGAGTTGGAGGGACACCAAACATACAATAATTTATAGAGCCCTCACTTTTATTTTTTATTGAAAACTTGTAACCAGTTCTATCGGTACATATTACCCTTATTTTAATCCCATTAAAGTTCCTCTCATGATTCCAATTGTGCTGTTGATTAGGATGAGCTTGTTGTGCCTAGGCCTGTTCGGTGCGGAATCGAGATTAAGATGAGAACCTCACCAAATCATTCACACAGTTGAACATAATAAAAATACAAGAAATAAGGACACCGAGAGATTTGCGAGGTTCGGCAAAATCCTGCCAACGTTCCCAGAGAGATATTGTTCTTCACCATAAGAATAACAGTACACGTTACACATGAGTTATATCGACATAACCCAATCCTGAATCCCTTGTACACCCACTCACAGAATTCTCCTAAAAGCCTCACTCTACCTCAAGAGTTCTTTAACCAGAAGATCTTTCACTCTAGCTCTCTTGATTTCTCTAAACTGTGCCCATGGGAGAGCCAAATGCCCTCACCATCTCTTTGGATGCTTCTGTGATGCATGCCCCCTCACTCGGCAAGCATGCCTAATGCAAGCATTTTCTTGCATTAAATAAAGGCCAAGACATCACGTTTCTAGCAAAATGCTCCCAAAGTCAAAAAGCAAGCGTACTCTTGCTTTTCTTTTGTAGCACTTGCCTGCAGCTTTCAATGCAGCGCATAGAAATGTGATCCTTCCACCGAAACACACAAAGTCACAAATGGCTGCTGCGATTTCCTTGTAGCATTCACATTGTCTTCAATTGTTGTCAACACATGACTCGTAATTACTCACAAATGTATGAGCCAAACACAACAGAGCTTTTGTGGGGTGCATCATGGATCCTTAGAGCCTCTCAGAACAGTTCATACCTTGCTTATATCAAGTCCAATGGCCACACATTGGGTGCAGTTCATGATGATGAATTAGTGAAGTTCATGATGTATATATATACTATTGCCTCATGAAATCAAGGTTCTATTCAACTCAAATTTGAAGCATTAGGGTCTTGATGAGAGAGTTAACAAAGTGGATAATGTGAGACATGGAGGAAAAGTACACGGGGTTAAGTGGGACATTAGCGGAACAATGATATTTTATTGTCTCATAACGACAATTAAGCCAAGGTTGACATGAACCTAGCCAATTATGTGTGATGTGTCTTCTTTTCTGCACTCAAGTTCTAATCACATTTTTTTATAGGCTTTTCATTTATACTTTAATAAGGGGTTTTTATCTAAATCGTAAAGTGGGCCAACTATAATTAGGTATTTTACTCATTATCTATGTGAGCCGATAGTATTAGACCTCCCAATTACGAGTAAATAGAAATACTACCGACCCTCTTTTCAACCTGATGGTTGAGTGAAATTCTTGGTTGGTTCTGATATTGTTATGCTATTGCCGAAGAGTATATTATATTAGTCTATTGCTTGAATACTAAAAAAATACTAAGTTAGAAAACAATAGATACAATCAAATATTGTTACGTGAGAAGCTAAAAGTGATGTATATTTTGCTTGAATATCAACATATGTTTATCATTTCCCAAAAGAAAGGATAGATAAATGGCAGTTTTGATAATCCCAGAAATAATAAGGGTTCAACGGGTAAAAGAGAGACTGTTGTGCACCAAAACCTGAAAAACCCAAGACAGTATTTGGTTGGGACTGATCTGACCGGATTGGTTCGATACTCTCCCAGTTCCAAACTCACAGGAGCTGTGTAGATTGCAATTCAGAGCAACAAGAGCAGCAAGCAAAAGTTTTCTAGGTAAACTTCCACTGCCTTGGGGATTAATTAATCGTTAATTAGTTTATAATCTCAATTAATATGCTGCTCTCAAGTTCTTTGACTTGCATAAGCTTCCCTTCACCAAACTTTAATCTTCCCCTTAATCGCAGCCCAAAACGAATCTTGAAAATGGCAGAAGCTGCACAAAACCCAGCAGGTAAGAAACATCATCTCCCTTAATATATGTATTTGTGTACGTATGTATGTTGTATGTGTTGTAGTTGCAAGAAACCAATCTCAGAGCAATATGTTTACAGTACTTGATAAGAAATTTGATGGCTGTTTGCTTAATGTGTATTGCACTTGTTTCAGTAGTTCCGCAACAGAAAATCGTTATACCCAACAAACATGGCGAAAAGCTTGTCGGCATATTACATGAAACCGGTTCTGCGGAGATTGTAATCTTATGCCATGGTTTTCGAGCCTCCAAGGTTGTTAGTTCCATCTTTATAACTAGCTAGGATGCTTTGAGTTTAAGTTACTTTGTGAAATATTTCTTCAAGAGAAATGATATCGACAGTCAACGGGCTTTTTTTTTTTCTCCCCATGCACACCTCTGTATACTTGTAGCCTTTGGATCGAATAAACAAGGGTGTGCAAAATCATAAAATTAGTGTGCAGAAATCATTTCTCTTCGTTAATAACTCGATCTGTGGTCATATTTTGATTAAAATTTTATTGCATACATCAGCAACATGGTCTTTTGATTTCTAGGAAGAAACAACTATGGTGAACCTTGCTGTTGCATTGGAAAAGGAAGGAATTAGTTCCTTCCGTTTCGACTTTGCTGGAAATGGGTAAGGCAATTTGGTGTTATAGGACTATAAATTCATGAATTTAATAGCAAATTATGCTTTAAAGCTAATAATTTGATGCTCTAATAAGTTGTGGTTTACTTTGGGTTTCAGAGAGAGTGAAGGCACCTTTCTGTATGGCAACTATCGGAGAGAGGCCGAGGACTTGCATGCTGTGGTCCAACACTTCTCTAGGGCAAACCGGCCACCAACTGCAATTCTTGGGCACAGTAAAGGTATGTGCCGGATTGTTTTAAATAATCACGATTTCTGTATCTTTGTGCCAAAATTGTTTATAGATTGATGTTACTGCATGCAGGAGCTGGTGTGGTGCTGCTGTATGCTTCTAAGTATCATGAAATTCGTACGGTTGTCAATCTTTCTGGACGTTATGATCTGAAGAAAGGCATTGCACAACAATTTGGGAAAGACTTCATGGAAATAATCAAGAAGGAAGGATTCATTGATGTTAAAACTAAGACAGGTAATTTGCAATGGTTGTGTTTATTCTCACCATGTGTGGTGATCATTCGACAATTGCCCACATAAGTAAACAAACAAAAACAAGCAATGTGTATATATTCTGGCCTTTCACACCATAAATGGATGCTGTGCTTGCAGGAAGTGTGATTTACCGTGTGACCAAGGAAGGTCTGATGGATCGCCTAAGTACTGATATGCACGAATCATGCCTTCATATTGACAAAGAATGCCGGTAACTAAGCAAACTAATTAATTTTGTTTTCACTGTTTTATGTTTCCTTTGCCTTTTTCTTGCATTGTGAGCATGACCGAGTTCATGGACTATTCTGTACAAAGGGTGTTGACAGTCCATGGTTCTGCTGATGAGGCCATCCCTGTTGAAGATGCATTCGAGTTTTCAAAGATAATACCAAACCACAAATTACATGTTATCGAAGGAGCTAACCATTGCTACACCTCACATCAAGCTGAGTTAGCGACAGTCGTTTTGGACTTCATAAAAGCAGCTCTGCAGCAGGACAAGGTTAATTAGCATATCATGCTTATGCACTAATAAGAGAATCCTCATCTTACCGTGGTGATTCTGAGATAATATTTTATTGGTTTAACCTTTGCCAAATGTGTGACGGTTTCTATTTGTTGTAAACCATTGCTATGATCTGTTGCATGAAATAGTGAAGAAGTTCATGATTCATTGACGAAATGGATAATGTGAGACATGGAGGAAAATTACGAGGTGTTAAGTGAGACATTAGGGGCACAATGACTCATTGTCGCATAACAATAATTAAGCCAAGGTTGATATGAACCTAGCCAACTATGTGTGATGTCTCTTCCTTTCTGTACTCAGGTTCTAATCCCGTCTCTTTAGTACATGCTTTTTATTTATACTTTAACGAGGGGTTTTTGGCTAAATTGCAAAAGGGTATTTTACTCATTATCCACGTGAGCTGATAGTATGAGATCTCCCAATTACGAATAAATACGAATGTTACTGATCCTATTCTCAACCTAATGGTTGAGTGCACTCGCATGAAATTCTTGATTGGTGCTAGTATTGCTAACTTGCTATGTCATTGCCAAAGTCTATTATATAATTATTTTGTTTGAATCATTGAAAATAGTAAGTTAGAAAATAACAGACATGATCAAACACGATCGTGTAAGAATCTAAACTGGTGTATATATTGCTTGAATAACCATATATATATGTTTATCATTTTCTGAAAGAAAAGATAGAATCAATGGCAGTTTCGAGAATCCCATAAATAATCAGGGTCCAACAGGTGAAAAAGAGACTGTTGTGGACCAAAACCTGAAAACCCAAAACGTAAATACTCCCCCAGTTCCAAACTCACTGGAGCCGTGTGGATTGCAATTCAGAGCAACAAGAGCAGCAAGCAAAAGTTTCTAGGTAAACTTCCACTGCCTTGAGGATTAATTAATCGTTAATTAGCTTATAATCTCAATTAATATGCTGCTCTCAAGTTCTTTCACTTCCATAAGCTTCCCTTCACCAAAATTTTATCTTTCCCGCAGTCGCAGCCCAAAACGAATCTTGAAAATGGCAGAAGCTGCAAAAAAACCCAGGTCAGAAATTTCATCGTCTCACGTTGTATATGTTTGTTTGTGAATTTTCATGTTCTTATTGCCATCTTGTTTCAGTGGGTCAGCAACAGAAAATCATCGTACCCAACAAACACGGTGAAAAGCTTGTGGGATTGTTACACGAAACCGGTTCCGCGGACCTCGTAATCTTATGTCATGGATTCCGAGACACCAAGGTTGAATTTTTGATACATCAAGTGTTGTTATTATTGTTGTTGTTGTTGGATTCGGTTCCAGCTTGATTAGTATGTTCTTAATTTAAGTTATTTTTCTAATATTTCATTCACAATCTATCGTCGAACTTTGATTGTTAGATGATTCAGTTTGTAATTTGAAGACGACAATGTTTAAGAATTGATGAATAAAGAATAATGCACTCTGGTGCAGGTTCGCTCCTCACTGATTCCCTACCCCCTAACAACTAACTATCTAACCCACTAATGCTATCGCTCTACTGAAAGAAAAGGAATAGTACATCGTTCGTGGAAAATTGTAATGCTTGGTTGGCATCTTGGAATCGTTGTGGGCAAAGTTCACAGCATGTGTCTCTTGATTTCCAGGAAAACTATATTATGGTGAACCTTGCTGTTGCACTGGAAAATGAAGGGATCAGTTCCTTCCGTTTTGACTTTGCCGGAAATGGGTAAGGCTGTCGAATTACAGGGTTTGAAATTCTTGAATATAACAGGTTTTGAGTAGATTTTCGTTGTGTGCACCTCGTTTGTTTCATAGCTGTAAGCCTGTAAGCATGGCTCTGTCTTCGCCATATTGTTCCCACTTGCAAAGTTTGCATTGTTGTCAGTTTGAGATCTATCGATTACATTGATGCTCATTAGTTGTCAGTTTTTGGTTGTCAGGGAAAGTGAAGGCACCTTTCAGTTTGGTAACTATCGGAGAGAGGCGGATGACTTGCACTCTGTGGTCGAGTACTTCTCTGGGGCAAAACGTGCACCCAGTGCAATTGTTGGACACAGTGAAGGTACGTTGGATTGTTTTGCACGATCGTTATGTAAGATTTTATTCGGATCAAATAGAGGACAAAATGCTGTTGATGAAGGTTTCGAATGAGTAATTTCCTATCGTGTACCAACAGTATTGCTGAAAATTGTTACTACAGGAGGCGATGCTGTGCTCCTGTATGCTTCTACGTATCATGACATTCGTACGGTTGTCAATGTTTGTGGACGTTATGATCTGAAGAAGGGCATCGAAGAATGCTTGGGGAAAGACTTTATGGAAGTAATCAAGAAGGAAGGGTTCATTGATGTTAAGAATAAGTCAGGTAATTTTCTAATTCCTATCGTGTGGTGAATTGCAAAATTCGTTTATGAGGGCAGATGTACGCAGATGAATTGCGTAATTTTCAGTAACACATGCACACACTTAAAAACACACAAAAACGAGCAACGCGTATGCTGGCGTTTAACAAGGTTAATGGATGCCATGCTTGTAGGAGATGGTAATTATCGTGTGACCGAGGAGAGTATGATGGATCGCCTAAGTACTGATATGCATGAATCATGCCTTCAGATTGACAAAGAATGCCGGTAAGCAAACTTTAGTTAACTCTGTTCTCATGGTTTCATGTTTCCTTTCTTTTTGTTGCATTTCCCGCATGACCAAGTTTATCGGCGATTCTCTACATACAGGGTGGTGACAATCCATGGAACTGCCAACGAGGTCATCCCTGTTGAAGATGCATTAGAGTTTGCCAAGATAATACCTAACCACAAATTACATCTTATAGAAGGCGCTAATCATTCGTACACCTCGCATCAAGCCGAGTTAGCATCGCTCGTCGTGGACTTCATCAAGGCAGCTCTGCAGCAGGACAAGGCTACTTCAAACTAGACACTGCCAATCAGCATATAAATTTCTCTCGTGTTGCACCCGTTGACGACTCAGCCGGGTGGAGTCCTTATCTTGAATTTTGATGTAGCTTGGTACATACATGCTTTGCCACAAGTTTGTGCTTACTAATCGAAATCTCATCTTGTCGATGGTCAATTGTGCGCGAATTCAACGGATTGTTTTCGCTACATGATGCAAGCCATTGCATCACAAATCGAGTCTTTACCTCAAAGATCAATAAAATAACACAATGAACAATACTAGCAAGTCGTAATGCATAATCATATAAACACTGAATTCAGGTCCATACACCACTGAGGAATCCACAAAATGAGTTCAAAACATCATCTCAGTTCCATAAAATCCGGATTGCAGCAACTGCTCGCTTTAGAGCTCCAATTCCGACATAACTATGAATGAAAGATTATCAAGTCGAGCTGACATAAGAGTAATTATATAACGTAACGGTAGGTGACATATCGCCCTGCAGTCTCACTTGGTCGAATTATCTTCACAACTTGTGCACGCTTAAGCCCGTAGTATTTCGCAATTGGATCAGTCACCTGAATCCGAGGGAGCTGGACAATAAACAACACAAATACAAGAGAAACAGTCAGTATGCAAATTCCCCTAGTTTGCCACAGATATGCAGGCTAAGATGTGTTTGGAAAACAAACGTAAAATAGCCATTAGGAGGAGAGAGAAAGCTTTGTCACTTTGTCGTAATAGTTTAGATGGTATTAAGACGCATTAAGCATGACTCTGTACTTGAGTTAATATTCCAACACAAACAGTTGAATAAATGAGGTGGTAGACTTGTAACACTTTTTAGTGTTATAAATCAAGATTTAAAGTCATGGCACGCCTTATGTAGCATCGGAATTTCGTAAATGCAAGATTAACAACAATGTGCAGCACTGACCTGTGTTTCTTTCACAGTGTACCTCTCCAGCAAAGTCTTCTTTTCCTCATTTGTAAGCACCCGATGCTCAGGAACTAGAACGTGTTCTTTAATATTCACCAACAATTCTGCCTCCTGAATCAATAGAGACAGAGCAAACGTTAATATCCTCTAAGTTCGTATTGAAAGCAGCTGATAAAATTATAGGTGGAGCCAATTTTTTGTAAGTGGAGTAAAAATAATTCTCTTGCAAGCTGAAGTTAAAGCTGCATACCCAGAAAAAGTAAATCAAACAATGCAAAGTAATTATTCGAGATGACCCTAGTTAGGCCTCTTGGTTAATGGACATTATTAAGATGACCCTATGCATCCAACCTGTCCCTCTAAAAGGTAGGGCCATACCTACTCATCAGATTAACAATACTTTTACGAGCATTTGATCAGAGAAAGGCCATTAGAAGTTAGAATATAAACAAACTAATCAGGTAATTGCAACGGCGATTTGAATGTGTATAGCCTTCAAATTTCTGATACTATGAACTCTGATATTTCTGGTTTAATTGATTAACGTGATATTCGTGAGGTTTCAAGAACACAACTTCGTACTAACAACAGATTAAGCTATGAACCTCACCAGAAAAACCTCCAAGTGGAACTTTCCCGATATCTCACTGATACAGGTCTTTGCAAAGGGCGTCAGACTTTGTTGAGTAACCAAGATTGCTCTGAACACATTCTCTGATTTCATGCGGTTGGTATAAGTCTTCATTGTCTTGACCCCAACCTTTGGTTCGTCAGGAAAGAAGACATAAATCTGAAACACATAAACCAACAATCAGACACCGTCAACAGCTAAAGTACTACATCCACCGCAATAAAAGCAGCGGGGAAACACCTGATCGTTGCTGTCACTTCGCTTAGTTTTATTGATGATAAGATCTTCCCTTTTCATGTTCTCTCCGTATTTGTCCTTGAACTGTTCTTTTGACATGTTGATCTCAAAATCTCCAACCAAGTAATTCCGATCTTTCAGCATTTGCATCACAGTCTTTCGAACTCTGTAAAGCCTTGTGACTTCTTCTTCTGTTAAAACCATCTTCGCCTCTGATATGTTACAAAACACAGCTTGTCAGCTATGTTCCTCCAGAATTACGAAAATTTGATTTCCCAAACAATTAAATTAGAAATTGGCCAACCAAATTGAATCACAATCAAGCAACAAGAGATCAATCTTAAACAAAATTTTAACAGTTCCACTACCTATTTCCGTTTTTCCAAAAGTTAGAAACCTCTAAGGCGTTTCAAACGCTGCTTTGTGAGGCATGAGAAATCCAAACATATATATTAAACAACAGCTTCATCATTCATCCTCAATAATCAAGAAAAAGACTTATAATATATGCTTAACAACACCGTAACAACTTAATAAGAAATCCAAATCCAACATAAACACCCAAATTCCAACAGTAAAAACTTGTTTATCCCAGCTTAATCACTGCACTGAACACCAAAACAGAAAAAGCAAAATTGCAAACAAAAAATAAAAATTAAAATCGAAACCTTTCACAGCTGCAAAAACACCATATCCAATCCTAAATCCTAACAACACAGCAAAAACACAATCTCTGAAGGAAAAAAAAAAAGGAGAAATAGCAGACGAAATCGAAAAAGATGAAACCTTTGGTGACAGTATCTAACGATTCTAACCTGTTCGGCAGAAAAAATTAGCCTTTCTTTTCGGAAGTTGAAGAGGATGCTTGTACAGGATACCACCCCAGCTGAATTGACGGGATCTTTGAAGATTGTTAGTGATGTGATTCTAGGGTTTTCGATTTGGACAGAAAAATGGCGCGAGAACGAGAGCTGCTGCCTCTGTGTCGTGCCAAGGATCGCGTTACGGGAGAAAGGCAAAGGGTTTTCAACCGAAGCTTTATACCGCCACGACGTCGTTTAGGTTTCTCTACCTTTCTATTTTCTTTTCTTTTTCTTGAGGAAAAAAAAAAAAAAAACTCTGTTAAGAAGCCAAAAATCACAACATATATCAATTTTGTCATTCACTCATATTATAATAAATACTCCCGATATACATAAAAATTTCTCAATAAGAAAACAAGCAAATGTTAAATAATGATTAGCCGAATTAGCAAGCAATATACACTAGTTTTGTCCACATATTTCACATGATAAATGCAATCTCCGACAAAATCCAAACTAGTCTCCCTCTCATTGTATTATTGACAAAATCATGGAAAGTGATCACTCCTTCAATATCTTCAAATTGATTCACATCCAAACTTTACTTTTTATTTTATTTTATTAATTCTGGACTCTACTATTTTTGTTCGTTTTCGAAATTCTGAGTTGATCCCCATATTCTCCTAGTCCAAACTGAATTATTCCTGAATTATTTTGGGCTTGAACTGAACTAACTAGTGTTGAGATAACTAGCACATATGTAAAGGTAAGGTTCCCTCGCTAGCTGCCTCAATACATTTATGTTACCCCATTGTGGGGGTGCAAATATGGAAGAGAAATGTTAAGGGAACTCTTTTAACGTAGAACTTTTCATGGATTCTCTGATCTATCATCTCATAGTTTATCGTTAATTTTTGTGCTAACATTATAAAATATTATGTCAAAAATATGAGGTAACGAAGAGTCCATGGAGATTGGAGAGTCCCACTTTTGAGAGTCTCCTTAACATTTCTCAAGAGTAATTCTAAGGAGACCAAATTTTTAAATCAAATTTTGTAAAACAAATACTGTGGTTATTGATGATTAGGTTATTACTCAAGTTTTAATTAATGTATTTATTTCCTATTGGTAACATATTATTTGATTTGCAAATTTGATTTAAAAATTACTAGCATTATCCATTTCTCAATATTGAATTGTGGGGAAAAGCTTGCTTAGTGCATATTGGATCTTGTTTATTGTGACTTAAACTGACTTAATTATGTTTATAACTAGTTAATTTCAATTAAATTGCTATATTAATGAAAGTTTTGAATGAATGGGTTTAACATTTAGATTTCACATTTCTGAATAGGATAATACGGATTTCACATTCATAGGTTTCAAACTTTTGGGGACAATTTATGAAATGGAAAAAATCACCAAAAATTGCATATTTTTATTAATTACAAAATACTGAAAATCCTTTGTCCTGGTGCTAATATCTTGTTTGGATCAAACCTAACTTTCATGTCTTGGAAACTTTGCCATTTTCTTCCGAAATGGTTTTTCCAATCCTCCCGTGTTTCGTAGTGGGGAAGGTACTGCTTAACCCTAATGTCAGCATCCTTACAAAATTGCAATAGTTGTCTGTTTACTTCATCAAATGCCTGCCAGTCGTTGAATCCGCTTGCATGCAAGAGCCCTACAACATAGAAAACATCTTCATCTGGAATAACTGCAGACATCCTACCATCCCACCTGAAACATTATTTAATACAAAGTACATTAGATTTACCAAAAATAAAACAAATAAATAAATAAACAGAAACCCTAATTATTTTTGTTCACAGAAACTCACTTTTTTCGGTTCACGGGGTAAATAAGGCTCACCGCCGTAGGAACATTTTGTTTGAGAAGAATGTTCCTGAAAACACCCGAATCAATGTCCGAAATTCGTGATTTTGGTACAAAGATATTCAGCCACGGATGAGCAATTTCCCATAGTCCAAGTGATCGAAGATTTTCCTCTTCCGTGTGCACTCTATCCAGAAAATCTATGTACGATACATCTTGCTCGAATAAAAATTCCGGGACAAAGCTTAACCCTTTGATCGTTTTATCAACTACCTATATAAACAAGAAAAAGTTATTTAAATGGTACTAACTCTTTTAATTTACCTTCAATATTAGTGATTTAACAGAAAATCTGTAGTAAAAAAAAATGGTGTACCTTGTCCACGGTTTTTCGAGTGCTATCATCGTAATATTTGGCTGCTTCTATGTAGTAGATGATGCCGTATTGATTTATTAAAGCTGCTATTCTTGGTTGATCGAGTAATGGGTAAAAGGAAAGATCTACAGGACCTTGCTTCATTAGAAGGAAACCTTCTAAATAATCGAATCCATTGGGTGCCATTAAGTGTTCTTGATCTCTTGAAAATGCAGAGAAGTTACTGTACATCATTCGAACCCATTTAGCCTGCAGAGAATTAGTGCAGAACTTAATAAATTCAAATCATATTTCAAGAAGAAAAAAAATATTTTGTTACAACGATATTCTACTCTGAGGAGAAGAAATAGAAATTAGTTCATACCCTTTTCGGAGCTGGCGCGAGGGGAATCCTTGCTCTGGTTATTACACCAAATTGGCCCAAGCCTCCGAGAACAGCATAAAATAGCTCTGGCACCTTTTTTGAGGAGCAAGTAACTAATTCGCCCTTCCCTGAATTAAAAAAAAATTAAAAATTTAAAGTCTTTTTTTTTTATAAAATCCATATACTTTAAGGTCAATCAAAATAATCAAGAAAAAAATTTCTAAGTTCTCACTTCATTAACAGACCATGAGCTTGATTTGAGAAATTTTGGTAATATAATAAGGGAGGTGTTGTTGGCATTTGCAATTCAAAAATTATTATTATACACTCCAAATTTATGAAAATATATAAAAAAAATTATAAGAAAAAAATGCGGGATGATATTTTTGGAGTGGAACCTAATAAAAAATAAGAAATTAATATGAGAAAATTTGGAAGTTAATGAGTGGTGAATATATTGATAACGCTTGCTGAGATGCATTCATTTCCAGTGAATATGCATGCAACACAAGGCAAACATAGTTTTTAGGACTTTTAAGTGAAAGAGCCAGATAGAGTAGTACTGAGTTGTCAGAGAAGTCCTCATACCAGTTACAACATCGAGTTCATATACATTGTTGATTTGGGGACCATATAGAAACGTTTGCCCACTTATTCCAGCGTTACTGAGCGTGCCACCAACGCTCAGGTAAAGGTAGTCGGTCCACGAAACCGGTGTAAGACCACGCTCCAGTGTAGCACGCAACACATCGATCCAACGTTGCTCACCTCCAACATCAGCATAAGAACCCAAAGAGGGGCTCTCTGAGACCACAATTCTAGAACCATTACGGATCAAAGCTGTCATGTTTATGACAACGCCACCAGAGGTCAGGGCCTGTCCGCGAACAGAATGACCCTGGCCTCTAGCAGCTACGCTAAAAGGCGCAGAATTGTTGTTTGAGGATAGGATTAGACTTGCGATGTCATTTGGCGACGTCGGATTAAGAACTGCAGCTGGGAATTCATAAACTATATGGCCATAATCAGTAGAGGTTGAATTGATGGACCCAGTATCGTTTAGTAGCAAGCTGTCCACATCCCCGAGTGAGGATAGGAGTAGACTTGCCCCGGTTGCGGATAACATCATAAACCCTAGGATTAAACTCAGAGTAGTCCAGTATTTTGGAACTGCAAAATTCTCAGCCATTTTTTTGGTGGTGAAAGGAGAGGGAAAGAGAAGTGTGTTGATATGTACAGGGAAATTAAGTTGCATTATATATAGAAGAGAAATTACTTAAACAAATTTAATTAGTGTGGGATAGTAGAGAGCATGGACTGGCGTTAATAAACGTCGCTTAGTGGCCGTGGCCGGCCAAGTTGTACAGGCTTTTCCAAATGTACGCAAGAAGAAGAAGACTTAATCAAATCAGTACACTTGCATCTTTTGCAAATTTACGCAATATAAAACATTGAGCATTAACTATTTTTTTCCCTTCAAACTGTCGGTTGGATATGTAAGAAAAATGAGTTAATTACTTGTGTTAGATTAATGTTCAAATTCTTAAGCATGGTCTGCAATTCTGTACATACATTCTTTTACAAGTATGCTGATACATCAACGGATTATATACGTAGTTGCAATATTTTATTTCCTCCGGGTGTAATTTTCCCATTTTTTTTTTTTAATCTGGGAGGTGTTTATTTTTATTTAATTCTTATTTGGAATTTCAGTTTTTTTTTAATCAACTTTTGACTCATTTGATAATCATTTCGTTTTTAGTTTTTCTTTTTATTTTTTTGTGAAAGGTAGAGGCAAAAATACATTAGAGAAGTGAGATATGAAGAAGAGGTGGAAAAAAGATGGTAAGAGGGATTTAAAAGAAGAGTGGTGCTATCCTCACATCCTTTTTTACCTTTCACACGCACCCAGTGGCGGATCCAGGATTTTAACATAGGGTGGTCCTAATATAAAAGCTCCAAAAAAAAAAAACGAAAATAACATTGAAAAATAAATGGCAAACTACAACTTCGACAAAAAATATGTATGAACTAACACTGTAACACAATCTTCGACAAAAAAAAAAATACACTGTAACACAATTCAAGTAATATCAGAAAATCCTAACGAATGAACAATAAATATATATGAACTCACACTAAAATAGATATGCAAAAATCCTAAGAAATTAACAATGAATAAGGCTGAATTTAGTTTAAAACCTGTTAGTGTGTGACTGTTTGACTTTTTATCAAAAATCCTTATCAAAAACCATTATCAAGACCCTTACATATATGTATTCACTGTTCAACCTTTTGTTTTAATTAGTGTTCTTAAAAAGTAAAATAAAAAACTAAAACTAAAAATCCTAACAAATTAACAATAAATATGTATGAACTAACACTAAAAATAAGTATGAACTAACATTAAACTAGGAAACTTACCGATATTCTAAAATTGTTGTTGATGGCCTTCACTAGCTTGGGTGGTGTGAGGAATAGGCAGGCAATTAGGTATATTATATTTGATAAAGTTGAATTTGATTGAAAACAGACTAATGAAAAGTCATGGGCTTTTATTAAATTTCAAATTGTTTGACTTTTTAATAAAAGACGGTGTGTGCTATCATGGGGGTTTTAAATTTTTTTTTAATGACTTAGCTTAATACAACGTTGTTTTGGCAAAGTCGTTTGAAAAAAAAAAAAACCTTTCTTCTTCCACCTTCAATTTTGCATAGCACAGCAGCCATGGCTACTGCTCTTCTCTACCACTGCCCGAACTTGGGTGGTCCTAAGAGGTTCTCACAGCCATTTATTTGAGCTTCTGAGTGATCCGAGACCACCCTGGTCCCTTAGTAAATCCGCCCCTACACGCACCTCAATTTTTAGCTATCAGATCAAATGAATCGAAAATGATCAAATAACAGAAATTAACATGGAGTGTGTGGGAAGTAAAAAAGATGTATGGATAGCACCATCCTTAAAAGAAATGTATATGAAATGTTACACATGAGAAATGAGATATTAAGGGGCCGTTTGATAATCATTTTGTTTTGAGGTATCATTTTTATTTTCACGTGTTACCAAACAAGACTTTCAGTATGAAAATTAAAAGCAAAAAAAAAACAAAAAAAACTGAAATGGTTATACATGCCTTAAGTTATTTTTATACTCATGTTTTTGTTTTGTACTTTTTTCGTAATTTTAACTCTCGACCCTTCTTCTTTCCTTATCCCGTATACTTTTCCTCAATCTCCAAGACGAAAACTGAAGATGAAGAACTATAGATGAAATGGTTATATGCACTTCAACCTTTTTTATTTTTTTGGATTAAAGAAGCTAGTGAGTTTAATTTATATTATATAATTCGACTTTGGGACATGGAAAAATGTTACTCCTTTGAATCCTTCTTCACTGTGCGTGTACCGCCAACAATCCAGTTTTAGATACGCCTCTTTTTGGCCGGTGACAACTATTGTTTGACAAGTTTATAATATTGTTTGACGAAACATTTTTTACCCTAAAAAACATGGAGTAAAATATGGACTGACATCCAGACTTAGGCTGGCAAAGACAGGGATTTCCTGCTTGGGAAGCGCAAAGACATAGTTCGCTGCTCCATCAAGGTTGTCAATCTAAAAAATTTCAAACTTACTAGCGCACTAATATACCATCCGCAGCTATTTTACCGTCTTTTTATAGGCTGAAAAAGATGGCAGGGAATTATAACTCAGGTGGTTAAGGTCATTTACACTTAGGTTCTTGTTAATTTTCTTTTTGTCAATATCGTTCGTTCCTGGAGTTGAATACTTCATTCAAGAATTGTTTTTTATTCAATCCAGTAGAAAAGGTAAACCCCTTATGATACACCAGATTCGACTCAATTAGATTGATCTGCTATCATTTAAAATCTATTTTCTTATTTAAAATTATGGTGTAACGTGCATTCTCCCTTGTTCCGGTCATGAAATAGATGCAATAAATCAAAAATAGAATTTGATTCAAGAATGAAATCTTATTGGAATTGTCCTTATCCAAATCATACTTTGGAACCATATCACATCACAAATATGATGAAATAGGATGAATTGAAAGGCCCATAGGTATTGGAAAATTCAAGGGCTGTAGCTTCAAATGTTATGTTGCACAAGTATTTTAGCCATTAAATTTCTTTTCCGCACTTGTTATATATTCTATTTTTAACTTCATCCATTCATTTTCTATTTCACTAAGTGCTACATAGCATTGAAGAAAAATCTCGAACTCACAGCTAGAAGATGAAATGTAAAAGATATAATTCATTTGGTAAAATTTGAAGATGTTTCTGAATTGTTAACTCACGGAAGTAAAAGAATACAGGATGCAGCAGCTAGGTCTGCAACATGAGGATTTAACTATAGGTAATATGTAACACACAAGAACCGAGCAAAACATAGACCTTGAAATACAATTTAACTGCAAAATGTGTACCATTCTTGCAACCAAGAGAACAAGAGACTCTAGGGAAGGCCAAACGTCTCATAGGCCGTCGTACTCTTGGAACTTTAAGGAGTATGATCGCTGTTCCTTTAATTTGATAGCACACTGAATCGAGTTAAAGCTCGCACCTACAGGAGAACAGTACAATGCTCCATCTTATTTGTGTGCCAAGGATACTGTTTAAGCAGCTGGGACCTTTCTGCCATCTTCAATAAAGAAAATTGCAGCTTCTGGGACCTGAGAAGGGAGGCAAAGAAAAGTTTTAGGTACTTTAAGCTAAGCGTGTATTCCAATTTTAACTTGGACAGTATAAGTGATCTTATCATCGAAAACACGAGATTACAAAAACATGACTAAAAAGGGGTGACCGAGGGACAATTTATGCCACTCAAATTAAGAATACGTTCTTACAGCCAAGGTCACAATCCAATCAACACCTCCCTAAGTACAACAATAGAAAGAATAAAAAGAAAGGCATAAAAGGATAATCCTTGATGCCCTGACTTTTATAAAGAATTCATTAAAAATAATTCCTATGGTGCTACCCCATGCAATTATCCATGGATATGAAGTAGTAAAATACAAATGACGAAATAAAAATTTAACACTACGTGGTACAAATGTCCCAAAGCCATATTTTGGCTAACTGTTTACATTTACCAGTGTTTAGTTTTTAATTTAACAACTTTTTCACCACATTTCAAAATTTATACCATACATAGCGATCTAATTCATACAATATAGTAACTCTACTTTAGCCTAATTCATTCATATACATAGCGTTAAAGAGGTTAATCTTTTTATTGGAAATAAGAACTCCCATTTTGAAAAAAAGTTGAAAACAACACATCATGTGGAAGAAAGAGAAACAGTGAGCAGAGTAGCTTACGTCAGGCCAAGTATCTGTAATGAACTCCACAATGTCATAAGCGATATCTCCTTGAACATCAATTTGGTCCTTCTCAGTTGGCCCCTGAAACCAATCATTCCAAATTAATTATAACAAACCATCATCGCATACAGACAAAACAATATACTATCCATCATACCTTAACAACAGAGGCTCCAGGTAGCAAACTTTTTCCCCAATTTCTTTGAAGCATCACTAAGTTTGACACCTGAATTGTAATGAAAGAAACCACGTTAATTATGGTAGGAACAAAATAAGAATCTCCAAATAGAAAGACAAAGGATGCAAAGTAGTAGATTGCTCACCAAAAAGCTCCAGCCCTTTCACAGTGGTGATAGATTTTCGCTTATTACGCGTGACTTTTTCAATTGTAACTTCTTGCTTCTCCTACGGAAAAAAACCCATACCAAGTTTAGTCATTATAATTTAAAGGGTTTCAAAAGAAATATTGTTTTGCAACCATCAACCCAGACAGCTTGTTCACAAAGGGTTACACCTATTTAATAGAAGAAAACAATTTCCGAATTATCACCTTTTTCTTAATCTTCCCACCTGGGAGACGCTTGACTTCTTCTTTAGGTGCTGAAATGGCACCCACCAAATTAAGGCCGAAAAAAAAAACAAAAATCGTTATAATTTGGATTCGCAAAGCAGAAAACAAGCTTTCCAAACTAAAATTAAAGCCGAAAAGAATAAAACAAAACATCCCAATTCATCTCATAGCAGCACAAACACAATAACATAAACATGTTTAGGCACTCCATATCTCCACACACTCATTCACATATATACTGTACCAGCACTCATAACTCATCCAAACCAGACCAGAAATGGTAACACATACCAACATAAACACATGCTCACGCATACATGATATACATATATATACACACACACATATACGCACATATACATATTTACAGCAATACCTGAAGAAGCAGCTCCATCACCACCTCCAGAAGAAATACCAGTGGACTGCAACTGGTTGGCTACTTTATCAGTTTCCTTAGCATTAGCCTCTGCACAAAAAAAAAAATATTAATACAAAAAATAAAATAAATTAAAAAATCATTGAAAATAACAAATAAATAAAACAGAACAGAGTAATCATAAAAATAAATAAATAAATAAATAAACTAAACTTTAATTCGAATTGAATAAAAAGAAATTAGGGTTCGAGCAAAGATAGAACCTTTAACGAGATCCGGGTAAAGGTCCGGGGCGTTTTGGATCAACCATGGCTTGCATTTCTCGAAATCGGGTCCGAATTCACAATACTCAGCAGGCAAACTGCACACCGCACAGTACAGCACGCGAACCGGCTGGGGCTTCCCCGCCATCAGAGCTCAGCCTCAAGCTCCTCTCTCTGTACCTCCCCACTCTTTCTCTCTCTCTCTCTCTCTCTCTCTCTAACCCTCGCTCTGAAATTGGGGAAAGTCAAAACGCTGCGTTTAGGTGACGCAAATCGGTGAATTGAAGACGGTTTTTTGCAGCTGCTCGATGACGGTGAGATTATAGGGATGGCTTTGTTGGATTACGTGTGTCGGACGCTGCTGGGCCAATTGCAGTGCGTATCGTTGCTTGGGGTACATACTGTTATGTGCGTTCTAAATTTCTTGGGCCGGAAAGGCCCAAATACTTGAATATTGGAGGTTTTATTCTTTCTAGCAACAAGAACAGGATTTGAACTTAGACACATCTTTTAGACCAACTCTAATCCTTGAAATAAGTTTTAGGGGGGTGTATTCAGATGAGAACATAATTTAGGGTTATGGGTAAGAAGCTAAAATTGGGTCGAATATCGGCCAAAAAAGTGGGCCGAGTTAGTGGAGAGTCCCCCAAATGTACGTGGACGTGCCTAATTTTTGTCCAGCACGGAGCGCCAGAAGAGCCTCACGCCTCAAGATGTGGCGGCATTAAAGAGGCAGGGTCCTAGACACCTGGGTGCTTGTCGGCCTTGATGCTGAGCCAAATGGCTCTTACGGTCATGTACGCCCTAGATTAAATCGACCGTTGGTTGATCCAATGGTCCCCCATTCAAACTTTTTTTTTTTTTAAATTTATATATTTATTGAATTCACAGCTGAAATCTAATATGATCAAATTCAATAATAAAAAAAAGATCTAACGGTCCAAATTTAAATCTAACAACTAAAATAATAATAAAAAATTATTTATACATCTCTATCATATGTTTTATATTCTTTCATAATGTTTTATTGAGTTTCATGGATATCAGTTTAGTAATTTTTCAATATTTATCAGAGTCTAAATATTTTTGAGTTAAAATGTTCATAAAATTAAATTATGATAATCTACGTATTTTTTTTTAAGTTACTTTAAAAAAATAGTCTAAATTCATTCTTTAATAATTTGGAACTAAATATTTAAGTTTTAACCCAAAAGGAGTTGGAACGGAAAAACTGTTTCTCGGTTAAAACCTAAATTTCAAGGTTACAAATTTTAAGTTTTAACCCAAAGGTTGGATATGATCTTAGTTTTAGGAAGATTAGTACAACCAGACATTTAGAGAAAGTGCATGCCAAATAAGATAACATCGAATTTAATCCGTATGAACAATTGCATTATCATTGATTGGCAGAATCATAACAGATTCCTAGTACCAACCATACTTAGGGCTAGTATGGTATCGTTGTGCGTTTTAAAAAATATTACTTATAATGTATTGCAAGAATAAACAATTGTAAAATAAAGTTATGTGATTGATAATTTTTTTTATTTTATAAAAGTGTTTTTAATAATTAAAAAAATATAGTGTAAACATGTTTTGTAAACTTTTATATAAACTGTTGCAGCCCTCTCATTCTCATCACCACCTTGTGGGCTGTTCTTCAAACTCTCTGAAAAAGTTCCCCGAATAGAGGTCGGTAAGTTGTTGATAAGATTTCTTGATGAGATTGAGGTCGTCGGATCGGGCAGACAGTGTGGACAGAAAGGCAAGGCGTCTGCAATTGTTCCATTTCTTGTGCTGGGCAACAAGATCGACACCCCTTATGCTGCTTGAAGATGAACTTCGATATCACCTAGGACTGACCAATTTCACAACTGGCAAGGGGGGAAGGTGAATATGATCAATTTTGGCTCAGTATTTGTGTGGTAAGTTTTCCTGCTAATTTGTAGTTTCTGACCACAATTATAATGGAAAAGAAATTACTTATTCGAGTTTGGTCAGATTGGTGAATTAACGGAAGAGGAATTTCGAGTTTGATCAGTCGGCGGCACTGTGAACAGAGAGGTGATGGAAGATGATAAAACCATCCTGGTATGACATGTAAATTATTAAATTGCTTAAGGTTGTTTTTTGTTATTTGAAAGTTACACTAAAGGAATCTGGATCCTCTTTGTGAGGATTCTGGGAATCCGTGAGTCATATTAGTTTTTTTCGTACATTGCGATCAGAAATTATTTTAAATATTTTTATTTAAAATTAAATACAAACAGTACCTGATAAAAATTAACCACATGATATACGATGAATAGACACGATTTACAAATCTCTAAGATCCTTACTAAAAGGATTCGGAAAGAATACACAAGACCTCGTGTCTCTGGAAAAAGGAATTAACTTCGCTGCTGAACATTTCAGCAGGAATTCCTGCTTACACTCAATACCGGATGAACAAGTGTCCACCCGAAATTAAATGTAAGCAGGACGTCCCGTTGAAATTTTAACAGCGAAGTCTTTGTGCCTGGAAAAATAGGTTTGCGCAGAAGCGCAAACACAGCAAAAGACCCCGTTTTACAAAGTTTGCATTTGCTAATTTTGCTTTTTCCACCCAGATTGTGAAAAAGGTGATTCTAGGAGGATTACCAAACACTGAAAAGGTCATGTTTTTTTTTATATATACTTGTTTTTTTTTTTTTAAATCACAGCATAACCAAATCAGAACTTAATAGTGCTATAATTTTCAATGAATAATATAAAGAACAATTTTAGTAGCATATTTAACTGTTTGGAGTGACAAATTATATACCATATAGCTGTGTATTTCAAATTACAAGTTTCTTTTCAGTTTTTTATGCCAAGTTTAGCTGTGTATTAGGAAAACAAATGCAATTAGGGTTAATTAGAGAGTTGAAGATGGGTATGTATGTATGTTTGTATATATGTAAATAGGCTGGATAATATAATTTATAAGGGTTTCAAAGCCAATTGTCGTTAATTAGGAAATGTGACTTGTCTGTAAATACATGTAACGGTTGTGTTGGAATTTAAAAATGTTTGAGTACTAGTTCTAACATCTCAAAGCCAAATGGATTAATAATGTCTCTTTTGGATTTTACCTCAGTTACTAAGCAATATACGTTTTATTGATTAACGGGATAGTGGGATTCAAATTATGTTTCGTTTTTGTCAACTAAAGTGAATTGTTCGTTACAAACTAACTTTTGATTTAATATTTTTTATTCAAAATTGAAAACGAGACATAATTCAAATCCCGCTTTCCTGTTAAGCAATAAAAACATATATTGCTTTGTAACAAAGGGAAATCCAAGAGAGACATAATTAATCCACTAGGATTTGAGTTGTCATATCTAATCACCAAACATTTTCAAATTCCAACACAACCTTGGATGCATTTACAGACAAGGCACATTTCCAAATGACAATTGGCTTTAAAACCCTTAACCATATTATCGATAAACACCTTATATCCATGAGTAATGCTAGAGACATCAAATTTTTAAGGGAACTAAATTAGGTAAATCAAATAATGTTGTTGTTGATGGTTGAATTGTCACTTAAATTTTGAGTATTGTGCTTATTTTCTATTAGTGACACATCTTGTGATTTGCAAATTTAGGTCTTCCTAGTATTATCTATACATATATACATACATATGTGTCTATCATCAACTCTCACCTTGCATGTGCTTATAAGTAGTTGAGCTATTCCTCATATTGCCAATTGATTTTATGGTAGAACCCCAATTTCTTCATAGTATCAGAGCAAATTGTCCCATGTGCGAAACTCAACGGCCCCACACGTGCCCCACATAACTTGAGTTGTGTTGTCCACGTGTTAGACTTGAAATTCGTCACACATAACACGTGAAGGAGCTTGTTGAGAATAAATCTCACATTGATGAAAAGAAACTTTGCATGTGCTCAGAATAATTGGATTATTCCTCATATTACCAATTGAGTTTATGATGGAACTTCAACTTCTTCACTCCCTACCGTCATCTTCCTCAGCAAAGAACTAATGGCAAATTTTAAAGCTGGTGCTGTTGCAAATACCAAAGCAAAAAATTGTGTTGTCCACGTACCCCACATATGTTAGGTATCAGCAACATTTATAAGATTTTGGCTACTGTCGAGCCGGATTAAAGACAGCTGAGACTATACTCTTTCAAGGGAATACATGGAGGAATGATCCTTCGGTTGGTTGCCTTGGTGTTACAAATTGTTCCTCCTCGAACAAATATATTTCTATGAGAAAGAACTTGAGATTACAAATTGATATCTAGCAATTTACAGGGAATTAAAACAGAAGCTTGATTCGTAGAATATACAACCAACACAAGGAGCAGCGGTCGTCCCTGATCAAGTAGGGCATATGATTTTAATTTTTATTAATTCAGTCTTCTTGTTTTTTTTTTATTGAATTATTGTTAGTTGATCTATATTTTTCTGACCAACAACATATATATATATATATAGACTAAAATAATTGATGTGAAATTTAGGTCTTCGGGTCATGGTGTAGACATCGAAATTTCGGAAGTTTCGTGTTTACACATGACTGAGGTGAAAAAAGTATGAAGAAGGGTACATCTGCACGTTGAGTTTGGAAGACACGCCTTCGACTTCTGCCTCATGCACCCATGCAAGTTTCAGTGTACCCTTCTTCATACTTTTTCATCTCAGCCACGTGGAAGACGAACTTTTGAAATTTTGATGTCTACTACACCGTGATCTGAGGGAACTAAATTCACAGTATAAGTAATAATAAATCAATTATTTTAGTCTACATACATACATACATATATATATATATATATATGTTGTTGGTTCCAAAAATATAGATCAATTAACAATAATTCAGTAAAAAAAAAAATAAGGAGACTGAATCATTAAAAATTAATATCTGACTTACTTGATTAGGGACGACCGGTGCTGCTTGTGTTGGTTGTATTTTCTGCGAATCGAGCATCTGTTTTAATTCCCTGTAAATTGCTAGATATCAATTTGTAATCTCAAGTTCTTTCTCATAGAAATCTATTTGTTCTCGGAGGAATAATCCGGTAACACCAAGGCAACCAACCAAACGATTATCCCTCCATGTATTCCCTTGAAGAGTATTAGTCTCAGTTGATGCTTGTCTTTGATCTGGCTCGACTGTAGCCAGAATCTTATAAATGTTTCTAATGCCGAACATATGCTGCGCATTTACAAATTCTACATTTTCTCCTTTGGTATTTGCAGGCAGCACCAGCTAATTTAAAATTTGCCATGAGTTCTTTGTTGAGGAAGTGAGTGTACGGATTGAAGAAGTTACCAATTAACTATATGGGGAATAGCACAACTAACTTTAAACGAGCTCATTAAATTCTTGTATTTTGGTTAGTTTTATTTGCAGTTGTTTGCAAATTTTATTGCTTGAAATTGTAGATACGCGCTATGTGGAAGGCTTCGTGGATTCATGTTATGAGAGCTGCTCCAAAAATAACCGAATCAATTTAGGCATTGTGCCATTGTGTATTGATGCCTTGCTGCACGCAAAAAATAAATGACAAACTATGTCTTGCATGAACAAATTTCAATTTAAAGCAATAATAAGTTTTACCCAATTGTTTGAATTGCTTTATGGAGTGTATAATTTTGTTTGTCTCTTCTCTTATTATTCACTTTGAGTGCGTTTGTTGTACCAGACTAGTTCAGATTGGACTAACTTCATGGACTAAACTAGACTGGCTTAGCTTGGACTAACCAGTACTAAAATTGTGAAGCATTGCAGTGTCGGATTAGAACTAAAATTTCATTTTTTAAATTTAATTATAAAACTAAATTTCACATTCTGATCTAAATAATTAAATTTAGATCTACTCCAAATTCTTTTTTCTTTTACTTTTTAAATTGATGAACTTCAAGATAATCATGGTAATTCTAATATAAAACAACAACAAAAAATAGTAATTAAGTTCGATAGAGGGAGAGGGGATACTTGTTCTGGATGAAGCTCACTCAATGATCGGTGGCTTTGATGAAGAACAATACCTGGCTCTCACCAGTTCACGCGAAGGACGCATCGTAGTGAGAGAAGGCAGCGTAGTGAGGTTCTTAGCAATACCTTGCTTTTGCGGAGGACTAATTTAGGCGACATAGCGAGGTCCAAAGTCCACACGAGTTTGGGCTAATCCCATTTAACTTAGTCCCTTGCTATACCAAACATTGGTTATTAGTTCTAACTAGTTCAGTCCTAGCTAAGGAGGTCAAACAAACGAGACCTCTGAGTATTGTAATAGGGTGCTTTATTCAAGCTTCGATAAAACCTTGTGAGGATTTTAATCAAGACAAAAGAAAAGAGTGTCCCGCATCAAAATTATCCAAAACTCTAAATCCGAGAGTATAGTTTAATAGAGATAAACAATCGTTAATATATCAAGTATGAAGATCTGAATAACCTTCTAAGAAATTAAAAATGAAGAGCAATCAAAGGGAGCGAAAAGAAAAATAGTGTTTCAAATCAAGGACGTCCAACCAATCAAAATCTACAGCAAAATTCAACAGATGAATGTTTGATAAATTAATAAGGTTTTTTTTTATCACAAATGGTCCATGAAATTGACCCACTCAATCAAAATAATCTATAAAATTAAAAATCAATTAATATAGTTCTTGAAAATGGCTGTTGCAAATTAATATGATCATTTTGTTACAATTCCGTTAAAAATTCTGTTAAGTATAGATGTGACACATAAATGGTTTTCACCAATTTAATTAAATATTATTTTGTGAATAAAAATATTTAAATAATAAAAAACAAATTTTATTTTTTATAATTAAAAACTAAAAAAATAAAAAAATAAAATGAAGATGAAGATGATTGAACATTGTTCATCATCTTCTTGCCTCCCCACCCTCCCACTACAACCCCCACCCCGCCCCCTCCCACTCCCCACGAAGTTCTGGGTATCTTTAGAGTGCCACCGTCGAACTTGCGGCTGTCGTGAGGGAAGGTAGTAGCAGACTGTTCAAGCTCTCCAAGATCTGCAAAACGTGTTTGGTTCCGGTCACTGTCGTCTCCCCTGGCTTTTCATACCGCATTAAAAAACAGAGCAACTGGGTTATTTTTTACTGCTGAAAATCTGTACACTTCCGTAAATTTCAAGACTTTATGTTTTTTTCTCCACAACCTATTTCTCTTACGCCATCAAACCAAAAACCCAGAAGAAGAAAAAGCATAAACAGTAAGCAGAGGAGAGAAAGAGAGAGAGACCTGAAATAGGACGACTGGGTTTGTTGAAGCTGCTTTGAAGCTCTCCATTTTCTTATTGATTGGGTGGTGATTCTTCCTTTTTTTTATTATAAAAAATAAAAATTGTTTTTTATTATTAAAATATTTTTAATTCACATAATAATATTTAATTAATTTAAATAATTTTTTTTATTATTATGTAAATATTTTTAATTCAAAAATAATATTTAATTAAATTCGTGGGATCCATATATGTGCCACAATCGCACATAACAAAATTTTTTACAAATTCATGATAGAAAAACCACATTAATTGGCAACACCCAATTTCAATGACTACATTGATGGATTTTCAATTTTAAAGATTATCTTGATGGAGTGGCTCAATTTCAAAGACCATTTGCAATAAAAACCCAATTGATAATCTTGAAAAAATAATAAATATTTTAGTTCAAACTCAACATCTCACATCGCCCAAGGGAGTAGATCTGGTAAACCGTATATGTATATTCTCATCTCTACCTAGCACGAGGCTTTTTGGGAGCTCACTGGCTTCGGGTTCCATCAAAACTCCGAAGTTAAGCGAGTTCGCGCGAGAGCAATCCCATGATGGGTGACCCACTGGGAAGTTGCTCATGAGTTCCCATAAACAAAACCGTGAGGGCGTGGTTGGGGCTCAAAGCGAACAAATATCGTGCTACGGTGGAGTTGAGCCTGAGATGTGGTGGGGCCCGTGCCGGGATGTGACAATTTGGTATCAGAGCCAATCCCTGGCCAGAAATGTGCCGACGAGGACGTCGGGCCCTTAAGGGGGGTGGATTGTAACATCTTGCATTGCCCAGGGGAGTGGAGGACGTCGGGCCCCTAAGGGGGGTGGATTGTAATATCCCGGATAGCCCAGGGGAGTGGATCATGTAAGCGTTATATGTATATTCTCACTCTACATAACATAAAGTCTTTTGGGAGCTCACTGGCTTTGGGTTCCATTAGAACTCTGAAGTTAAGCGAGTTCGCGTGAGAGCAATCTCATGATGGGTGACCCACTTGTAAAGTTGCTTGTGAGTTCCCAAAAACAAAACCGTGAGGGCAATCCTATGATGGGTGACCCACTGGGAAATTGCCCGTGAGTTTCCAAAAACAAAACCGTGAGGGTGTGGTCGAGACCCAAAGCAGACAATATCGTACTACTGTGGAGTTGAGTTCGAGAATGTGGTGAGGACCCGACCAGGATGTGACAAGTGTACTCAATAACCTCACTAATTAAATGCATAAGATATTAAATTTTCTTAAAATCTTTTAAGACCGAGGGAATATATAAATTCATAATGGTGAATACATAAAAGAAATAACACGTAGATATTCACAGTACATAAAAGAGCTTAACACATAAATATTCATAATACATATTTAGATTTTTTTTTAACAACTTCTATTTTCTTTTCTTTTTTCAAACAACTTCTATTTTCTCAATTCAACTATTTCTCAAAATATGCTTCTAAAGTATATTTGTCTTCAAGGGCATTAAGTTTTGAAAATATTTGATCTTCTAGTTCTTAGAAGTTTGAAGTCATATACATATACTTGTTGCGTTATAAGATACATGTATCTTTGCTAAAAAATAATAACAGTAATAAATGAACAAACAAAATTTCTTGTTAAATGTAATAATATTTATTTAACAATAAATTAATAAATTATTCATTCATTGATACAATAATAACCTCCCTAAAACGATAATTTATTTTAGTAAAGAGTAATAATTAATAAATTATTCATTCTTGAATTAATAATTAATTAATTTGGTTGACGAATTTGTGGCACTTTGAACACCGAAAAAGGAAAGCTTTTTTTTTTTTTTTTTTTTCAAGAAGAAATATAAATATTAAACAACATATATCTTTCTTTTTTCAAACAAATAAATATGTTCATGCATATCAGATTACTGAGATTCTTGCGATGACTTCTTTCTTGGAAATTATTCCTTCATCATCGATTATAATCCATAACCCATCCTTATTGCTATCTTGTATCATAATTCAGAAGAACAAATGTATACCAACTTAAATACATGTACAGTTATATATATGTATACATTCGTAAAATTAATAGTCATCATGATGAAATTGGGGTTCCACACCAATGTGGAACAACTCTCAACACGCCCACGCACGTTGGTGGATTTTCAAGCCTACATGTGGACAACAATCAGGTGACGTGGATCGCGTGTGGCTGTTTGGCTTCACACGAGAACAACCCGCTCTGATACCATGATGAAATTGGGGTTCCATCATAAAATCAATTGGCAATATGGGAGTAGCCCAAGACCATATAAGTACATAGCAAACTTTGTCCCTCACCAATGTGGGACAACTCTCAACACATCATACCAACTTAAGCCATTGACAGATCATCAAAATTAATATAAGGAGAATTAATATGGAAATTATTTGTCCCTCTACTTATGATTAAAATATCCTTATCGTCCAGACATCATAATTGAAACCGTTCATTATCTTTATCATCATCTAAAGATTATATCTGCGAAAAAATTATTCAATTTAAAGATTATTTAGTCATTCATATGCATAAAATAAATAGACGGTTCGTCATATGATGCTACTTGTCACCAAACTGTTAATTAGTTTAATACGTATGAAAAAATAAACGATCTCAAAATTGAATAATTTTTTACAAATATAATCTTTAAATAATGATAAATATTATGAACGGTTCTAATTATAATGTTTAAACAATAAAAATTCATTAATCGCAAATAACGAAGGGTCACAAGCATTATCCTTAATTTGCATGACCAAATAAACTGAATAAATACCATTACATTTTCAAACTCAGTCTCACAGGCAAGAAAATAAACCAATAAATTATTATTATTATTTTTAAAAAGGAAAAACACAATAACCTTATTATTGGCTACTTTTTTTAATTGATTCGAGCCTCTGCAGTCTCAGCTGCTGCTTAAACTTGTTTATGAAATCGTTAGCTTTCGCATCAACCGCTTCGTGTCCTCCAAACGATTTCGTTTTCTTCACCCTCGGCATCGCCGGCCTAATGTCCGTTTCTTTGTTGTTTCCTTCAACCCCTCCTCGGAAGCAGCGAGTTATCGCTGGTCGACTTTTTTATCTTCTCACGCTGGTTTACCCGAGCCCCATTACCCGAGTTCGACTTATTCCGATGAACCAAGTTTTCTTCACTAAAACTCGGATCGCGGGCCTCATGTTCGGACTCTTCCGGTTCATGAATTTTATTCTCTGGGTCGGCATGTTCGGGCCGGTAGAATGGGAAATCCATCGACTTGAGCCGCTCCAAGAGCGAGGGTGTCCTAGCTAACCCGACCGGACTATTGCTGTCTGTCTGACTCGAACCAGGAAGTTGTGCTGCTGATTCGCCGGATTGGACTTCTGGGCTGGTGGATTGTTCAAATTTGTAGTGGGAAAAGTTGATGGATCGAAACCGGTCCAATAGCGAGGGAGTTCGTTCGAGTTGGGGTGAGGGAGTCCGGTTTGATCCGGTCGAATTATCTAAATCTGCATGCTGTGGCGCGTGTAATGGGTTTCCGGATTCGGTTGCTCGAATTTGTAGTGGGATAAGTTTATCGAACGGACCCGGTCCAAGAGTGAGGGGGTTCGTTCGAGTCGAGGCGAGCTGAACAGGCCGGGTTGCTCTTCTTGCTGCTGCAGTTGTTGGTGCTCAGGTTTTTTGTGGGTCCCGTAGTGGGAGCTGAGGACTATGATGCCGATCATGAGGTTGAGGAGAAGGAAGAGCGAGGAGGGCGTGAACCAGCTGAGCATCCATGCCCACATGGCCAAAGACGACGATGGGTCCGCCATGTTGCAGTTTCTCAGCTGCTTCTCACTCCTGTGAGCTTCTAGAGAGAGAGAGAGAGAGAAGTTGTTTTTGTTGTTGTATGGCATATGAAAGTGGAGAACCGTAGGGTTTTGGTGAGTAGGATGACATAGAAGGATATATAAAATGGTGAGAGATGACGTCATAAAAAAGGAGATAGATGACGTTATAAAAAAGGACAGAGGTTTAACACGTTGCAAGTTTTTATTATTGTTTTCAGATGGGACCTGAATTGTCTGCCCTCCTCATCCTATACTTTTCTCATCCCATTTTATTTCTAAGATCACGGTTAAACCACTTCAACATTTTATATTCCCATTAAATCAATATAAAATGTTAATGTTGCTTAACCGTGATCACATAAATAGAAAAATGATGAAAAGAGAATGAGATAGGGAGCGCAAACAATCAAAGTCCTTTCAGACGTCCGTTGATTTGATGGATGCACGACTTCTAACTAATCTGGGGATGATTTAATAAAAAATAAAAATCTTAAGTTTTACTATTCGTTTAAAAGTATTTTAAAAATAATTAAAAGTAATTTTAGAGAAATGATTCTCAATTTCAAAAATACTTGAAGCCCAGGACCATGAAGCACTAGTTATGTACTTTTTTCATGAAGTACTTCAAATGTTTTTTCAGAATTCATTTGTATTTTTACTACGAATTTGTTCTAAAACATTTTCACGAAAAGAATTTTCAGCAATTTTAAAATCACTTCCAAATAAGCTCTTATTAAGTGGAATGAATTGGGATGTGCTATCCACACATCCCAATTTACTTCTCACACTTCTTGTTAATTTATGGAATTTAATCGTTATCAATTCATTCGATCTGATTGCCAAAAATTAAGAAAGTGTGTGGATGTACACCCCCAATAAATTTTGTGGTTACTTACCCTTAAGGTTAACTCCACCTATCATCTAACATAATCTTGAAAGAGAGATTTAATCAAAATATCCATTTACGACATGTTTACTGATTAATAATATAAAAAATGTAAGAAATTAGAAAACTTAAAAATATAAAAAATAAATGAGAAAATTGGATCGACTCTGATTGTGAATTTTCACGTATTGTATTATGAATTTTAAGTAGAAACTTACATTTACATATTATCGTCTGGCGTTATCGAGTTTTCATTTTATTGGAGAGGATCATGATTCATAAGTGATACTTCAAGAAAGAAAAAGGGGTGATTCCATTGTAGCATGTCAGCATGATCATTTTATTTATATTTAAAAACTTGATATGTGATGAAGCTTTGATTAATGTATATAAGATTTTTTATTTTTTATTTTATTATTATTATTATTTTTTTATGAAGTATATAAGAGTTGATAAGTACACAAAACATTTATTTTTTGTATAATATGTAATATATTATACAAGCTTTGTTGCTGTTCACTTATTTAAACAATTTAATTGACAAAGTTGCTAAGCCTTTCGTAAGGTGAAATTCCACACATGTACATATTTTGAGACAAAATTTGTTACGAAATTAAGAATTTCAATCTCATGAACAATAGTTGTTGATAATTTTTTTTGTTCTAACTATCACATATAAATCAACAAAGAAGCCCCTCCATCAAACCTAACTTTGACTTATCATCAAATTAACATGGCCTTTTACACTGAAACAAACAGAATGATGTTAGAGAGATTATCTGTTTATATCATATTTTATAGACTAGATGATTGAAAATTGTATTTCTTCTTTAAATTATTAAAAAAATAATTCAACTAGTAACTGTCATTTCATATAAATTAGAATATATAATTTAAAAATATGGTTTCCGTAACATTTCAGTGTCAAGATGCAATGGACTATTGCGCCGAAGACTTTTGCAATGTGTTCGAAAACATGACTAGCATCTTGAAGTTTTACTTGAGTGGTGGACATGCAAATGCAATTAATGTTATCACAGATGGGTGATAGCAAAGTGACAAAAGACAACTGTTTACCAGCGCAGCACAGGTAAAATGGTATTAGCCGCTGTAAAAATTTAATTAAGATTTGTTTTCTTCTTCTTTCTTTTGTTAATGTTTAATCCAAGTTTTAAAAAACATTATGCACTAATAGGATGGCGAGCTGAGTCTAACATTTAGACGGGTTTAGGTGAGTTAGGCGGGTGCTTAGGTAGGTCTAGACTCGCTTTTTTAATTTTCAAGTGTCTAAGGATTAATCAGGGCATTGACCAGCCGCCTAGCGCCTAGACGAGGCCAAGACAGTGCTAGGAAGATTCTAGACGGTGATAGACGGAGATTTTTAAAATAGTGTCGTGTATGTTGTTTTATACTTTACGCAGCTCCCGTATCCTTTGCACCAACATTGTTATGTGATTTTTTTTGGTAGTCAATAAGGTAGTGATTTGAACTTAGAAAACTCTTTCAACACGAGAAAAAGAGATATTATTAATTAAACCAATGTGAATTGTTATTGGCATTCCAAAAATTTCATTTTGCACTCCAAACTTTCTATAATTAAAAAGAAAAATACACTTGTGAGGAGTGTATAATGAGATTTTATGAGTGCTAATAACACTTCCCAAACCAATAACTATTTCGTTCAATATAATAGTGATGTTCCGTTCACTTTAAACAGTTTGAGTAAAACATATGTTTAAGAGTTGTGTTATATATGTACCCGTTCTATCTCTCTACTCAGAAACCCTAAATTGGCTCTATTGTGATAATTTTCACCTTGTATTCTTTAAGTACAAGCATTTGCCTACACACTTTGTGTGTATAAACATGTTTTTTTAAGAAAATGAGAAGGAGAGGGGGGGAGAGAGAGAACGTGGAGGGAGTGGAAGGTTTTTGTTTTTAGTTTTTTTTTTTTTTTTAATATTGGAGGTATTTTAACATCACCTGTAGGTGATGTTTCACTAAAAAACAGTAAATTTTGGACCTATGAAATTACATTGTTGCCCATAATTTTTTTGTGTGATAGAAGGCTAATTTGTCTTTTCATTCTCTTTTGGTTGACAAATAGGGTTTCATTAATTAGTAGAGATATAATAATCAAATGCTTTCTTTGTTAGTTCTGTTGGAATGAGAATAATAAAAAAAAAATATCAATGATAATAATTATAACGCAATTACAACATTAATTGTGTACAAATTTAATATAGACAACTAGAAATAAAGTAATATAGATTGATAAACTTGAAGATTGAGACTTGCACATATGCAATGTCCTAAAGACAAAATTTCACATCTACTCTTGTGCTTGTAGTTAGGCAGACATTTATCTCCTAAGATTTAACAATTTATAATTCGAAGTCAAAACACTGCAATTTTTAGACTTTGGAGAACATTATATATTTCGTATTCTCAAGACACGACTCAGATTTGACAAAGAAAAAAAATAAGAAAATAAGAAAGGGAAAACTCCTTCTCTTTATGCATATCTAACGTCTATTCTAACTTGGATTTATGTAAAACCTACGATGTCCATACACAATGTAGTGCCACTTTGTATTAAGATGGCACCAACTTGAATCAACGGTTAACAACTTTTCATTCAAACATTGAATTAAATATTATTATTAAATGTAAATTCCAACATGTTCCACTTAAACTTTTAATTAAACAAACAATAAAACATAAGAATAAAAAAAATGGGGGCCATCATATAATATCAATCGATTACTACGAAAGTAAAGAGGCCTCGAAACAAATAGAACAAAAAAGAAGCGATATTGCTGGTCAATTTACATAAAAATTAGCATGCCATACTAATCATGATTAGTAAATAATAATTGACCGATTTAACAGATATAAGCATGATTAGGTTAAAATGTACATAAGAAAGAAGACCAAGACTTGTACCAGCTGTCAACGTGATCATACAGTACATAATTTTAAAGGTTTCATATTCTAGTTTCTTCGCGTTCACACTACGTCGAGAGTTGATGATGTGGGGACAAAAGTTCCTACATCGGTGAGGACCAATGCAAAGCTTTATAAAATGTTTGGTTATCCTCATATTGCTAATTATTAATTGGTTTTATGTAGAAGTTTTAATTTTTTTTTTATAGTATGAGATCAAATTATTGCTCGTGTGAAAGTCCAAAGATTACATGTGCTCATACATCACACAATTTATTGTATTATGTGTAGACTTAAAAATTAACTACACGTGAAAAAACGTGTTAAGAGTTGATGATGTGAGAACAAAATGTCACACAACAGTGAGGGATAGACCAGTGCAAAAGCATATAAAATATTAAATTGTTCTCTATACATATAACAAAAACCCCAATTTCTTCACACTAGTACATCAGCATGGCAGCAGCGCAGGTGCTCTAATTGAAGAGTCGATGTAATGTCACAAGAACAATATGTGATTAGTTATCTCACTGGATTAATGGGGAAAATGATCCTTTCCAGATTATTTTTATTGGGATTCGAAGATCAATCAATCGTGTTTGTTTATCGTATAGTCAGTTTTCATTAGGTATTATTTATATTCAATTTTAAATTAAAAATTTTAAATAATTTCTAACATACATGATATACGATGAACAGATACGATTGATTGATCTCTGAATTCCCACAAAAATGATCCATAAATGATCCTATTCCGATTAATGGCTGAACCACCTTGTAATTCATGATTGGGGACCGACATGTAGCCATGAAAAATCAGAAATGTAGGACCATATATTCTTATAAAATTAATTTTGAGATACATGCACGTTTTTATGAATCTTCAATTTCAAATAATTTTTTATAATAATAGGACAATAAACAGACGATAAAGAGGCACCAAGGCGTGAATTGATATTGACCATAAGTTCCGCCAAAGTTCAATATAATTGCGACGTCGGACTAGCTTCGAAGCCTATTAAGTTATCATATTAGTGTTCATTGATGCAAAGGATTGGGTGAAAGAAGATGCTCATCATATTATTTGCCTACTCAGTAACTCACATGCACAATCACCTTGGACCCTGTTGAGGAATATACATACATACATACATACATACATATATATATATATATATATATCAGTAACTCACATGCACAATCACCTTGGATCCTGTTGAGGAATATAAATACATACATACATACATACATACATACATACATACATATATATATATATATATATCAGTAACTCACATGCACAATCACCTTGGACCCTGTTGAGGAATATACATACATACATATATATATATATATATATATATATATATATATATGCACAATCACCTTGGACCCGTTGAGGAATATACATATATATATATATATCTCTAATATTAGAAAGCCAGAAGCACACTTTGATGTCTCAAGGTTTCACAAAAAAAAAAATAAAGGGACCGAAATGCCCCTTAAACCAAAAAAAACTAAAACTGGCTAAAAATAATGCAATCAAAATACAGGAATACTTATGTCACAAAAAAATTTAGAAACAAAACAGAATTAAAAATAAAAAGAACAGAAAATAATTACGTGGGGAAAAGAACCACCACGTCCAACACGTTTGTTCAAACTACATAGCAGTTCCGTTCATTTTTCAAACTCCCACGTCCATTTATGAAATCGCTTGAAAGTTTGAATTTTGTATTGACATGTTGTTGGGATTTTGGGATTTTAGGTTGCTAGCAGATCGTCTATACTTTCAATGGGAAGGATAGTTTCGATCATTTTAGCCATTGCGTTTTCGGTACCGTATTGGCAATTGAAGATATCATACATGGTTTGAGTGAGCGTGGGATCATCCAGTTATAAGAAGGGTTTATATTTGTGATACAAACTAATACAACCTGGGTTTACACACTTTGATATGGAATGCACCAAAGCATCTCGGGGATTACACACTTTGATTAGGTTTGTATCTTCGATGGTTGATGTGTTTTATTTTTTGTGTTCAGTTGGTGTGATTTTTTCTTTTCTTTAGACACTTTGATTAGGTTTGTATCATTCTTAGTTTTAATAGGCAGAACAGTTCTACCATTTTTTTAATGATTTTAATTATGCTTTTACATGTACAATATAATATCGGGGGAAAAAAAAACAAGAAAGCATGCTACCAGTAGAAAACAAAGGAAGAAATCAGTAGACAAATTACACATTATGGATTCTAAAGCAAAAAAAATATGAGTTAGAGCAAGATTACAAATAAACGTCGTATATTCAAAAGATTGTCAAGGGTGTGTAGTGCCCGTGAAAAATAAAAGGTCTAACAAAAGAAGAAATGGGCAAAGAAATTAAACATTATGGATTAATCTAAAGTAAAAGATAGAGGGACTTAGAGTAAGATTACAAATAAACGTCGTATATTTAAAAGATTTCTAGAGGCACGCAACGCTTGCGATTAATATAATCTGTATGTCGCGCATAGCGCGTCATGATGTAAAAAAGACATTTTGTATACGCAAGGCGCGTGCAGAAAGACTAGTATGTATATATGTGTGTGTGTGCGTGTGTGTATATGCAGTTAGACTTACTAGCTATTTTGATCTTTGTCATGAATCCTCCTGACTTGAACATGCATATTTAGGCTATGTTTGGATTGGGGTTTGCAAGTCGATCGTGGGTTTGAATGCCAAATTATAAAGAAAATAATTACAAAATTTTAGATGCGGGGATTAAGAAATGCATCATCTAAGCATTACAAAAGCATATAAGCGGATAGATGGATAGTGTGGTTTCCAATCCCAAGACTTGCAAAACCCTCACCCGAACATAGCATTAAGGACGAACCTATGGCAAGGGCTGGCCGAACAATAGCCGTGTCAAATTTTTCCGACGAGATATTATATAATTTGGTACAAAAGAAATACATAGAAATATAGTATAGTATAGAGGATGTCATTAGGGTGGTATTATCCACATATATATTTTTACTTCTCACGTATTCTTCTTAATTTTTGATTATCGGATCGAATGAATTGAAGAAGATTACTAGACAAAAATTAACAAAGGTGTATGCAGGAAAAAAGAGGGTTTGTGAATAGTATTTCATTCCTTTAATTTATTTATTTTTATTTAGAGAGGCAGAACTGAAAATTGGGCCACTCTGCCACTGAGCCTGAAAGCCCAAAAAAAGGAAAGCCCAAAATACTAGAAGCTTAAGCGCGCCCTTTTGCGTCGTCAACCTCCCAACCCCCGCCTCTCTGAGTCATCACTATCACTCATGGCTCCCCCCAAAATTCTGCTCTCCGGTGACATTTCCGGCAACCTAAAGCAGCTCATCAAACGCGTCGTTTCGGTATCTCTCTCTCTCTCTCTCTACCTCTCTTTTCTGTAGCTTCACTAATTTGCAATTTCTAATTTTACCGAGTTAACTCGTTCTAGGTCAACAAATCGGCGGCGGGTCCATTCGACGTGCTGCTCTGCGTGGGCCAATTCTTCCCCGACTCGGCGGACCAGCTCGACGAGTTCAACGATTACATCGAAGGCCGAGCCCAAATTCCTCTCCCGACTTACTTCATCGGCGACTACGGCGTCGGCGCCGCCAAGGTCCTCCTAGCTGCGACGAGAGACGCCGGCAACCAAGGCTTCAAATTGGACGGCTTGAAGATTTGCAACAACCTCTACTGGTTGAAAGGCAGTGGCAAGTTCACGCTCCACGGTATAGTCCAATGTGCTGCTTTAAATTCCGGCTTATTTTTCTCGCTTAAGTTTCTGTTGGTTACTGGGAAAACCAAAGGACGGAACTTTGCCGTTCTGTTTGGTTACTGGGAAAAAAAGGAGTGAACTGGAGGTTAAAATTTTGGTTTAAAATTGCGCTTATATAGAATTCAGTAGTTTACTTTATTTTTGCTAAGCAATTGCATTAAGCTTAGTGCACCTTTTATGTTCTTAGGTAATCTTTGCTATATTTTTCGTAAATTCGGATTAGTTGCTCGGCTTGATTAGGATTACTCGAATCACGCTTAATTCTGATCAAAGGCAAGTGATTAATGCTCACATAAGGGGTTGCAGTCATTGAGTGTGGTAAAAATGAGGAATGGGTAAATTGTTGTAAATGAAATAGCTTTACGATAGTTTGCGTTTGTATATTTTAGGATATTTGCTGATAGACTGATAGTTGATATCTGTTCATTTACGTTTATAGCTGATTTTGGTGCTCACATTGTTCAGGGTTATCTGTGGCATATTTATCTGGTCAGCAATCTTCGGATAGCCAACAGTTTGGTACGTATAATCAGGACGATGTTGATGTATTGCGAGCGATTGCTGAGGAGCCTGGAATTATTGACTTGTTCCTAACATATCCTTGTGTGCTATGAATTTATCAATTTCTTATTTTTTTTATCTTGTAGAATGAATAAGAAGCTCAATTAGTATCCGTTACATGCTTTAGTTTGCTGCATGTTTTCAGTTTTTGGACTTTTGTGTGATTTCCTTAACTGATTGTTACTAATAAATGGCCAAGTGGGATCACTAATAGAGCAAATATATCTGATGCTCCCCCTGGAGTTTCCGAGCCTTTTGGCACTGACAATATTGTGGCAGAGTTAGTAGCCGAGATCAAGCCACGGTACGAAATTTTGGAGATTATTGCATGGCATGTCACTTTTAATACTCTCGTCAATTGCATATAGTAGTGAACAGAATTATTTTAGCTTTTGCAATGGATAGTAGCAACATCTCTATGATTCTGATCAAAGTTCGTCCTCTGTGGTAGCTATCATATTGCAGGCACAAAAGGCGTGTTCTATGCACGTGAACCTTACTCTAATGTTGATGCTGTGCATGTCACACGCTTCTTGGGTCTTGCTCCAGTAGGAAACAAAGATAAGCAGGTTCGTTATCTCAACATAGTTTCAAGTTATATTCATCAAGTCGAACATCTTTGTTTCCCTTATTATTTGGTCTTGGGATGAATTGATACGCCTGCTGCCCCTTGTTATGGATAAAGTTCTTGAGTTTCTTGTCGTTACATCTCCATTTTCTGTCCTTAGATAGCTTCTAGTCATTAATAACCTGTTGCATTTGTACTTGCTCCTCAGAAATTCATTCATGCGCTTTCTCCTACTCCAGCATCTACAATGTCTGCTATTGAGATTAGGGCGCAGTCGACGACCACTACCTTATCTCCATACACATATAAGGAGAAAACAGCTCATTCAATAGAAGCTGGAAAGAGGTCTAGCGATAGTATTTCTGATTCTCAGTACTGGAGATACGATGTCCCACAAAAAAGGCAGAAACATGGAGATGGTAATAGGCTTTGTTTTAAGTTTGTATCATCTGGATCTTGTCCTCGAGGGGAAAGTTGCAACTTTCAACATGACGTAGATGCAAGAGAACAATCGTTGAGAGGTGTTTGTTTCGATTTTATGAACAAAGGTAAATGTGAAAGGGGTACAGAGTGCAAATTTAAGCACAGCTTACAGGATGAAGGTGACAGCAATTCTCAACCGGGACGTGGATCTGGAAATGCTAACAGAAACAGGTTGCTCTCTGAATTACACTTTTATGCTTATTGAGCAGGCCCAGTCAGACGTATTCAAGATGTTATGTTCTTTGGTTGTAACACTAAGTTCAATCTCACATGCAGGTCAACAGAGTGTTGGTTTTGTTTGTCAAGCCCCAAAGTAGAATCACATCTCATTATCAGCATAGGGGAGCATTACTATTGTGCCCTTGCCAAAGGCCCGCTTGTTGAAGATCACGTATTGCTAATCCCTATAGGTCATTCACCAAATACCGTTTCTCTACCCTCAGAATGTGATATTGAGCTCGATAAGTTTCAGAATGCTCTGAAGAAGTATTATAACAAACAAGGAAAGGAAGTTGTTTTCTTTGAATGGGCTTCGAAACGTACTACTCATGCTAATCTTCAGGTAAGATATGTGTTGCAAATGTTTATGTGAGAAGTTTTTTGGGTGAATTACTTACCCCATCGTTCTTTTGTATAGGTTGTTCCTGTTCCTTCAGCCAAAGCAGCTGCCCTTAAAAATATATTTAACTTAGCTGCTGAAAGGCAGGGGTTCAAGTTCACAACCATGAAATGTAAAAACCCATTTTTATTGTGCTCAATCGGCATGGAACTTTTCAAGTATACTTTTTGAGAAACTTTTGATATTCCTTACCTTCGACTGTATCTTTAACTGATGCTTCTCTTCGTTGCAGCCGGTAACAATTATGATGGGAGAACATTGTTAGGGGAACAGTTCGACAGAAATTTTAGTTTCTTCTATGTTCAGCTCCCTGATGGTACAATCCTATCACATTCGATTGAAGAGAATGAGAACTTCGTACCTCAATTTGGACGCCAGGTAAGGACATAGTTCAACTGATTGTTTATAATCTGCCAATTTGTTTCCTGACGTGCAGAAGGTTGAACTCCAATGACAAATGATATAATTTGCAGGTTATGGCGGGTTTGTTGAAGAAGGCCGACAGGGATGATTGGAAGAACTGTACAGATAGCAAAGAAGAGGAAACCAAGATGGTGGAAGATTTCAAGAGTGGATTTGGAGAATTCGATCCAAATAAGTAATTTCTCAGAGGGTAGTAAACACTGAGAGTCATAAACTTGTGACATGATGTGATATCAAACGTACTTTTGCACTTCTCTGTTTCCGGTTAAGTTCCCTCCAAATTCTTGCAATTCTGAGAACCAAATCCAATGTTGCTCCGTATAGGTCATTTTTTCCATCACTTTAAGGTGGATAGCTACGACTTTGGACAACAACTAACCGCAGATGTTCTCTAATGCTTCCTAAACCGAACAACTTGTCAGTGGCTCATTCTCTCTGCAACAAGTGAGATCAAGAGGTGGCCTTCAAAGATGAGACATAGTCCAGTAAGTTAAACTCAACTGCTGATTGATACCGATTTTTGTTTATCTGTTTTTTGTATTTTTGGATTCGGAATCTGTGTTGCTCTGTTATGAATCCGGCATTGTAATTTTCTGCTATCTTCACCGCATTAGGTGCCGTAAATGTGAAATCACATGCTTTAAGTTAGCTGTTTTCAGTTTTGTGGCAATAGAAACTCAATAATTGCACACCACCTTGCAGCCATGAGGCTTTTCTTTTTCGTGTTTTTCGGTTTGTGTCTACTAAGTGGTGCAAGCGGACACGGCCCAAACCCGCATCCGTTGGAATGTGATCAATAATACAAAGTATATGCGTCTAGTACTTGGTACAATGATTAGCTTTATGCTTACGATAGAAGGGGCAACGGGTCGCAGTCTCAGGGTCCAGAGAAATTATAAGCTCTCTCTGTTTGCCGTTGAAGAGCTTGTTGAGTGGGACTCAAGTTTGATAGGATTTATTAGGACTAGTTAGGAGCCTACTAGAGTGGGCGACGAATATTCATAGGGAATGATGTGTCTTTTCAGCCTTTAGCAAAGTTGCAGCCTCCAAAAGAAACAAAGCAATATTGAACTAAATAGTTGAAACCCTACGGAACGAGAAAGAATTTATATGACATGATTATATTGGTATGGTGCTGACATTCCGTGGTAATGATACATGAGTGTGTGAGTTTCTTTTCATATGACTTTTTGGGACGAGACGTCACGATGACAATTATGCATGTGTCAATAAGAGCAATTTGCATGCAACGAGTTTAACGACGACGTTATGTTTACGTCCAGTAATTCATATCATGTGGTAAAAAACCGTATGCATCACAATACATTAATGGATTGAGACGAGAAAAAACCTATCCTATGAGATGTCATGTGGGTTGTATGTAAATAAATAGCCCGAAGTTTCTTTAGTCCCAATTCCCAAGTACCAACCTTATTTGTTCTTGTCCCAACACGTGATGCAAGAGTGATTTGTCGTGGTCGGAAGAAAAGGCTTGGCCTACAAGCTCTCTAATTTAATGGATCGTGATCCACGTGTCCCGAGCATGCGGACCAAGAAATTCGGATCAGTTAATTTAAATCTTACGGTCTTCATTAGCCCATCTAATTAGCTTACTTTACAAAAATCCAAAAACATGAACGGTTCAAATTTTTCTTTCTCTTGAACGGTCTAAATCTCTTGGTACGTGAACTTCGTGCTTAGAGATACAGTCTAGATCTCAATGCTAATTGGATGGTTATAAAGAAGCTTTGTGGCAGAATAGTCACGTTGCCTTTACTTTTTAGGTCGTGAAGAAAATACGACAGGCCAGTACTCGAACAAAGATGGAGTCACAGACAAGAAAACTATTGAATCACAAGGTTTCTCTGAGTAGTGAAATCATTAGGATAACGAAAACCCAATTTTGGACTTTCGATCATTATGCAGGGCTCGTACTTTCGAAAAATTTACCAACAACGAAGATGTCACAATAAATCATGTTTTGTCAAACATTTCTGCTTTCTAGTGCGAGACTGACTTGAAATATAGCCATAGTAAAAAGAATAGGAGGGACCAAAGTGAAAAAGAAGATGTAGAAACGTGTTTGGAACAGTTTTTGGATGCCGATATAGATTTCGAGTGGTCCACTACTCATCCATCGTGTGGGGTGGGGGTTTCCGTGGCTTGTCTTAACCTCCCACAAGGCCACTATCTTTTGTTTTTCTCATTAATTCGATGATAATATTGGTAATGGATTTCAGAAATAAATAAAAAAAATTTCGAAAGAAAAAGACTAATATTTGTTTCATGAAAACCCTTGGATATTAACTTATGTAGTCGATGCCAAAGAACAACTGAACAAGTTCATGATGCCTGAACAAGTTCCAAGTAGGGAGAAAAAAGAGAATTTGTGCGTCCACTAGTTAGGCAATATGTGCTTGCCTTGATCCTTTTCGTTCTCATTGGTTTATTTTACAACGGGTTTATTAATTAATAATTGAGCAAGAACATGCATGTAGTTCAACGTTTTAATAGATAAGTGTTAGGTTTCTATCAATATGTTTTATGTTCTAAACTCTCAATTTGTTTATATTATTGTAATAATTTCAAGTTATCTCGTACCCTTAATAATAGTAAATTAAAGAAAAAAAAAATCGAGCGGCAGTGAGTTGCACGTGGAATAAATTTGATGGATGCGTAGTTAAAATTTCGTTTCTATTGAAATTGTTACTCTATTAAATAAAATGGAAGTATGAATGATACTGGTTGTGTGTCGGCTCGTTAGGTGCTGTTCTCTAGAAATGTCGCATCATCAACAAACTAGTCAACAAAGTTGCATGATCAGTGGGGAACCCATTAACCACCACGAGGTTTGGATAGACTAAGCCAGCAGATTAGGGCTCCACTTTGGCAATATTTGAATTTTGTGGCTCATTTTGTTTTGTATTTTCATCACAAGAAAATCATGGGAAATTGATTGAACCCATTAATCTACGAAGTTTAATTGTTGAAATAATCAAAATTTAAACTATCATGTGGTGGTTCAATGTTGGAGACGAATTTTAATTCCGTATTTTAATGGCACGTCTTGAGTTTGACTCTTGACGCGTGTGAATCACGTTATGGTGGACAAATAATGCTTAAATGTCGTTGTAAGTCTTCCTGAGTCTCTGGCCGTTAAAAAAGGTGGATTGTCGTAGCGAAGCTACCAACTGGTCATTTTAAAAATAAAAATCCTAATCCAAATTTGACCACACATTGATTAAATTTTAGAAAGTGATCCATTCATGCAACACCTAATTTTTAAATTGGTCACTACCAATTCCCTCAAATTATATGTTTATGATTTTCCAAGATTTCATTTGTTGCATTTTTATTGATAAATTGGGATTCTAAACTAATTTACATGGAAGGAAATTTGAACTCATGCTCAATTCAAAATAGTAAACACACTTCCGTAATTAATTATCGTAACCCACATTTTCTCCATCTGATGTATGTTGTCCACAAATAGAATTTTTTTTCTTCCCTTGATTAATATTTAATGTTTATAATGGACTAATTAGCCATGAATGACCCAAAAAATGGAAATTAGGTATGAATGGATTAGCATATCCTATCAATAGACGCTCCGTTTAACAAAGTAATGGAAGCAGCCATTCAAGAAGAGACACAATGTTTCATAAAAGTCTTCAAGTTTGTTTTTGAAAGTCAAGGGTTAACAGTATGGACCCCATGAGAATTTTTTAATTGTGTCGGGAATACAGCCTAGTACACCAAGCGATTAGTTGAATTTTTTTTTCTTTTAAAAAAAATTTCAACTATTTATATTACTACAGTTAATATACTGAACCGTGTTTTATGTACACTGAAAAATATTTCAGACCCATAAATAAATACTCAATTCAACCCTTTTAAGAAGGATTAAATGGCTTCTCCTGAATTGCAGTATATGTTAGGAGTGTATTGACCTCACAGAACATAAATAAATTGATTATTAATTTTTTTTTTTTTTTTTTCAGTTCAAGAATTGCATTTGGTGAAGTTTGTATTATGAATCCGACGTTTAAAATTTTTAGATGTGACCGTCACACTAAAAAACTGTATTATAAGTCCATGATGGTATATGCGACTGACAAAAACTGCTTTGTTTCTTTGCACTTTGCAGTCCACCAAAGAAAAAGAAAGAAGAAAGGCTTCTACTTCAATCCATCAAATATGTACCAATAAAAAAGATATTTACTTTTTATCTTATGAGGATGCTGGTTGCTGAACCATACACTTGTAGAATATATAATGCATGGTCTTTTAAATTGCATTAAAATAAGGTTTGAAATTTGAAATATCTAAATCGCAAAAGCAGGCTGATGTGTCAAACCCTGGTTTTGACATCTCACACCCAAAAGGAATCTTGGGTGCAACGGTATTTAAAATGTCTGTATCGGTAAAAATATTAATAAATAAATTTGTGAAAATATCGATAACGATATCAGTGCCTTCGATGGAAAAGATGAAAATTTGTTCATAAACGTGAAAATTTAAAACGGAATTTGAGAGGATACTAAACACTAGTTTAGACGAAATATAAGATTTTTTCAGATACTTAACCTATATGTTAAAAATATCGACGAAATCTGTCAAGTTAAACCGAAATTTAAGTGTTTCTCCAACATATGGTGAAGTCTCTTTCCATACCTTTCTCTGATTTTTCAATAATTTCGTGAAAATATCAATCGTATCGAAAAATTTCAAACAGAGACTGCAACTTGGTGTATTTTTCTTCGGCTTTCCTCTCGCAATACACTCAGTCGCATCTAAATTTCTCTCCTTACTCAGTTGAAGTCCACTCTCTCTGGCCAACCGACAGGAAAAACAGGAAAAACAGGAAAAACAGCCAACCAAAGAAGAAACTGAAAGTCGAGTAAAAACCCATTAAAATCAAGGTCCCAAGAATTTCAACCCCAAATAGAAGTATTGTACTTTAAACATAATATAAGCCTTCCCCACTATAAAATATCAACCACCGAGAACTGCCTCGATCTCCTCCCTCTCTCTCTACCCCACTCAACTACCTCTCCCTCTCTCTCTCTGACTCTCAAAAACTGTTACTTTCAGCACTGTCAGTTTGCTGTGTGCGTGTATATAAGTTACAAAAAATTTCATTTTCTGGTTAATTTCCAAATTTCCAAGTTGGGTTTTGCAACTCATGTCTGTTGAAAAGTTTCTCTCCTTCATGGACCTCCCAAAGCTCTGCAAATTCCAGAGCTTTTGTTCTCAGAAAGCTAGAGTTTTGCTTCTCCTAGCTGTTTTCACCAAACCCTTCTCTGGGTTGCCTTCTCATTGCTTTGCTCTCACTGCTTGTGGGAACTTTTTAAACCAATAAAATCACCCCCTTTAATTTTGCTTCAAGGTACAACTCCATTAATAATTTAATACAGTGGTTAATTTATTAATTTAATCATTGTTACTGTTACTTTTATTATTTTATTGCTCTCTAATTAGTAGTCACTTCCTACTCTGGAGGAGTTTTTTGGGTGCGGAGATTTTTGAGATTTGGTGATGATGCCAGCCATTCTTCAGCTGGTTAATCTCTGTGTCATTGGGTTTGCTTTTGCTTTTGCTTTTGCTCTCCGAGGATCTGCAGGTAACTTTTTAATCTTTGCAAATCTCTGTTGAAGTTTTGATGTTTCACAATTCACATAAACATTGTTAGGAATTTAGAACGAACTGTTGGATTTAAGTTGTTAATTCTGATATGATTCAGAGGATTTAGTGCTTAAGCAACATTGTAGTAATCTAAGTGTGTGAAATTTTCGTGTCGGTATTGTTTGTGATCAAGTTCTGCAATCACATTTCTGTGGGTATGGTCCGAATGGATGTATGAAGTATGCTAGGAAGTGACTAAATGAATCGAATTTTGGCATGTTCTTTGATCTGAGCATGTTCTTGTGTTGTTGAATTGTCTTCTGAATGCTGCCCGAGCGTAAATTTATGACCGGAGCTCACAGCTAGTGGGTCTTCTAGTGCATGGTGATGGCCGGAAATTGTAATGCTATGTTTTTGAAATGACAGTGTCTTGAGAAGTTTGGTCGTTTAGCAAATCCTAGTTCCGGTTTCATCTTGATCTGGGAAATGCGTTACCATATGTTTCATCTGATGAAACGCTGTTCCAAGTCTAAATCGTACTGCAACTATGAAGTATAATACTTTTGGTAATAAGAACGGATAATATAAAGGGGCTTTTAAGATATCAGATTTCCATTGCTTGCTTTAGTTTTCTTCTTCTAAGCACCAGCATATGCCTTCTCTCAGGGTTAAATATATCACCATCACCTGAACCTCTCTCCGTGAATCCTCCTGTTGAAACAGCACCCCCTCCTCTCACTGACAGAAAGTCGTTCACAAGCAATGTACCAATCCCCGCATTACAGCCAAATGGTAAGTCTCATAACTCTGCTGTTATAGATTTGAAGTTAAGATCATCTGGTTAAGCTCCTAATTTGACATGCCAGGGTCCAATTGGCACCCACCGCCTGCAATGCCACCTCTTATGTCCGCCCCACTGCCCCCAAATAATGCTTCTCCACCACCGAGTGTTGAAGGTCAAGTCCCATTTATGCCACCAAAAACTGCTCCTCCACCACTAAGTACTGAAGTTCATCTACCGTCTGCGCCGCCAAATAATGCCCCTCCACCAAGTGTTGAAAGTCAAGTACCGTCTGTGCCACCAAAAGGTGCTCCTCCTCCACCACCAAGTGTTGAAGGTCATGCACCATCTGTGCCACCAACAAATTCTCCTCCACCACCAAGTGTTGAAGGTCATGTACCACCTACGCCACCAGTTAATGTTCCTCCACCACTAGGCATTGAAGTTCATGTACCTATTGCACCACCAAATAATGCTCCTCCACCAGCAAGTGTTGAAGGCCATGTACCGCCTATGCCACCAAAAACTGCTCCTCCACCACCAAGTGTTGGAGGTCATGTACCATCTATGCCACCTCCTAATTCTCCTCCATCTGTGCCACCAACAAATTCTCCTCCACCACCAAGTGTTGAAGGTCATGTACCGCCTACACCACCAGTTAATGTTCCTCCACCACTAAGCATTGAAGTTCATGTACCTACTGCTACCACCAAAAAATGCTCCTCCACCACCAAGTGTTGAAGGCCATGTACCGCCTATGCCACCAAAAACTGCTCCTCCACCACCAAGTGTTGGAGGTCATGTACCATCTATGCCACCTCCTAATTCTCCTCCACCAGCAAGTGTTGAAGGCCATGTACCGCCTATGCCACCAAAAACTGCTCCTCCACCAGCAAGTGTTGGAGGTCATGTACCATCTTTGCCACCTCCTAATTCTCCTCCACCAGCAAGTGTTGAAGGCCATGTACCGCCTGTGCCACCAAAAACTGCTCCTCCACCACTAAGCACTGAAGTTCATGTACCGTCAGCGCCGGCAACTAATGCTCCTCCACCACCAAGTGTTGAAAATCAAGTACCATCTCTGCCACCCAAAGGTGCTCCTCCACCACTAAGGATGGAAGTTCATGTGCCGTCTACGCTACCAAATAATGCTCCTCCACCACCAAGCGTTGAAGGTCGTGTACCGTCTGTGCCACCAACTAATTCTCCTCCACCATCAAGTGTTGAAGGTCATGTACCGCCTAAGCCACCAATTAACGTTCCTCCTCCACTAAGCATTGAAGTTCATGTACCTACTGCACCACCAAAAACTGCTCCTCCACCACCAAGTGTTGGAGGTCATGTACCATCTATGCCACCTCCTAATTCTCCTCCACCAGCAAGTGTTGAAGGCCATGTACCGCCAATGCCCCCAAAAACTGCTCCTCCACCACTAAGTACTGAAGTTCATGTACCGTCAGCGCCAGCAACTAATGCTCCTCCACCACCAAGTGTTGAAAGTCAAGTACCGTCGGTGCCACCAAAAGATGCTCCTCCACTACCAAGTGTTGAAGGTCATGTACCATCTCTGCCACCAGCTAATTCTCCTCCATCACCAAGTGTTGAAGGTCGTGTACCACCTACGCCACCAATTAATGTTCCTCCACCACTAAGCATTGAAGTTCATGTACCTACTGCACCACCAAATAACGCTCCTCCGCCACCAAGTGTCGAAGGTCATGTACCATCTATGCCACCAACTAGTTCTCCTCCACCACCAAGTGTTGAAGGCCGTGTACCGCCTATGCCACCAAAAACTTCTTCTCCACCACTAAGTACTGAACATGTACCGTCAGAGCCACCAAATAATGCTCCTCCACCACCAAGTGCTGAAAGTCAAGTTCCGTCTTTGCCACCAAAAGATGCTCCTCCTCCACCAAGTATGGAAGTTCATGTACCATCTACGCAACCAAATCTTGCTCCTCCGCTATCAAGTGTTCAAGGTCATGTACCATCTTTGCCACCAGCTAATTCTCGTCCACCACCAAGTGTTGAGGGTCATGTACCGCCCACACCACCAATTAATGTTCCTCCACCATTAAGCATTGAAGTTCATGTACCTACTGGACCACCAAATAATGCTCCTCCACCACCAAGTGTTGAAGGTCATGTACCATCTATGCCACCAACTAATTCTCCTCCACCTGCAAGTGTTGAAGGCCATGTACTGCCTATGCCACCAAATAATGCTCCTCCACCACTAAGCATTGAAGTTCATGTACCTTCTGCACCACCAAATAATGCTCCACCACCAAGTGTTGAAGGCCATGCACCGCCTATGCCACCATATAATGCTCCTCCGCCATTAAGTATTGAAGTTCATGTGCCGTCCGCACCACCAAATACTGCTCCTCCACCACCAAACGTTGAAGGTCATGTACCGTCTATGCCGCCAACTAATGCTCATCCCCCGCCAATTGTTGAAGGTCATGTACCGTCTATGCCACCAACTGCTTCTCAAACAAAGGCACCAGTCAATAAGAGTCCTATCTCAGTGCCAGTTGCTCCAGGTAGATAAAAGCCCCAGAGCTGTTTCTGTGATGATTTTTCTGTTAAATTGGTTCCAACCAAATGTTTTCTGTATTACATTGTGCAGTACCCGTTGAAACACCACCCAGGAATTTGCCACAAATTTCACCGGCCATCCATTCAAGTACACCAGAAACTTCACCATTTGCTCCTCAAAGACATGCGCCAGACAATAAGGCTCCCATACCAGAACCAATTGCTCCAGGTAGATGTAGCATTTTGTTATTACATTATTAGTTCTCAGATGCTGGTTATTAGCAGTATGTTGTTTATTTATTTAGTTATTTTCAAAATACAACACCTAATTCATCTCTCCGGAGGGTATTGGGACTAAATCCACCTGTAGTCCATCCGATCACACCATATAGCACCGCCTACATCACCTGGTGCGCCTTCCACCCCACCCCCATTTTTCTCCTTAAACGATCACATATAAACTTTACATTATATGAATTAGTGAAAATGACCTATTTGTTCTTCTCTGAAAAGCAGTACCAGTTGCATCACCAACAAACAATTTTCCACAAAACCCGACATCCATTCACCCAGTTACACCTGGAGAATCTCCATCTACATTACCTGGTACTGCTTCAGAAAAATCGTAGTATAAAGTCATAGTTTTAATGTTCACACTGTGATACCAAATTGAATCAGTTTAATCCCTCATTGAATCATTGTTTTTTAGTAGTTCTAAATTATTTTCTAACCATTGTAACAATTGACTGACCCTAATATGAGGTTGCAGATCCTGAAGTCTCTCCTGCATCATCTACTCCACCCAGCATCAACGGGAAAAGGAGTCATTTACCAGTTGTTGCACCACCATATGAAGCTCCCAAGCCATCACTACCCGTGGGTCGTACCCCAGCTGAAGGTATAGAAAAACTGCGTATTTCATATTTTTCTCTACTTGAAAGTTTGTGTTGTCAAAGTTTTGATTCTATATATTGTTTCTACTGTAGCTCCTTCCATCCGCAAACCTGTATCATCTCCTCCCCCGAGCATTAACTGGAAAAGGGGTCGAATACCAGTTGTTGCACCATCATATGACACTCCCAAACCATCACCACCCATGGGCCATACCCCAGCTAAAGGTATGAAAAAAATCACGTGTTTCATATTGTTTGCTACTTGAAAGTTATGTTGTCAGGTTTGTTAGTCTAGGTTCTGTTTTCTTCTTTAGCTCCTGTTGTTCACAAACCTGTGAGACATTATAAACGTTCTCCTGTATCTTCACCTTTAACGATATTCCATAAGAATCATCAAGCGCCATCATGTCTGGTTTCTCCTCCCACTCCAGAACAGCAAGGTTTCATGTTTCACCTGAACTACATGTGCTAAGTCACACTTAAAAAAATTGTTAGTACGCTGCTTATCATGTTCTTTTGACGTTATTAAGTTATCATTTCAATACTTAATACAGGCCCAGTGATGCCACCGGTATCATTTCAAACAGGCAGGCAAAGACACTATGCTCCTCCACCCCTAAATCCAGGTACCAAAGCATTGAACTTTGGTGTTTTATTTCATCTCTCACCTGAGAAATGGACCAAACTTTGGTGTTCAAAGCTAACACAATTTCTACATGTCAGCATCTTCAGTCCCTCCATCTCATTTGCCTGATGCTCCATCAGTGAGCCATGTTTCGCCTGCTCCTTCTCCATCTTTAAAAGGACCAACTCACGAAACCAATTGTAAGAAATAATCTTGCCTCTGGTTCTCTGTGATGATTTTATTTCTGAACTTACCTTTTTATCTAATTGTCTACTCAATACCTTACCCAATAATTACATGTTTGGAATAATAAGTGCGCCCTAAGATTTCTCCATCTGGAGCTCCAGCAAAGAGCCCAAAAGGGGCACCACCGCTGCCACTAGTTCAAGTATTCCCACCACCACCTCCCAATCAAGGTAGATAAGCTAACAATTTTCTTTACCTGTTAACTGGTGTTTCCACTTTCGTTATTGATCCTACAACATTCTTTTTCAAAGTTCATACAAAAATGTGATGCAAAGGTTCTTCCTTTTGCAGATTGTTCGTCAACTATTTGCACCGATCCATATACAAATACCCCTCCTGGGTCACCTTGTGGCTGTGTCTTGCCTCTGCAAGTTGGACTGCGACTTAGTGTTGCACTGTATACCTTCTTTCCCTTGGTTTCAGAGCTAGCCCAGGAAATTGCTGTTGGGGTTCTTATGCAACAAAGTCAGGTCCGCATTATTGGAGCCAATGCAGCTACCCAGCAACCAGACAAGACAGTTGCCCTCATTGACTTGGTTCCCCTCGGGCAACAGTTTGATAACACCACAGCTGTTTTGACTTCCCAGAGATTTTGGCATAAACGAGTTGTTATAAACGCATCGTACTTTGGCGACTATGAAGTACTATATGTGCGGTATCCAGGTATGTATTTAGACATATGCACATACGTACTGTAGGTATTTGTATCAATAATGCTTATCTTTACAAACTACATATGTATAGGTTTACCCCCGTCTCCACCTTCTTTGGACATTGATGCAATGAATGCGGGGCCTTATCCTGGTAATGACAATAATGGAAGGACGACAAAGCCCCTAGGGGTTGACGTGCACAAGAGGAAGAATAAAAATGGGCTTAGTGGTGGGGTAATTGCTATTATTGCTTTGTCTACCTTTGTAGCAGTTGCTTTATGCTCTGCTGCTACTTGGGTTTTTCTGTTCAAACCTAGAGACCGCGCATCTCAACCAGCAGCAACTCCGCGGGCTATGCTACCCTCTTCTGGAAAACCATCAGGTAATACGAGTCCCGATAAGTTAATTGAATTAGGTCTTTTCTTTGTGTCTAATGGAATTAGGTCAGGTGCACAGGTAGTATTGCTGGTAACTTACGCTGATGATTTGAAGATGGAACAGTGCTTATATAACACTCTCATTTCTAATATAGATAACATATATGTTTTGCAGGTACGGCTGGGTCGATGATGGAAAGTAGGCGCAGTTCCTTGTCGTTATCATTCGGATCCAGCAGTGCACCATATACAGGATCCGCTAATACTTTCAGTGCGAGTGATATTGAGAGAGCCACTAACAATTATGACGATTCAAGAGTACTTGGGGAAGGTGGCTTTGGGCGTGTTTATAGTGGTGTTCTTGAAGATGGGACCAAGATTGCCGTCAAAGTTCTAAAAAGAGATGATCATCATGGTGGTCGGGAGTTTTTGGCTGAAGTTGAGATGCTTAGTCGTCTTCATCATCGAAATTTGGTCAAGTTGATTGGCATATGCACAGAAGCGCATAGCCGCTCCTTGGTTTATGAGCTCATTCCTAATGGCAGTGTGGAATCTCATTTACATGGTAACCGCCCCCCCCCCCCCTTTCTCTCTATTCACAACTGTTCTGTTCTTAATGAATTTGTTTAATGTAGGAGGATTCTTTTTGACATAGGGCTTCTGTCCATTTTGCTTGCTGTCAGGAATTGACAAGGACAGTGCTCCGCTTAATTGGTTGCAACGCATGAAAATAGCACTTGGTGCTGCTAGGGGGCTGGCATATCTACACGAGGATTCCAGCCCCCGTGTCATTCACAGGGATTTTAAAGCCAGCAATATTTTGCTAGAAGATGATTTTACACCAAAAGTGTCCGACTTTGGTTTGGCGCGAACTGCCATGGATGAGGAAAACGGACACATATCAACACGGGTCATGGGAACTTTTGGGTATGAAATTTTCTCTTTGCTGTATTCAGTGTCCAGGTTATGTCACATTGGTGACAGTTTCTGACATCTTTAAATTCCTAATGACAATATTCAGGTATGTGGCTCCGGAATATGCAATGACTGGGCATCTTCTTGTCAAGAGTGATGTATACAGCTATGGGGTTGTCCTTCTCGAACTCTTAACTGGAAGAAAACCGGTAGACATGTCACAGCCACCTGGTGAAGAAAACCTAGTTGCATGGGCCCGGCCACTCCTCACAAGTAAAGAAGGGTTGGAAGCAATCATAGATCCAAATCTAGGATCCGAGGTTCCATTTGAAAGTATCGCCAAAGTGGCAGCTATTGCTTCGATGTGTGTACAGCCAGAGGTATCACACCGCCCTTTTATGAGCGAGGTTGTCCAGGCCTTAAAACTGGTATGCAATGAGTATGATGAGGTGAAAGAATTAGGTTCAAGGAATTCTAGCCGATGCGATTTGTCCATTGATGTGGCTGATGACACAAATACTTCCTCAGGACAGTTGCCAGATACTTTCCAAAACCAGTATTCCATGCTGACCTACAATTCTGACCTCGAGACAGGGCGGGAAGCATCATTGTCAAAGATTTGTAGTACATCAATGAGCACGGGGAGGCAAGATACCGAATCATTCAGGAGACACTCCAGTTCAGGTCCTTTGGGAACAGGAAGGGGTAAGCAGTTCTGGGAGAGACTTAGGAGATCATCCGGGGGCAGTGTGAGCGAGCACGGGTTTAAATTATGGCAAGGCTCCCCCCATTGAACGCTTACTACTATCTTAAAATGTTTGGTTTCTTGCTCAATTCCTAAATCTCAGATCACCGTGTAAAAAACGCGCATTTGCAGAACGCCGTGAAGACAGGTCTGCTGAGCATGGGAACTCGGATACGAGCTAAGTTGTGCAGATGTGTACAAATGGGATGGATGGAAATCCGAATTCGGATCAACCTTCATAAACTTCGAAACGGTAACCGGAGCTTAAGCATATATAAGCAGGGTTCGGATCAACCTACTGAATTTTCAGAGTTGAAGCATCAGAAGTTTTGGATCATAGGCAACTTAGAGTCTTTTTTTGTTTTTGTAAATTTTTATATGATAGTTGTGTATTATTCAGGGAAAGAGGACGCTCTTTGTTACCAACAATGTACAGAACATTTCCTGCCATGAAATTAATCCATCTTTTCCCTTCACTTCCAGAGCAGTAAAGTTATGCATTTTAACTTTTGGACATTATGTACAATTAGAACCGGTTATAAACTTTTAATAAAAAATAGAACTTTCAGGACACTGTACCGATGCTAATGGGCACTCAATCGTGGCATCTGGCTTATTGTCTATTTGTCTGCCTACTAATTTTTAGTGTAAGCAGCTATATTTACGCATAACAAGCCAAAGTTTTAACACAAGAAAATCGAAGTATATATTTTATTCTATACAAACTCTTTTTTTTCTTCAGGATCCACTGTAATAATGAGAAAGAATTTTGTATATATGCACAAATCGATCGATAATATCAAAATCCGATGAATCTGCTTAGATGAACTTACTAATAGAATGCCCTAATGCGTTACAAATTTTCACTTTAGCCAATGATCCAATCAAATGATTACTCTAGTTTTTTTCTGCTTCAGATGTATTAGTTCTTTTTTTTGTTAGGCATCATTTGAAGCCTATGATTGGAACCACTGGTAACACGTTTATTCACAAAGAATATGAACTATAATTATTCCGATTTCTCATTTTTTTAGTGTTTGCCAACACATATAGGATTGAAAGTTGCAAGTTCCGACTTAAACGAAGGTCAACGTGCAAATTTTATTCAAGTTGCATGTAAAATATGAATTAGTACTGAACAAACAAAATTTAAAAACGCTAAATAATAAATAAATAAATAAATAACTAACAAAAAGTTCAAAAAAATTTTAGTTTTAAAGAAAAATTACAAATAAAGGTGTAATAGTACTAAAGAAATGTAAAAATGTGGTTTTTCGTTAAAAATAAACAGTACCGAAAGTGTTTCGTTAAAACTCTAAATGATGAAAATAATACAGACTCCAAACGCTGCGTTTAGGAGACCAACCGTAGTGATGGAGCCAGACCGGCCAAATCACCTTCGTTTGGTACCGAACACCCACAGGATTCTAGCCTCCTCCGTCAAATTTGACATAGAGCCTTCCCTTCCTGTACTCTCACTCGCCAAAGTCTCTGCTTCGATCTGTAGAGATCAAAGACCGAAGCTTTCAGCAACTTCCAACTCGCCGGCTACGATGGTAAGCCAAAAGCACTTTTCCTTGCTTTTCTGCTTCTCCGTTTTCGCTTCTAACGTTTTCGATTTTGTTCTTCCGCTTTCCTTCTCAAGGCTTCGAAGGCAATTTCCAGTCCCGTGCCCGTCACGTGGTACCCGACTCTCGCCGTCGTGATGGTCTCCCTCGGCCTCCTCTTCACCGCCTCCTTCTTCATGTGAGTCCGATCCAACATTTCCAGATCTTTTTTTCCCTTAATTTTAATTTTTCTGATTTTCCGTTTAGATCTTGTTGTCAATTTAGAAATTTTGGGTCTGCAAATTTAGTTTTTCTGCAAAATATTATGGTAATTGATGAAAAACAGATTAGAAATGTGAATTTCGTTTCTTGGTGTGGTTTATTTTGTTTATTTGCAATTTTCTGGGCAGCCAAACGTAAAGATTGTGTTTTGATTTAGCCTGATGAGAGTGCATTTGTTGAAATTGATGTTTACTGTGTGGAATTAGAGCCTGGGATTGCGGAAGTTACGCAAAATACGAGCAACTGACCGATTTAACCTTCAAATCGGAGTGTAAAACAAGAGTTGATGAAAATTAAAAGAGCCAAATCAATGAAAATTTACTTCTTTATATCACCATATTTGAGTATTGAAAAGTGGGAATTCAAAGAATTGATATGTTATCGATGATCTGCGTATAAACATATTGGCTAATAAGATCAGATTATCGGGTTTAAAAAGCTATGAGAGGAATCCGAAAGCCTGAAAGATTTCCTAGTAACCATTTGCACGTTTAGGTAGGTATATGTCAGGAAACCGAATGACTCAATTGTATGGACATGTTTGGATTCGTGAAGGCGTCACGCAAGACACTAGCTTTGGGTTGTAAATTCATAATGTAGTTCGGAAACCTATTTCGTATAATTCTTTGATGAATCAGCAGCCTGGAAATTTTTGTGTACTTTTATACCCTCATGTTTCGTCTTGGTTCATCGAGTCGAGTAGAGATACAAGCCGTTGCCCTAGCATCATCTATTTGCTGTTCATGTAATAGGTCTACTGAGTATATTATTACCCACCCCTTCGTCTTCTGAAAATAGTAGTCGTTAACGGTAGTATATATTTGCTGCAGCTATGAGGCTACCATTTCTCGGAAAAACCGCAGTCTTGCAAAGGAAGTCATAACAGCAACATTCGCTTCCTTCTTTTTGGTGCGTTTGTAGTCCGAATCCTCTCTTCATCTACCGATACAGTACTAGATTGCTCCTTGTTCTGGTGTATGATTGTATCTAACATTCCGACTGTTCTCTTTGGTGTGCAGGGTTTCGGATCCTTGTTCTTGCTGCTTGCATCGGGCGTTTATGTCTGAGGCTATAAATTATGAAGTTTTGTTAAGAAAAATCAGAGATTTACATGAAGGATATGACGTTGTTAGTCAAATGTACTCTTGTGGTTCTTGAATGGGACAAGTTTGATTAAACAGGTTTATGGCATGGATGTCTTGTTTTGCTTAACCTACACTCAGGTGGCCAACTCCAAACCCAAAATTTAAAAATTTGATTTATATCTCATTTTTATGTTTGGGGAAATACAATTTTTTTTTACCATGCTTGTTTTGGATAGTGATTTTCGCAATCCCGAAGTAGAGCTCGTAAGTAGAAGATCTCAAGTTCGAATTCCAAAGTAGGGTTTTTAGTAAATAGACAATGGAGCGGTTACACAAGATTTTTGCATATTCACATGATGTTCTATGTTAATGATATAACGTCATGTAAAGAGAATCGGGACACAACTTTCGATATGTGCCGAGTAATGTTCAAGTGAGAGACAAAGTGACAAAAAATGAGCTTCAGATAAGTGAGACACAATGACTGTTATGTGCCGAATAATGTTCAAGTGGGAGACAAAGTGATAGAAAATGAGCTTTAGATAAGTGAGATACAATGACAGTTTCAACGGGCATTTCAATAAAGAGTGATTTGTGCGCATATTTTTCACCTTCGTTCACTCTTTTAACTATGATCATTGATTTTATTTTAATTATTCGATCTAACGATTAAAAAAAATAGTAAAAGGATAAAAAACCGAGTGGTAAAAAATCAAACGCCTTCAATAAAAAATCTCAGGACGCGTGTGTATCATCCACGCTAGTGGAGTGGACTACCGGGGTGTATCTCAATGGACGGACACAACCAGAGACACGCACAGAGAGCGTGAGAAAGTGAGAGCGACCGAGCGAACCGAGCGAGGAGAGAGAGTGTGAGAGAGAGATTATAATAAGGGTTTTGAAGTCAGAGTCTCGCAACCACCAAACTCGGCGGAGTAGCCATGGACGCTCAGTCGCAGCAGCAAGCTGGACCAGTGAAGAAGAAGGAGACTCGGGGCCGGAAGCCCAAGCCCAAGGAAGAGAAGAAGGACGACCACCAACAGCAAGCCAAGCTCAAGAAGTCGCAGCAGAACGCCACAGTCGACGACAAGTACACTCAGTGGAAGTCCCTCGTCCCCATCCTTTACGACTGGCTTGCCAACCACAACCTCGTCTGGCCCTCCCTTTCTTGCCGGTACTCTCTCTCTCTCTCTCTCTCAACTTTTCTCTCTCTAATTTCTTCTATTTCCCCCATTTTTGGGGTTTTAGGGTTTTTAGGGTTTTGGCGCAGCGTCATGTCTCTCTGGTTTTGTTCTGTTTCTTAGGGTTTTGTGTCTGGGGGTCTGATTTTTCTTGTTTTAGGGTTTCTGAGGCAAATGGACATTTGAAAGTCTGCACTTTTTTAATTAGCATTGTCGATCTGCTTGTGTTTTGGGTAGGTGGGGTCCTCAGCTCGAGCAAGCTACTTACAAGAATCGCCAGCGTCTGTACCTTTCCGAGCAGGCAAGCTTTGCTCATCTCAGTTTTGATTTCCCGCAGTTAGTTTTGAATATTTATGTAATTTGAAGGACAAATGTGTGCTTGGGTTTACAACTCAGAAATCATACTTGAAACGGTTAAAGTTGATGTCTTGTGCCGAAACACGAGAGGCCACCATGGTTTTATGTTCTTTTAATAAGTTATCGTCTTTGTGGTTTGTTGACAGACCGATGGCAGTGTCCCAAATACTCTGGTTATTGCAAATTGTGAGATTGTCAAACCTAGAGTCGCCGCTGCAGAGCATATATCTCAGGTATGCGTGATTGGGTTTGACATTTTGAATGAAGGTTAACTCTTTGTTGACTCATTATTGAATACTTCATCTTTCAGTTCAATGAGGAAGCCCGCTCACCATTTGTGAAGAAGTACAAGACCATCATTCATCCTGGAGAGGTATGACTGGTGCACCTGTTTTTAAGTCTGTTTATTCACAATGAAAATTGAGCAAATGCACTTTACTTTTTGGGGGTTTGAATTTAATGGGAAATGTTTAATACTGGTGTGAGAAATGAAGAAAAGACTACATCTTTTGTTATCCAAAACGAGGGAAAAATATTGTTACCATTTACACTTCTATTCTTTCTCTTGTACATTCTGTAAATTGTGTGTTTAATTCTTTCTTCACTCATTTTGCATATAAGCTGGTGATATTGGAAGCTTGCATGTACTTCTTCTTGAGTAACCTTTTCATATATTTTGACAGGTAAACAGAATCAGAGAACTTCCACAGAACACTAAGATAGTGGCCACGCATACCGACAGTCCTGATGTAAGTGTTTTTTATTTTATCAAGTTGGATCACATAGTCATGTTTCCTTTGTTTTCTATGCGTATTGTTTATTTTGAAGTTACAGTGACTTGGAAATTTTGTCAAATTTAGGTTCTAATTTGGGATGTCGAAGCTCAACCTAACCGTCATGCTGTCCTAGGAGCTACAACCTCGCGTCCAGATTTGGTAAACTTTTTTTCCATGTCTCTTTTCATGAATTTCTCAGTATTTCAATTTTGGACCCTTCCAACACTTGTGCAATAATGCGTCAAAGGAATGGCATTTGTCTTTGACCTTTGCTTACTACTATCTTTGTTCAATTGAAAAATATTGAACCTGTTTGACTATTTTCTTCTTGCAGATTTTGACTGGACATCAAGATAATGCAGAATATGCCCTTGCAATGTGTCCAACTGAGCCCTACGTGCTCTCTGGAGGTGGGCTATTTTTTGCTTCTAGTCGTATTTGGATATCAATGATGCTGTTATATATTTAACTTTGCCTAATGCACGTAGGTTTATTATGCTATAGTTTGCTCCTTTTGTTTTGAAGTTTCCTATATTTGTACTGTGGCAGGGTAAGTTTATTGTGAACTCTAATGACTTTGCTGGATGTCGTTTGTTTTTAATTTGTGATTGATTTCAAGCACTCAAAGCACTAACACCATTCTTATTGTTAGAAGAAATCAGATATGTATGTTATGAAGGCCTTTTTATTTTTTTACTAAAAATAAATTTTTGTGCAGGGAAGGACAAAACAGTGGTGTTGTGGAGTATTCAGGACCATATAGCAGCCTCTACCACTGATCCAGCAGCAAACAAGTCTCCAGGATCTGGTGCATCAATCATTAAAAACTCAAAGTCTGGGGATGGTAATGATAAAGCTACTGATGGTCCTACTGTTGCTCCTCGGGGAATCTACTATGGACATGAGGATACAGTCGAAGATGTGGCGTTTTGCCCATCTAGGTAACTTACGCTTACCCAGTCACCTACCCTTAACTAAACTATTAAAGATATGGAACCCTCATTCGTTTTACACCCTAGCAGTTGCAATTTCTATACTTATGACATGGCCTTTAGTTCTTATGATATTACATCTCTACTGAAGTTCACAGGAGTTCTGTAGTGTTGGTGATGATTCTTGCCTCATATTATGGGATGCACGTGTCGGCTCTAGCCCTGCTGTAAAGGTTATGCGTCTCAACCTTCTTTTTGTCTTTCCTTTATTTCTATATGGCTTTGGCAATGGAGTTTGGTGAATAAATTGGTATGTATGTAGAATTTGGCTTAGTAATGTCAGTGTGCAGTGTTTATCTTTAACTATTCTGCTGTTTGAAGAGTCCTGCTTGATCATGAATACTAACAGGCCTATTGGAGAATGCTTTTAGGGTGTTTAAATCTGCTACTTAAAGAAATTGTGTTATATTTATGTTATTTGCTATGATCACCCTTAATCTGTGGCTCTATATTTCAAAATGTACAGCCTATTGTTCCCTCTCAACCTGTTCACATTTATGTACCTTTTTTCTTTTGACCTTGCTAAATATCTCCCATCATTAATCTTGGAAGATCCCTATTCCTTTCGCTCTGAATTTTTGCTTTTACTTATTGTACATGTTGGCTGTTCTTGTTTCTGATTAGCAGGTTGAAAAGGCTCATGATGCTGATGTTCACTGTGTTGATTGGAATCCCCATAATGATAACCTTATTCTAACAGGGTATGTGCTAATGCCATGTTCCTCTCAGTTTTGCTGCTTCCTAATCCTCTGGTTTTGTTAATTATGCTTTATTGTTTGGGCTGATGAGAAGATACGAGACCAAAGTTGTTATGATTTGTATACAGGTCAGCAGATAATTCTGTACGCGTGTTTGATCGTCGGAATCTCACTTCTGATGGAGTGGGGGCACCCATATATAAATTTGAGGGTCATTCAGCAGCTGTTCTCTGTGTTCAGGTAATGATAATACTGCTGCTTTTGTTGCTACTTTCTGTTTCTAGAAATTTAGTACATCTGTTTCAAGAACTGCGTGTCTTATCTGTTGGTTGCATTTGTGTTTTCAGTGGTGTCCAGACAAATCGTCTGTCTTTGGAAGTTCTGCAGAGGATGGTCTTTTAAACATTTGGGATTATGAGAAGGTATTTTGGCCTTCAGAATGTACCGTGGTTTTATTTTGTGTTAATCTAGTAATTTTCAAATCTTTTTCTTGATCTATTTTTTGACATAACGAAGGAAGTGTTTCCAAATAAATGGAGTTTCGGCTTTTCTATTCCTCTTCCCATAACTTCAATCAGATGGAAGTTGTTATAACTTATGAAAACATAATACGCTGCAGGTCGGTAAGGAGCGAACTCCAAAAGGCCCAACTTCTCCACCTGGCTTGTTTTTCCAGCATGCTGGGCACAGGTTCGAGGCTCTCCCTTTTACTAACTTTATTTAAACATACTTTACGAATCCTTTTCAAACTTTTGATGTCTGGTAGAGGATCTTTTCACCCTTGATTTTCAACTTTCTGGTTTTCGGAAATTGTTTTACGTCTCACTGTTGGATTGCTATCTTTCCTGGTGTCTCTTGTATGGGCTTCATGCCTGAGTCTATAATTGTGCCCATGCCACTATATAGTACTTTTTCATTATGTTCTTGTGGTCAGTAAACTGAACATGATGCTGTATGTGTCTATATATCCATCACTGGAATATTGAGGTTAATCTTTGCGTCAAATGTTGATCGGAAGTTTTACACTGGACACGATAGTGCTTTAGAGCCTTTTTTATCAATTACCTTATTACTTATAGGCTTCTAGGTCATTTAAAGTTGTTTGCTCGAGTCTGAAAGATCTTTGAAGTTATCTCTATAACATGTTAAAAATTACCTGGTAAACAGTTCTTGAAGTTTACTCATGGGAAATATGATCCCTTATTGTATCATTTGGTTGAATTGTCGGGCACTTTAATTTTTTCGTTTTATTTTCCTTGTAGTTTGTCGCTCATGGTTTACTTAACTTTATAATTGTATACAGGGACAAGGTTGTTGATTTTCATTGGAATGCATCTGATCCATGGACTGTTGTCAGTGTTTCTGATGACTGTGATAGTACTGGCGGAGGGGGCACATTGCAGGTATTGGAATGTTTGTTCTTGTTGTCGTTGAAAGGGTTTCATTTTTTGAGTCATAAAATCATTTCTAAGAATAGTTCATAAGGGTACATGTGAAAGCTGAGGGAGCTATAATGAGAAACCATATAAGATTGAATATTACACATTACATAAGATTAAGAAAGATGTCGCTAGTTTAATATCGCGGAGATAGTTTTCTACATGATGAATTATTCTGCTGCTAACCCCTTTTTTGAATTTTAGCATTTCGATAAGAGTTGTTTAAAAGCATTGTAGTGATGGAGAAAATTTGTTAGGAAGCAAACTTCCTTTAAAAAGTTGGGCTTAAACCGAATTTTACTGGTGTACCAATGATGTGTTTTACCCTTACGTCCCTCCCTCCCTCATCTCCTACGTCAACTTTCTTCTGAAACCTTTGGTTATTGTAAAAGAAATTACGCTCGATTTGATGCAAAACTGATTTCTGAAGCTGACAATTGTCTGCAGATATGGAGAATGAGTGATCTGATCTACAGGCCTGAAGAGGAGGTTCTGGCAGAGCTTGAGAAGTTCAAGTCCCATGTTGTTTCCTGTACTTCAAAGCCTTGAGGAGTTGCGTGTTAATACGCTTTTGGGTTCCGGAGAAAAGGTTCTGTAGTAAACTTATTGAACGAAAACCTAAGCTATTATGTTAGAGAGGTAGTATGTCTGTTGAGCTATAGATATTTGCTTATCGGATACCTATGATGCGAGGAGAAAACTCATGCTTAAACTAAGCTTTTGTTATGTATGCCGTCGTGTCGTCGTAGTATTCGGGATTAGAGATTGTCAATCTAACCGAGATGTTAGCATGGCTTAATCGTTTTACCGTGTTATCAATGAATTATTTGAATGACTTGATTATTTGGAAGGCTTAAGAGGGGCCAAAATTCCTTTTGCATAAAAGTTTTGATGGTTTCCTTCGCTTGGTGAAGGTTTGAGGATTGCAAATGAGTCGGTACTCTAATTTGCATCCCTAGGCGTGTTTAAATTCTCTTATTCGAGTTTATCAATTAGGATTAGTCAATTATGCATTTGTTTTAGATTGATGAATTGAACACAATCAATCGATAGATTTTTCAATGTGTTGGACATCTTCTGTTTATACGACCCAAGGAAAATGCTCTTTATTGGTCTCTCAATAGGCGAAGCAAAACAGAACTACGCTCAATCTAGCACTAGCAATGAGGAAAAAGAGGTCTTTTGCCTAGTCCTTTCTCTTGTCCAGATCGGAAGTCGGAAATAAAAGAAGGAGTCTGGTATTGAAAGATAAAGTTTTAGACAGAATTGAGCAGAAAGCTACGTTTCAGCTCCCCTTGAGGGAGACTTGGTAAACCACATTTTTTGTAGTGAAATGATCTATAAACAGAGGATCGACAGAAGCGAAACTCGAATCACACCATCAGGAATAGGTCCAAGCATTCCTCTTTTGGGTAGGTGAGTGGGGAAGATTAGAGCAAGCAAGGCATGAGATCTTCGCCTTCTCCTACTGACCTGTGTTTTGTGTACACTCGGGAGTTCCCAGTTCTCTCTAACGCAGCGGCGGGAACGCTACGAGTTAGCCTCATGAAATAAACTTCTTTTATAGGATGTATAACAATACAATTGGTTTAAAATTTCTATAAAAAAATAAAAAATAAAATAAACCAACCTACTGTATTATGACCCTTAGTGTGCCGGCCCGTGTTTTCAGCACACTAAAAATTTTCTCTAATCAATCGAGTTGTTTGATCTACTCTAATCAATGGCACCATGTTGTATCGAAATCGACTAATGAGTATAAATCTGGACAGTAATTGCAGGGAAATTGTTGCTCTCCATCCAAGTTTGAGTATAAGAAGCAACTCCCAAGTTGTCGCTAGCTTTGTCACCTGAAGGATTTGAATTGTTCTTTCTCGCAACCTGACTCGTGTCGTTCCCTTCCCATATAGTAACGATTAACAAGATAAAGTCGTAAGAGAAGGAATATGACATGCAACAATGATCTGGCACGTTTATGTTGCAAGATTGGATTCAAACACGAAATTCAAATAAAATTGCATACTGTTAAAGACTCGGTTGTCAGATAATATAACATTTAAATTGCACGATAAACCTTTCGTACAAAGAGAATTGGGTTATTTACACCTTATGGACGTTTCCACGCATTTTCTTACCCAATGTTTTGCTTAACTAATAAGCTAAATAAACAAGTAAAGTGCTATTCATACTAATTTTTACTTATCACACACCCAGACATTCTTGTTAATGTTTGACCATTGATTTTTTCAATTCATTCGATCCGATGGACGAAATTAAAAAAAATGTGTGAAAAGTAAAAATAAGTGAATAAAACTAAATGGGAGAATGATCTAGAAATATCAAATAAATTCCATGTCCAAAAGAGTAAATTTACCTCATTAAATCGAAGGTACTAAAATCTTCTTCCTTTCTCCCCAAGCCTCCTTCCCCAACTGGGCAACTCTGCCACTAATTTCGCCGTTTCCTTCCTCACGCTACGCGCCACATCGCCACGCCTTCGAACGTAGCACAAAATCCTTAACAGAGCCCTGACCGTTGATCCTTCCACGCGAATGAGTCTCAACGGCTGAGATCATTCCAATATCGTCACAGGATGGGGCCCACCAATACGAGTCCACAAATCCTTTTTCCTTCTTTTCCCTCGTTTTCGGCATGGGACCCACCCGATATATACGACAATACACGCCACACCAAGCACACACACTCTCCACACAGTCCTCACTGCTCTCTCTCTCTCTCTCTCTCTCTCTCTCTCTCTCATGGAGGACATGCGCAAGAGACCCGGAAGCGAACCGGCGGAGGAGGAGGGGAGCGCCGCGAAGAAGCAGCGACATCTGGCGGCGGAACAAGTGATGAGCGACGACGTTGAGACTGTGCCCTCCAAGGCAAACGACTGGAAGCTCGAGGAGCTCGCGAAGCTCGTGAACAAAGACTGGCCGATCGTGCCCGCTGCAGGTGCCGCAGCGGTGACTTTCGTCGAGAACCCGTACTCGCAGCCCTGGGTGTTCCAAGCGCTGCCGTCGTCATACGTCACGATCAACCTCAACGAGGAGAGCTGCGGGCCGTCGTTCTCGGACTCAGTGTCGACGGTCATGGCGAGCGTCGACCTCGGCGGGTTGTACGGCATTTCGAAGGAGGTGCTGGGGTTGGAGTCCGAGAAGTGGTTGATGGAGGGGTGGAGGAGGCTAGCGGTTTGTACGGACTTACAAAGGAGGTTATCGGTTTGGAATCTTTGAAGTTCGTAATGGCGGAGGAGAAAGAGGCGAGTGGGTTCGGCTGTGCGTCTGGTGAAACAAAAGAGTTGGCTCGTGGTGGTTGGGCGGGGGTGGAGATGGACTGGGACGATGCTGCGCTGGCGAGGTTTATCGGGGAAGACGGAGACTTACCTGAAGGGTGTGTTGAGTAGTTTTGGTGGGTGTATGAAGAAATGGGGTTTATGGCAATGGCGGCCATGGCAGCTGGTTGGTGCGTTTCTGCAGAGTAGGGTAGGAAATGAAAAATGTGGATAGTATAGGGACTAATTAGCAAAATTTAGGAACACAAAGAGAAAATGGTGTAGGTTCTTCGCAATTTAGTTTATTTACTAATCAACCCTTTTATTTATTGATTTTTCTATTTGGAGCCTTATTTGTTTCCTCTTTTTCTGCATTGACTGCATTGACTGGGCAGAAGGCCATAGTCGCAAATTTTCAAATTTCCCAAATGGCTATTTTGGTAAATGCAGTGAGTCCGCACCCACCTGGTACAGTGGGTCCCACATGCTACTTTCAAAATTTAGATTTGGATATATCTGGGTTTATTTGACCAAATTTTTATTTGTTGATTTGGTCCTTGTGTATATCGTGCAATCTGCCAAACATGTGACAGATAAATCTTGGAACAACAATAAATAAGGCATGTTTTTGTTGTTGTTGAATCATATTCGGCCCTTTATTTCATTGTGTGCATTTGGAAAACAAGGAAATTGCTATAATATGCGTGAGTGATTGGGTTAGTAATAATGATTACCGTAGAGTATCGGCACATGGTATACTATTAATTACATCGTAGAAAATTAGAAATACTGAAATTTGAAAAATGTTAGGGCTCGTTTGGAAGCACTCAAAAACATTTGAAGTGTTTCCTACAAGAAATACCAGTTATATGCTTTAGGTTTCACTTACATTGTCCAAAAAACATTTTAATAAAAAACACTTAGATATTTTAAAAGTGCTTTCAAACGTGTCCTTAATGTAATTGAATTAAGGTTTACGTGTTAGGTTTAGGATATTGCAAGCAAGCATGCATAACCTTGGTTCAAGTTTCAATTCACAAGCCCCAATTTGGTAATAGCGACTCTAAAAGTTTTGCTCGAATGGGTTGGCTCTCTAAATCCATTAGTTGGCCCACTATGATGTTAATGCGGATAAAGTTTAATTTGGGCCTTAATAGCCCATTCATTGAGCTTCATCTGCTGGTAGCCTTGGAAATATAAGGCTTGGTCAAATCGAAACACTAATATATTTGTTCGAGAGGACATATTTATAAACAATCAATATTTGGCTACTTAAAGATAAGTAGGAACTCTTACTTAAAATGATCCATTGCCAATTTATAGAACTTAGTGTTTATGATCGGAACTGTTCATATTATAATTTACTCTATAAATATCGCTTTTACAAAAAAAAAAAAAACAATTAAAGCTAAAGTCATTTAGTCATCGAATTATACAGAAATAGGTGAACAGAACTTGTAAAAGCATTGTCGACCGTCTATGTATTTGCTACAATAGATTAACTAAACGACCTTAGTTTAAATTCATTTTTTACAGAGATGATTTTTATAAAGTAATTCATAATATAAACGGGTCTGATCATAAGCACATAACCTTGTAATTCGAACGTGAAGAATTTTAAGTAGGAGTTCATACTCACCCTTGAGTATCCAAGCATTGTTCTTTATAAACTACTTTACTTTTTAAGAAAAGAATTTGCATGTGATCATATATCATAATGAATATGGTGTTTGGATTTTATTCATGTGTCTCGAGTTAGAAACTTCCTCTAGTAAAATACATGGCTAAAATTAATCCAAGATGGAACCTTATTCCATTCATTTTGGATGAACCTTATCTTCTTCTTCCTTTCTTTGTTAAGAATTTTCTTGGACTAGTAAGCTTGTTGAATTATTTTCTTCTCCCTTGGTGTTCCTCATCATTTAAAGGTAAAAAGTTGATTTGATTAGGAGAGTGTACCTAATACCTATAGTGGTTGAGTAAACTATCAATAGAAAATGTGTAAGATACCAAAAATGGGAGAAAGAAGATTGTAGCTAGCTAGGCACTATGAAGTTAGGCCACTTCATGCCCTAACTAGCCACTTGAAGCTATGGCCTCGTTTGACAGTAATTTTTGAAAAATTGGTGTTTCTTGTAGGAAACACTTGAAGTGCATTTTTCAGGTTTTACTTACATTTTTATTAAGGATTGGTTCTAAAAACGTTTTCACCAAATGCATTTTTAGCTATTTTAAAAACACTTCCAAAAGAACCTTATATGTTTTTTTTTTCAACGGATCAAATAAGAGAAACATTACCTAAATAGAAAGTACAAGCAACCCCTAAACTAGGGTACAAGTTGCGGCTTAAGAACTCTAGTCCTAAATTCTTGGGATAAGTTCTTCTTTTACCCATTTACGGAAATATTATACGACATCGCCAAAATATCTTTATGTTTTTGCACCATATACACAAATGTAGCATCGATGTAAAAAACAACGAGAAACTGGATTGAAATATTATCATTCCACGTATTTTTGTATGCGAAATAATCAATGAAATAGTAACCCCATACTCTATGTTCAAAAGTGGTGAAGAAAAGACGTTGGTGAAGACAGTGAAACCCAACAACAATAAGGCAATGATTTGAATCGATGGACAGTTTTGTACCCGATTCCAATCCCATCATTCTCCTATCAATTCCTCTTATCAAATCATCGATGTCGTTCATAGTAAAAGTAAAGTACCAATAATGAAAGGAGGTGGATTGTCTGCTGTTTCATTTTCATACTCTTTTCATGCCCTTCTTTTATTTCCATACCTTCCTGTAATGTGTGGTTACGGTTAAGCCACGTTAATATTTTATATTAATTTTTTTATAGAAATAATAAAACAAAAAGTAATAGGAATATAAAATATTGACGTAGTTTAACCGTGACCACATAAACAGGAGGACATGAAGAGAGTATGGAAATAGGAGGACAGACAATCACCTCCATAAAAAAACACCTTTTTTCCCCACAAGTAAAATGTTCCATGCTTTCTCCTTTGTTACATGCAACAACTAGTAAGTGTATACTTTCCCCTCCGCAATAAGTGGCCACGTACTTTCTCCTCACAAGAAGGATTTGCGTGAAATGGATTTACTAGTAAGTTGGTGTATTGATTTTATAATATATGTCATTTTTAAGTTTTTATGATATTATTAGACTAGAACGTCACTTGTTGGTAAATTTATTTCATTTAAGTTACCTTCATTCTCTATCCGTGAGCGCAATCTCATATTCTTTAGAAGCATATTGAGCTAGCTTATGAGCAACAACGCTTGCTTTTGATGTAATACATACTTGTTATCTAATTTAGAAGGCATTTTTATAGAGAGTATGATTTTCTCCCCTCCCAATTCCCTCCCCTTCCCTCCCCTTCTCTATCACTTTCCTCTTTTTCTTTTTCTGTAAAGAAGTCAACACAAGATATTGACATTACTTAATTGTGCTCGCTCAAATAGGAGGAGAAAAAAGAAGAGAAAGATTTTAGAAGAGAGAGAATCATACTCTATTTAATCGAACAATTATAGCATATTACATAAGAAAATGTCACACCATACGATGTATATTTAATATTATGAACTTTGACTTAACAAGATCATTAACTTTGATACGTTAAGGATCGTGCAAGTTGCTAGCTTTCTTGGGATTACTCGCTGGCTGACTGTGACAATTGCTTGCCCTTACTTGAAAGCCGCTTCAAAAAATTATATTGAGAAATGATAAGGAAACTTTCTCTCAAGGTGGGATTATCTGCCAGATTACAGTTGAGCGTTAATATCCGTACAAACATAGTAAAAATAGTATAAAAAATATGAGGTGACATATAGTTCATAAAAAATCTCACTTTTGAAAGGGTCTCCTAAACATTTCTCAATTCTAATAAGATTGTTTTTAATATTTCTCCAAGCTTATGGTTGAGCATCTTATTGCGTAGTCCGCGTTTCCACCTTGGGAGGTAGTAGACTAGTTGTCATTGACTCATTGTTACTATTGAAATATTATTTTTACTATCCATTATAACCAATTTTTTTATTTGAAGAAAATAAAAATCTATTTTGTGAACCTAACTTAAACTTTTGAGGTTGAATAACATCATCTAAGTGCAACTAGCTTTTAGTTTACTGATGGTTGTTTTAATTTTGCATGAGATCTTAGTTTCTGTTGTCTCCGTAGGAAACTGAATGATCTTCTCCATATTATATTGAATCAATGAAAAAATGGTCAATGCTACGGCCCCTTAATGTTTGATTTAATATTGATCGGGGATGAGCCTTAACTTTCATAGGTCCTTGGTTTGACCTCCTTGCTTTTAATAAAGTAGAGCGGATAAATTTTCTCGTACTTGCTCAGTGTGCTCCTCTTGCATCGAGTGCCCCACCCAGTTCATTGGCTATTGGCCTACAAAGCACTTGCCCGTAGCTCATGCTGCCTGAAAAGCGGGTGAGAACTCGACTCACACATACGAAGGCAATACATATTTATATTGAGTCCAATACCTGATGTAAACTCGTGCCATTAAAATGGATTTTTTATTTTTTATTTTAAGGAAAACTAATGAAAAGGATTTGAAAACTTTGAATTTTAACAATAAGAACAAAATAAAGGATAAAATGAATATTACCAGAATTAATTTTTTAATGCAAAAATATGATTTTTCGTTAAAGTAAACAGTACTGGGAGCTTTTCGTTAAATTTTTTTTTTAATGTATATTGTCATATCGGCACTACCTTTGATGAAGATTTATGAAAAAAGTTTGGATATGCTAAAGAAAGAATTGAAATCATTGAATTATTGTGAAATGAATTGATAAACATGTGTGATCCCATGGCATAGTGTATAATAATAATAACGTTGGGGTCACAGTAATAATTAATAAATGTCATCATGTTGCTTATGGCCACAAGATTCGTTACCTTTATATCACAATCTCGTATATTCATTCAGGTCACATGTTGAGCACACGATGTTGGTCAGAGAAAAGCTAAACTGTCTTCGAGTTTTCTTGATCTCTAGAAAAGTGAAGTGTTGTGATGAAATCACTAATTGGTCCTATTTTCAAAGAAAAAAAATCACAAGTTTACCAAAATAGACTATAGTGTAGGGTTTCCACAATGGATCCCATGCATCAATAAAGAGAAGGGTTTATACATCACAAACCACTCTTGCACCTCATGTCCTACAACTTAAGTTGAAGCGATAGTTGGCTAAGAGGGCTTATGTATGCATTCGAGTGTTCAAAACTCACTTGTTTGTCAATATTTTATATATAATTAAAAAGTTTAGTTTGTAATATGAACATTGTATCATACT